ACATTTCACAGATAGGCTTTTTTTGTCCTAACATTGGTCTGTGGTACTACATGTAAATGAATCTCGACAGCGTTATAGTTCAGAACAATCAGAGGTATTATAGATCCATCATTAATAGACTTGTTATGCCTCTATATTTAACAGCAGATACTTTCACTGAGTTCAGCCTTCTCATGGACACAGACACTGGACTATAAACTGTGGAACATGGTCTCCGACAGCTGTGATCAGGAATTCTGGTACTGCTCCTGACAGCCATCCTCGAACCCGGTGGTGATAAGTGAGGGAGGCCGTCAAGCTGAAGGAGCAGTCCTATCGGGCCAAAATAGACGGTAAGCAACTGTCCAGTCCCGGCGGGCCATGTCTGCTGCTGATGGACTGTTGCAGACGAAACAAGCCAGGACTAGGAGGAGTTCAGAGACAGGACGTCTGGCAAACCGTCTGGCGCCTCAGAGGGAAACAGTGCTTTTTCAACACTGTTTAAAGAGCAGGTGAAGAGCTGGGGATCGCTGTACTTCGGAGGCAGAGGCTTAAGACAGATACTTCCACCTCCCTGGCTGAAGTCACTGCCCTTCTGCAGCAGAGCCCTGGGAGTGGAGATCTGTTCTGTCAATCTGAGCTCGAAGAGAATGGATGGATGAAGGTAAATTCTTTGTGTTAAAGTCCAATGATCATATCTAAAAGTATGTAGAAATCTGGCCAAAAGTGGTACTGCAACCTCTCCCACTCTCCCTGACTCAGGTTGCCAGATATGCAGACAAATCCAGCTGGGAGCATAATATCTGAATAGACAAGATATTTGTCAAAAAAAACTATAACCAACACTTTTTTCACACACACTAATTTCTTGTTTTGTCATTAATTATTTTTGAATAAAAAACGAGACCTTTTTTAGTTCTGCGGCCATATGGTACTTAACCAGTGAGAGTAGCTCGACACGGTGAGCTCTGGCGCCCAGATCGGGACATCGAAATGAAAACAATAACAAGATTTAGGGGCTGGAAAACTAATTTTGAAATTCGAGTATCCCTGAACTAATGTTATCAGTTAATAATTAATGGAAAAGAGCGTGTTTTATGAATGCCTTTTGACAGATTGGGGACTTTTAATGATGACTTGACATGAAAATCTTACATATTGCTGCTTTAAGTGAGACATTTTCATGACTTCAGACAGATCAAGGGCAAGTGCCAGTGGGAAGCATGTCTCAGCACAGACCTCTCAATCACTCTGCTCTGACTCAAAACTGCTCCAGGACCTGGTCACTCGTTGTCTAACACACATGACACACATGTTCGGACGCACACACACCCTGCAGTGCCAAACAACACAAATCTCAACTCCGTTCAAACTCTGCTCTACAGTATTCTCGTCATTCTCCCACACACACATTCAGGCTGCTGCTCTTCTCACTTTCAATACTTTTTGTCTGCTTTCATTCCATCAGCCTCTCTCCCATAACCGCTCCCCCCACCTCTCCCCCTCGTCCTCAGGGCCAGAGCTTCCCCCTTCATGAATATAATGTGCGTCATTGGCTGCTACCGTGACGTAAAGGCGCGAAGAGGGGAGGACTGCAGAGGACCTCCCTCCACAGACACCAGGACGGGTGCTTTGAAGTGGGGAGATGGGGAGGAGACTGTCAGGGAACCAGGTCACACAGACACATCGGTAAATGAGTTTTTGCTTATGCACCAACTGGAACATCTACAGAATGTGCCCATTGGTGAATTTGCTTTTGTTTATCGCCCCTAGATCTTCTGAGATGCATCATGCTAAACTAAAGTGTGATGCTATTTTAGACACGCAGTATGCTAAAGTACGCCACGGAGATTTTAAACTGAATTCTTGCTTCTTTATCATGTTAAAGTTGGAGATTTTAGACTTCCTTTCTTATTCTGTTGAAGCCGGAGATTTTATACCTGCTTCTTTATTGTATTTGTAATGCATTTTTTTATCCAAGTGTTGCATTGTGTTTACATTTCTGCACTGGTTGGCATGCATCACACTTTACTTTTTGTCCACTTTTTGTTTCCCTCATCCCCTTTTCCCTTGTGATGGGCAAAGAAGCTCAAAATAATAATAATAATAATAATAATAATAATAATAATAATAACAATAACAATAATATTAATAAAAATAATAATAATAACACAAAATATAATAATAATAATAATAATAATAATAATAATAATAATAATAATAAATAAAAATAAAAATAAAATAATAAAATAAAAATAATAATACATAAAAAAGCGTTCAAGACATCTAAACAAAGTGAGTAATTAATTGAAATTGAAAGTAAAGATGAATACATAAATACAATAAAAAACAATAACCACAACCGTGTCCAGGTTTAAATACAAAAACTGCTTCTTTTTCATGCTAAAGTTGGAGATTTTAGACTTGCTTCCTTATTATGTCAAAGCTAGAGATTTTATACCTACTTCTTTATTATGCTAAAGTTACAGACCAGACCAAAGAGAAAGCATCTGCATCTCATCTATGCAAAAACCCAGGGTCATTTTTATCATAACTCACATTTTATCTTCAGACGCTTCTACTCTAATGAGGGAAATAGTACCTTATTTGTTCAAAAAGGACCAGTGGGTTTTACACAAATTGTATATCTTTCCTAAATTGGCCACATGCCTGCTCTCAATCAGTATAAAAATCCCCTTGAAGCTCCTGCGTCTCTATCGGCGTCTGCACAAGTGCTGAAGATGGATCAAAACTGACACGTCTTTAAAGAATAAAGCCGGTGCACTTGCCAGGAAATCTAAATAGGGGGAAACGCAGCAGACCGTGGATGAATCGGACCAGCGAGGTGACACTAACAGCGGCTGCGAGCTGCACATGTGCCAAACCCCCGCAGACATGTCGTATTTGCAAAGGACTTTTACTTAAGCCATAGTTTTACTTCGCTTGGAATAAGCCGTTTCGTTTTCGTTCCCCGTGAATCTGCCTGGACACCGTATTTCCTCCTGCACACTCTTTATTAAAACAAGAGGAAATGCCATCTGTCCAATCTGGCAGCCGTGATCCTGGAGCCAAACACCCATGAGCTCCCTAAATACACTCGACATATGAAGCAGCAGCAGCAGTAGCAGCAGCAGTAGCAGGAGCAGCAGGAGCAGCAGCAGGAGGAGGATCATTACACATGTTCATATTGACGGAGCATTCTCTAAACAAGCTCAGGATAATAAAGCCTCGGTAAACCCACAGCTGGGAGATCGGGTAAATGTTTACTTACTCACAACGACATTAGCTCACGCGGTAAACAGACGATTATTTGGGCTAAAAGAAAGTTGACTTTGCAAACAGCGACTGCAGCGTCGTAGATCAGGAGGTAAAAGATGGATTTGGACGATTAAGACGTCTTCTACCGACGAGTGAAAGGAAACTCTTGAGGCCTGACTGTGATGAGAACGATATTGGTCTGATTTTTATATTCTTTTCAATTGTGACTGAATCAGATGGACGTTTGTTGTACCTTTATATGACTGTGGAGTTTGGTAAATGCAGTAAAAACGGATTGAATCATGAGATTCTAAAACAGTGCAGCAGCAGAAAATTATAAAACATAAATTTCTGCTACAGGAATTGTAAATAATGAAATTGTTGTAAATAATTTCAACAATCCACTTGATCGTCCAGACTTACAGGTGTCCAAACGTCTTTACTCAGATGACTAACATGACCATCTTCAGCAGAGAGATCAGTGGTTAAGATCTAGACAGAGTTGTTCTCACGTCTAAATTATATTTTTATAAATGTATTTCATCTTCTCCACTGAGTGACAGTGGCTCAGTTGGTAGAGCATTGGCCTTTGGGCCTGAAGGTCGTGGGTTCGAGCCCACCACAAGACCTACTTCATGACTCCCACTGATGACTGCTGTTGTTGTGTCCTTGGGCAAGACACTCAACCCCACACTGCCTGAAGCCCCCACTGAAAAATAAAGGCTGCATCACTGACACAGCAGCCGTCTGTCTGTGGACTCACCACCTGCAGGAGGATCAGTGTACTGGGTGCAGCTCTGATGGTGCCTGACCCAAAAATGGATAAAAGGGAAGAAAATGGATGGAGTGATGGAATATTTATGATTAGTTCAAATAAATATGTTCATTTATTTAAACAAGATCTCGGGGTCTTGTTCACGGATGAGGGAAGGATGGAGCGTGAGATTGACAGGTGCAGCGTGCGCAGTGATGCGGTCGCTGTATCAGACCGTCGTGGTAAAGAGGGAGCTGAGCCGAAAGGCAAAGCTCTCGATATCAATCTTCGTTCCCTCCCTCACCTATGGTCATGAGCTTTGGGTAATGACCGAAAGAACGAGATTGCGGATACAAGCGGTCGAAATAACTAGCTGGGCGCTCCCTTAGAGATAGGGTGAGGAGCTCAGTCACACGGGAGGAGCTCGGAGTAGAGGAACCAGTTGAGGTGGCTCGGGCATCTGTTCCGGATGCCTCCTGGACAAGGGGAGGTGTTCCGGGGAAGACCCAGGACACGATGGAGGGACTATGTCTCGCAGCTGGCCTGGGAACGCCTTGGGGTCCCCCCGGACGAGCTGGAGGAAGTGTGTATGGATAGGGAAGTCTGGGCGTCTCTGCTTAGACTGCTGCCCCCGCGACCCGGCCACGGATGAAGCGGAAGAAGATGGATGGATGGATGGATTTAAACAAGAAAAACAGATTGGTTTGAGCGAATAGTTGGTTGTTATGTCTCCGACTGATTTTGGTTAAAAACAATTCATTAAAGATTGTGTTTTCTTATGTATTGATCCGACTGATGCAAATGTGTCTTTCTGACCCATGTGTGTTGGTTTCCATACACTACTGTAGCCACAGCTGCCCTGGGGCACACTTGCAGAAGGAGGCAAATATTCTGTGCTATTGGCAACACACATGAGTTAAAGGGCACACCCGTACAAATGCACACACACACACACACACACATGCGCGTACACACACAAACACACACACATACAGATTTCTGACCAAATATGTCTGCAAGATTCAACAGAACTCTGGACCCTCCTGCTGCAGACCAACATCAGGACTATGGACCCTCCTGCTGCAGACCAACATCAGGACTCTGGACCCTCCTGCTGCAGACCAACAGCAGGACTCTGGACCCTCCTGCTGCAGACCAACATCAGGACTATGGACCCTCCTGCTGCAGACCAACATCAGGACTCTGGACCCTCCTGCTGCAGACCGACAGCAGGACTCTGGACCCTCCTGCTGCAGACCGACAGCAGGACTCTGGACCCTCCTGCTGCAGACCAACATCAGGACTCTGGACCCTCCTGCTGCAGACCGACAGCAGGACTCTGGACCCTCCTGCTGCAGACCGACAGCAGGACTATGGACCCTCCTGCTGCAGACCGACAGCAGGACTCTGGACCCTCCTGCTGCAGACCAACATCAGGACTATGGACCCTCCTGCTGCAGACCGACAGCAGGACTCGTGACGCTCCTTCCACACGACTGCTGCAACTGGACCTGATGCACTCGTCTCTCATTCATCACCTCCTCAACAACAGCCCGAGTGTCCTTCTGCCCACTCACTTCCTGTTCCCTTGGCCCGTTTGGAGGCTGCAGCTGTGTCCTCCCCTACAGACGCACACACACACACACAGACACGCACACACACACACACACACACACACACCGAGGAGAGGAGGTGAGGTCCGGAACAGTTATTGAGAACTTATTATTCCACAGTTTTCGATCGGTGATATAAAAGCTGTTTTGCTGCTTCCCCCTGAGCAGAATGACACACACACATTATTTCTCTTTCATCATAAAAAGTGAAGCGTCCAAACCGGAAGCTTCTACGGTGAAGTGTGACTCAGCTCAGTGTCCGGCTCGTGATGTCACTGGTTAATAGGACTCCCTCTTCTTAAGTACAAAGCGTATCTCCGTTCTGCTCACTCTTATCTCCATTTTGCAAGATTAGTCACAGATTGAAAAGAGAAAATGTAGTTCAGATTCATTAAGGCTGAATGATCACAAAGACTGTAATTATTTAAGTTCTTTGCAAAGAAAAAAGGGACAAAAGAAAGAAAACATTCAATTAGATTTGGGAAAACGTCTGGTTTAGTTTAAATGTAATGTTTTGTCAGTGAAATAAGTGTCTTTTGTCTTGTATCAGTCCAGACACGGTGGTGATAAACTAATACTGAAGCCACAGCTGCCCTGGGGCAGACAGATACAGAGGCAACCCGTCACCACGCACACTCCAGCCTCATACTTGGCATTGTGGGTAAAGGGGGGCGGCACGGTGGCTGAGTGGTTAGCACTTTTGCCTCTCATCAAGAAGGTTCTGGGGTCAAATCCCGGTCGGAACAGGGCCTTTCTGAGTGGAGTTTGCATGTTCTCCCATGTCTGTGTAGGTTTCCCTTGGGTGCTCCGGTTTCCCCTCCCACTAAAAACATGTGCAATAGTTCAGGGTGAATGAGTGTGTGTTTGTGAGTGTGAATGTGGGACAACAGATGGAAATGAGCCCATGGCTACAGTCCGGAGTGGTGTTCATGAACATGTACTGTCCCAACCAAATAAACTATAAAACCACAGCACTTTGCAGCCGGAGCCGCTCCACTGTGACACTGGTGTTCTCTGAGGTCTCCCATCACAGTACTGACCAGGCCCTGCCCTGCTTAGCGTCTTAGATTAGACCAATGTCACATGACAATTTTATATTGCTAATTAATTTGGGAACCCTTGCCCTGGCGTTGTTGGTCTTTTTTTTTCTTAAATGTTATATTATTTCATGTAACCGCCTCGACTGCTGAAACTGCAGAGATCATTATCTACGCAAGAAAATTCCACTTCATGTACAGAAATGATAAAGATCTGCACTCAGCAAGATTTCCGGCTTTCTCAGAGGATCCAGCCCTGTTTTTGCAGCGTGTTTAAATAAGTAAACAGCAGGATCACGCAGAGAGAAGTGTGAGGATGGTCCCAGACATGGCGGCTCGCAAACACCAACAGCTTGACCGCACTTGGCTCGCTAAGTCCTGCTATTAACTGCTTCAGAGGCGGCGTGCGCGCTCTCCTGCGGGCGGCGAGTTAACAACACAGATGTTTGTTCTTTGTGCCACATCAGCTGTGAGCAGAACCAGCACACGAGCCAAAAACAAGAGGCTTTCATTTAAACATTGAGCTGTTTCTCAAAAGTAAGTAAGTAATGTTAGTTATATAGCGCCTTTCACAAACCAGTCACAAAGCGCTTTACAATGGTCTTTTTACTTGGGAGTTTGTCTCTCACTCCACACAGAGATTAGCCTGGTCGTACCACACCACAGTACAAATTTCATTTCATACTAAGGTCTGGATTTGCTCCATTGTGCTCCGTGAACAGGTGGGAGGGGCTAACTCCTTTTGCAGATTGAAACGATTGGATCTGAGTTTACTGTGACGTATGTAATGCGCCCAAGTGAGTCGTTAGAATTTAGCATTTAGCCTAGCTTTAGCCATCTCCTTTGCCGCTAACGGAGCCCGTGGGGAGTAGTGCCACAATCTTGACCAGCGATTACATTTGCTAAACATTCCTCTTGCTCCTGCTTCAATTTCTTGATAGAACCAGACCGTATTACTTTACTAGAACCTGCCCGTTCGGAGCAAACTCTTGACGTCACCGGCACCGACCTACAACGCGCTCTCTGAGTAGCCGGTCAAAATACGACGGATTGTATTCGCTAACACAGGAACCAGACCCAGACGTTACATGCAGTGACACACACACACACACACACACACACACACACACACACACACACACACAGCAGTTTGGGACTTTACAGCCGCAGTTATCTGGTGTTCCTAGACGTCTCCCATCACAGTACTAACTAGGCCTTGCCTGCTTAGCTTGTGAGGTCTGATTGGATCTGGCTTTCACATGCAGGTGCTGAAAGCCAGTATAACATGTATTGCTGTCATTGAAATTGAAAACTTTACAGAAGAGTCTTCATGTAATGGTTTTATTTGTTTTTTGCTGCTGAGAAGAAGCCACTTTCTAGTTTGCAGATGCAGCGTCAACATCCAGTTTTCTCTGCTGAGTTTTTATTCCCGGAGCTGAGATCAAAAGCTAAACAGAATTGGACTGGACAGTGCGGTTTGGGTAGAAAACAGTGATCCTCATAATATTTGTGTTTTTGTGGCTGTATTTACTGGAAGCAGAGAGCAGACTTTCTGGGGGAGGTTTGTGTACGTTTGAAGTCGCTGCCACACCTGTGTCCCTGGTCTTGTTTTTTCCCGCTCGACTTCTTGGCAGAAAAGAGTTCCTCACGTTCAATGGTTGAACTGTTCTGCTCATGTTTGCTCTGAAAACAGCCCCGGTGAGGCTGGCACAGAGCGGCACAGAGCGGAGCAGTGCCCGCCTCGTCCTTTTACTACAGTCTCCACATATGACTCCCACAGTTGTCTCAGCATTTCACCTTCACACACGCAGTCGCTGCAGATTTGAGCGCTTCAGTCTTGTGTAGTGTGATTTACAGGGCTATAGAGATATATGTACACGGCTTAATGATTGACCGAGAGTCAGGAAGTGAACTCCTGGGATCCATTGAAGATTAATCAGTGGAGTTTCAGCCAGTATTAGGAGACTTTGGACTGTTCTTAGCTCCGCCCCTCTGACCACACAGCAGAACGCCGTGTTACACTGTTATTCTTTTAACCTGCCTCAGTGAAAGTGTCAAGGTGAGGGCAGCGGAGGGACAGACTTTGTGGAGGACCAGGAACATATCGGGACGAGACGATGGTTGTGGAAATGGTGGACTATCCACTTTGTCGTTCAACTTTGGATGCTTCCTGTCAATTGGTATTTCTCGTTCTTTTTCTCTGAATTAGATTTGTTGTTTTGGGTTGTTGTTGTCGGATCAGGTTTGAATCTTCAAAATAACTTACAAATAATTTTAATCCATAAAGTTAGTAATCAGTTCATGTTCCACTTAAATGAACGTTTTACCGGATTTTCAATATGTTTAAAGCTGGGGTACCTGATTTTCAACTGTAAACACTCTTAACAGCTAGTATTAGGCTCTACTCTACTCTACTCTTCTTGGCTCTATACTCTACCTTTCTTGGCTATACTCTGCTCTACTCTGCTCTACTCTTCTTGGCTCTACTCTACTCTTCTTGGTTCTACTCTACTCTTCTAGGCCCTACTCTACTCTACCTTTCTTGGCTCTACTCTACTCTGCTCTACTCTTCTTGGCTCTACTCTACTCTTCTTGGTTCTACTCTACTCTTCTTGGTTCTACTCTACTCTTCTAGGCCCTACTCTACTCTACCTTTCTTGGCTCTACTCTACTCTGCTCTACTCTTCTTGGCTCTACTCTACTCTTCTTGGTTCTACTCTACTCTTCTAGGCCCTACTCTACTCTACCTTTCTTGACTCTACTCTTCTTGGCTCTACTCTACTCTGCTCTACTCTTCTTGGCTCTACTCTACTCTTCTTGGTTCTACTCTACTCTTCTTGGTTCTACTCTACTCTTCTAGGCCCTACTCTACTCTACTCTTCTTGGCTCTACTCTACACTACTCTACTCTTCTTGGCTCTAGTCCAATTGGGAGGATTTCCACGGTCCTGTTTTACTAGCACCAGTGTTCTAACCGACTGTGATTGTCCAGAGTGCTGCTGGAAGCCATAGTTATTTACTCAGGTACTGGTTTGTTGTCAGTGGGTTGCTAGGATACGATGACTCATACTAAAGCGGAAATGCAACCAGGTAGAGCTGAGTAGAGCCAAGACGAGTAGGGCTGGTGGAAACAGGACTTTACAAACCTGGAAGTGAAGCAAGTTCCAGTGTGTCGTCTCCTCTCTCTCGAATCTCTCAGACTGACATTTAAAGATTTAGTAATAATGGTTTTTATTTTTTCTGCAGCAAAATGAGGTGACGGACAGCGCGTACCTGGGCTCGGAGAGCACGTACAGCGAGTGCGAAACGTTCACCGATGAAGACACCGGGGCGTGTGTGGCTCCGGAGATGCACGAGGACGTGGAGACGGACAGCGGCATCGAGGCCACGCTGCACGACCCCAAGGACCGAAGTAACCGGTACGTACCATAGACATACGCACATCTGACCGCAGCAGAGGCAGTGTAGTGTAGAGAGGGGAAGATCGATTCTCTTCAGTATCGCGATATTTTGTACACGCAAGAAAATCAATACAGTGGAGCAGTATTGCCATTTTTAGTATAATAATTATCTGTTTCAGTTTCATGTTTTCTCTGAGTTTCCATCTGAGGTTTATGTTCCTCTTTGACGTCTGCTTGTTGTGACTCTATGACGTCTGCTTGTTGTGACTCTATGACGTCTGCTTGTTGTGACTCTATGGCGTCTGCTTGTTGTGACTCTATGACGTCTGCTTGTTGTGACTCTATGGCGTCTGCTTGTTGTGACTCTATGATGTCTACTTGTTGTGACTCTATGACGTCTGCTTGTTGTGACTCTGACGTCTGCTTGTTGTGACTCTATGACGTCTGCTTGTTGTGACTCTGACGTCTGCTTGTTGTGACTCTATGACGTCTGCTTGTTGTGACTCTGATGTCTGCTTGTTGTGACTCTATGAAGTCTGCTTGTTGTGACTCTATGACGTCTGCTTGTTGTGACTCTATGACGTCTGCTTGTTGTGACTCTATGTCTGCTTGTTGTGACTCTATGATGTCTACTTGTTGTGACTCTATGATGTCTACTTGTTGTGACTCTATGATGTCTGCTTGTTGTGACTCTATGATGTCTGCTTGTTGTGACTCTATGATGTCTGCTTGTTGTGACTCTATGATGTCTACTTGTTGTGACTCTATGACGTCTACTTGTTGTGACTCTATGACGTCTGCTTGTTGTGACTCTATGACGTCTGCTTGTTGTGACTCTATGACGTCTGCTTGTTGTGACTCTATGACGTCTGCTTGTGACTCTATGACGTCTGCTTGTTGTGACTCTATGATGTCTGCTTGTTGTGACTCTATGACGTCTGCTTGTGACTCTATGACGTCTGCTTGTTGTGACTCTATGATGTCTGCTTGTTGTGACTCTATGACGTCTGCTTGTGACTCTATGACGTCTGCTTGTTGTGACTCTATGAAGTCTTGTCTGTAATTGTCCGTGTTTGCTTCAGGTCATTTACACATTTGACATTTGAGTTGAGTCTTACTGTATGTTCCTCAATGTTTGTAAAGTCTTTGAATAACATGAAAGACATGAATCGCATTATATCACAGAATCAACTGGCGATATGTGCATGTATCGCGATATAACAAAATATCGCAATAATATTGAATATTCAAATTTTTGCCAATTCCAAGCCCTAGTGTAGTGGCAGTCCTCTTGTCATGTGAGTTTTCTGTTAATTTATTAAATCTGACACACACACAACCACACACGCGCACACAAACGCACACACACACACGCTCACACACTCGGCCAGGGTGGGTCAGAGAGTTTGGTAAAATGTGGGTCATTCCGCGGACAGATTAAAAGTAGAGCACTACTGACCTGTATCTCATTTCTAAACAGCTTCATATTTCTATTGCGGACACTTTATATCGTTAAAGAAAAGTGTTTCCGTGACGTCGTCGGCTCGAATCAGAAAACCTTGAAAATAACACTTGATAAGTGTTTGTGTGAAGGGTGACTCAGTGTTTCTAATCTGAGGTTTTTGTGATTAAGTAACAGTCCATACTCACTCAGGATGTGCTAAAACTAAAGTTATAATTAGATACGACATGGAAACTATCTGTGTAGCTCTATGTAAAGACTAAACGAAACTATATTCATTTTTTGTTTTATAATATACGTTTTTAAAATCGATATGAATAATTTATATTGATATTTTGACACAATTGCAAGAGAGTCTGATCCAGGACATTTATGAACATTCAGGACAGTGGTCGTCACGCACTTTAGAGACTAATGGCTGCTTTGTTTTTATTGTATGTATTGTTTCTGAACACTTTGATTCTCTGATCTGTTGGCTTCCTCCGAGACGACTGCTGTTGTGGTTAAGGCTAAAGACAAATACAATCCAATTTAAACATGGGTCATATTCATTTTATTTTTACTGTCTCTAATGCCTGTCATGTTGGCACAGATGTTTTTTTTTATACCCATTTACTGACAGTAATAGTTTGTTCATGTCCTTCTACTTACGCTCATAATTTTAGAGCAAACAAGAGGAAGTGCCGATCTGCTGATGGTGACACATGTAGCAGTTGTTGATGGATGGAGCTGCTCTCTCCTTTCCTCTCTCTTTTCTACTCTTCTCCCCTTTCCCCTTCTCCACATCCCTCTCCTCTCCTCTCTCCTGGTCTTTCCTCTCCTCCTCTCCCTCTTTTCCTCCTACCATTCCCTCTCCTCTCCCCTGGTCTCTCTTCTCCTCCTCTTTCCCCTCCTACCCCTCCCTCTCCTCGCTTCTGCTCCCCCCTGGTCTTTCTCTCCTCTCCTCTTTCCTCTCCTCTCTCCTCTTCTCTCTCCTCTTTCCTCCCCTCTCCTCTTACCTGCCCTCTCCTCCTCTCTCCTCTTTCCTCTCCTCTCTCCTCTTTCCTCCCCTCTCCTCTTACCTGCCCTCTCCTCCTCTCTCCTCTTTCCTCTCCTCTCTCCTCTTTCCTCCCCTCTCCTCTTACCTGCCCTCTCCTCCTCTCTCCTCTTTCCTCTCCTCTCTCCTCTTTCCTCCCCTCTCCTCTTACCTGCCCTCTCCTCCTCTCTCCTCTTTCCTCTCCTCTCCTCCTCTTTCCTCCTCTCTCCTCCGCTCTCCTTAGTCTGACACTTCCAGCCAATGATTGAGCCTTGAATTCCAGGAAGTGTTGAGTTTGCACTTTTTAGCTGTTTTCCCCTGACTGCTTTGAGGCGGCAGGTCACCCCCTCGTTCCGCAAAACACGTGCCCCTTACTCGTTCTAGTCTGGCTGAAAATGTTTACTAAGCTCTTGTTCAACTGTTTCCAAGAAGTTTGACGTTTGAGATTTAATAGATTAGCTCAAATAATCCGTAATTTCCCAGTTTATTGTGTATTTATAACTATTTAGGATTTAAAAGTCTTTCCAGGTTAACAAGTTCACAGGAACACGTCCATGGCTGGGCTTCTAGGTTTTGGTTTTCAGCTTCATTATCAAAGTCAAAATGTGACTTTCCACAATCAATGGACATGTTTGTTGTTGCCTCTGTCAGGAAGAGGTGATGTATTTTGTTTGTACGTTACGGGCAGATCTTTTCAAAATGTTCTGGAAACTTCCGCAAAGTGATAACGTAACTTTTCGAGGCGACCCAGATAATTTTTTTTTAAAGGAATATGTTGCTAAAGTGTGGTTTGTAACTATACGAACCGGATCACTGTGAAGAATGGAACTGGGCCTCTTGGCAGTGGTCTGCGGTCTACAAGTGCTTCTCTTGTTGTGTATTGTTTCAAGGATGTTTACTTTGATAACAATGCAAACAAAGATATTCTCTTCTAAAGCCTTGACCCTGAACCAGGACTGCACCAGACGTGAAGCCGTTCAGTTCTAGTTATTTATTTATTTCAGACAATTTTGACAATTTCGAACAAGAATCAAAAGTACAGGAGGTCTGGAAAAGCAACAGAAGCTAAAGCTAGTAACGTCTACCCGTCTCAGAACTAAACCGTGCTGTGCCAGCCTTTTAGAGACACAAAAAAATAGTGTTGAATTTACTCAAAAAGCTACATAACATTTTCATTCTCTTCATAATCATAATAATAATAACGCATCAGTTTTATATCATACAGCATTATTCATTCACTCCATACAGTGTGGGGATAAACTACTACAGTAGCCACAGCCTCCGACCACCACCAACCACTCACACACACACACACACACACCAGACTGTCAGAATGTGGCTGAAGTGTCTTGCTTTAGGACACAACTGCAGTTTGGCACTTTTACTGTGGCACCTGGTGTTCCCAGAGGTCCCCCATCACGGTACTAACCAAGCCCTGGCCCGCTTAGCTTCATAAATCTGGTTTTTCCCGTGGCACGAAGCTATCAGTGATTAAAATTGTCGACCGGTACTTTAAAATAGATTCTCCTCAAACTCCTTTTTTTCGTCCCACAGTGGGGAAATGTCAATGTTGCAGCGCACAGACAGGACAGTAGTGAGAACACACAGGGAGCACACAAAATATACAAAATAAGTAGTAGCTATGTTTCTTAGCTAGCTGTAAATGCTTCAAACCAGTCTTTCAACAACAACAAAATATATATATGTAGTGTGGTGGTTATTCTGAAGTTGCATTATTGCACATGATATTAGTATTTACTTATTTACAGAAGTTTGGTGATGTGGTTGTTTGTATTTTTACAATGTTATTATTTTAGCCCAAGACAAACCGACCCTGAGCTGGCCTCGATCACTACCTTAATAACGAGTTAAAGCTGCTATAGCGGTCTGTAGGGTCATGTGTGGGGGTCCTAGTCCGTAGTCACAGCCAGGCACAGGCGCTGCTGAGATTAGGCTTTAACAGGATTACCCCCCCCCCCCCCCCTCTCCTCACTGTCCTGCCTGTCCCCTGCTCTCCTGGTCAGCGGGTCATTCTGTTTCTTAGTGTCAAACCAGATTAACTCACTCACAGACATAACAGTAGTCAGTCACTCATGCGTGCAGGGCGCTTGTTAGCGTCAAAGACCTCCGTCCCCGCTCTTCCTGGCGGAGTTTTTCAGCTTCCACATTGGTGCGAATCTCGAGACTTCAGGATTCCTCTCTGGTTGTGTAGCGCTTTGACGCCCGCTGCTCCGAGGCTCCAGCGCCAGGACAGCACGGGGCGGCTCAGGATGCGCTCTCTGTCCTCACCCTCCATCTGTGTGAGGCAGCTGCACAGGAGGCCCAGCAAACACAAGAGGAGCAAGGGGTAAGAGGGCAACGGCTGGGCAGGGTTCTACTGGTCCTGGTCTCTCTGGTCGGTACAGTGTGTGTGTGTCTGCTCTGAGGTGGACAGGTGGACTTTGACAGAGTTTCAAGGTTCACTTCAATGCATAGGCCTAAATCACAACAGTAGTTTTCTCGGAGGACTTTATAAGACCGCTGAAGTCGTCAAAACACAACTGTTCAAACACAAGAAATGCTATGATAAAAACACATAGAGCCATTGGTCCATAGGGGGCAGAGACCAATGTCCATAAATGTTGATAAATGCCCATAAATGTCAGAATCAGAATCAATTTATTGCCGGAGCCGCCATTTTGATCGAGTCGGAGCAGACTTTGGATTAATGTGAATTAAAGGATTAACTGTGATTGCCCAGATTGTGGAACTTGGCCGTCTAAGAAATGTTGTGTTGTTGTAATTTAGAATTGAGACATCTGCTTTCTCATGAGTTTTAGTTTTGATTCAGTCCATTATTCAGTTTTTTGTTACTATTTGTTACTCAAGTTTTGCTCTATTGTCTGAGACGGCATCAGAAATGTGTCCACTATACGCTAAAATGTATTGTATCTTGCTACTGATTTATACAGTCGCTATTCTTCCTTGGATCTACAGTATGTACTTGTCAATGTCACATGAATATGGACAAAAATGAATGTACGAACAAAACGACACGCTAAAACAATATTGAAGAAATGTTATAACAAAAAAACACAGCAACCGTATGTTCACGCTCACAGTTGAAAATACCAAATTCTGTGCTCAGACCAATTTTCTTGGCCTCAACGTGTGCCCAGTTATGAGATTAAACGTGTAAAACAACTGATGTTCATAGAGTCATTAATAACACTGATTTTAGGCGTTAAAACACTTCTGATAAATGCTTCTTCTTCTGCTCCCAAATCCTCTGTGTGTCCAAAGAAAAACGTTTGACCCCCCCTGAGGGAAGTCATAAGACCAAAACCCCAGCTCCCGGCAAGTTTCAGCCCGGTCATGTTTACGGTCCGTGCCCAGACGCCGCTCAAACGGAGTGGGTGTGGGGCCGTACGGTGAGCAGGTTTCTGATTGGCCGCTGAGGTCGAGCCTGAGCCAATCATTTGGTTTATTGCTCTGTCACTCTCTGTTTGGCCCATCCCCACAGATAAACAACTGTATTTAAACTGGATATTAACATTTTCAGAGAAGAACCCTGTCTCACATTTTCAGAGAAGACTGTTCCAGATTTTAGCCGCATAAATCTGAAGCACCGCCACCCACTTGTTTAGTCCTGACTCTGGGCAAGAGGCCAGTCCCTGTGCACCTCATAGTCTCAGCAGGAGCCCAGTCCCTGTGCTCCTCAGAGTCTCAGCAGGAGGCCAGTCCCTGTGCTCCTCATAGTCTCAGCAGGAGGCCAGTCCCTGTGCTCCTCAGAGTCTCAGCAGGAGGCCAGTCCCTGTGCTCCTCAGAGTCTCAGCAGGAGGCCAGTCCCTGTGCTCCTCAGAGTCTCAGCAGGAGGCCAGTCCCTGTGCTCCTCAGAGTCTCAGCAGGAGGCCAGTCCCTGTGCTCCTCAGAGTCTCAGCAGGAGGTCAGTCCCTGTGCTCCTCAGAGTTGGAGTTGGTTCATATGGCACCACTCTCCCTGGATGAGATGTTTTCTGGCTCTTCAGGCTAAAAACTCCATGATTCTTGTTAATTCAATTGTTACAGAGAACCTCAGCAACAAACAGACTGTAGCTAAAACCTCTTCTGCTTCATTTTAGGTTTTCCCTGAACGCAGAGCTGCACAACCACTCGTCGTCCCTGGTGACGGTGATCGGGGGAGAGGAGGAGCACTTTGAGGACTTTGGAGAAAGCAACACGTCAGAGCTGCGCCTCGAGACCAGCGCGACGCAGGACGAGGCCGACGCCAACACTGCCCTCACCAACACGCCGGAGCAGCTCAATGGCTCCGCACTGCTCTCTCCCAGGTACCACACATGTGACATCACTCTCCTCACACTCTGCAGGACGCGCTGTGCTCTTCGCAGACCAAACGTCAACAGAGAAATGTTTTGTTTCAACCCCGCACCAGGATAAGACCGAGCCGAGATGGCGCTCCCTCATCTCTCGCTGTGGTCTCTGGGAAATGTGGAGGTAGAATCAAAGTGTGAAGTCGTAGGAGCTAACACCAGTATTTCTGAATAACTGTTAAATGGTTATATAGTTTGGTTAAAGCCGGGGTACCTAACTTTAAAAACAACAAAGGAACTACATGATAAAATCCATATACTTTCAAAACGGTTTGGCTCCATCGCAAATTTTCACAGATTTTTCGGACACAAAAGTCTGCTGCACGCCAGAATTGTTCCCACGGCGATCAATAAAGTATATCTATCTGCAGAGTGATAGACAAGGCAAGTCTTTTTGTATAGCACAATTCAGACAAAAGGCAACTCATTCAAATCATAAATAATCACACTAAAAAGAAAGATCAAAATATAAAATCCCCCATTTGTATACACAGCTAAATAGAACTGTTTGTAACTTGGATTTAAACAATGTCAGAGAAGAGGCCCGTCTCACATTTTCAGAAAGATTGTTCCTCTAACTCATGATTTTCAGCTTTCTATGTTAAAGAAGATAACAGAACTGTGAACGTTCATGAAAAAAATATAAGAAATCATTGTTTGTTTGTAAAGCTGAACGAAAAGTATGTGTTGGCCGCAGTATCAGGCCCAGATCGATCTCACACACTGCGGTTGTCAGGGTGTTGTCAGGGTGTTGTCAGGGTGTCAGATCCCAAAACAAAACTGCCGCCTCCAAACTTCTCCCACTCGGTGTGAATGCGTCAGCGTGTTGTGATCACTGCCACATGTCGAAGGCTTCTCACACCCACACACACACGCACGCACACACCAGCACGCTCTCCATCATCGCAGCGCTTTGGTCACACAAACCTCCCTTTAGTTTAATACAGAGCGTGATTCTCCGAGCGCAGCAGCTCACGATCGTCAGGTGTGTGCGAGTCTCCCGATCCGCGTCGGGACAGAGTTTCTGCCGACGTGGACTGGAGCCGAGCCAGACCGGGTTGTATAATTCAGGGCTGCTCCAGTCTGTAAAGGCAATCAGCTGCTGAGAAGGTGACGTGAGGAGAGTAGCGGTGTACCCAGTAGAAAATCTCACGGCTGTCATTTTTATCGATCGATCTGAAGGCAAGGCAAGGACAGTCTGTTTCCATCTTGTCCTGTTAGGCACATACAAATAGTCTCACACAAGGCATTAAAATCATAAAAAACCACAGTACATTAAAAAGATACAGTCCTGTTATATATATTTTTTTCATTATGTCAGAGTAGTAGCCTGTCTCACACTTTCAGGAAGACTTTTCCAGATTTTAGCTGCATAAATCTGAACCGCTGCCTCCCCAGTGTTGTTTAGATCTGACTCTGGGCACCAGCAGGAGGCCAGTCCCTGTGCTCCTCAGAGTCCCAGCAGAAGGCCAGTCCCTGTGCTCCTCAGAGTCCCAGCAGAAGTCCAGTCCTGGTTCATATGGCTCTAACATGTCACAGATGTACTTTGGTGTGAGGCCCTGGAGAGACTTTTACAAAAGCAGAGCAGAATAAACAGTATATTCTCAGTTGTTGTGAATGTGAAGAAGCAAGAACACTCTTTATCAGTCAGAATGAAGCTGCACACATTGTACTGAAGTCCTGAAAGTACTCGGTCTGAAGACACTGCACATATTAGTCATTCTAGTGTGTTTTTGTATGTACTCCTAGCTGAGCTCTTTGCCAGCTGGAAACTACTATTTACACTCTCTGGATGGTTCAGGACTGCCTTGATTCATTGGTTAATTCATATAATTAGTCAAAAACATGTGAATTTGCACTTGTCTCCCACTGTTTGAGGCCACATTGCCAATCAACTGTTGTCAGGGGTTTTCCTCAGGCTTAATCTTGTGCACATAAATATATTAGTCTGTGTGTATATCTATGTATGTATGTGTATATTAAAATTAGTATTGTATTATGTTTTGCGGAGTGAGGTATGCTGGGATTTTACAGTCTTCATACTATACATACTGTAAACCGGGGGGGGCCTGAGAGAAATGTCCAAATCACGTGGGTTTGTCCACCACTGCCCTACCCTCACAGAATCTTTGGTCTCTTTCTCTGGTCTTTCTAGTCTCTATCTCTGGTCTCTCTTTGGTCTCTCTCTCTGGTCCCTCTCTATGGTCTCTCTGTGGTCTCTTTGGTCCCTCTCTCTGGTCTCTCTTTGGTCCCTCTTTCTGGTCTCTCGTTGGTCCCTCTCTCTGATCTCTCTCTGGTCTCTCTTTGGTCCCTCTTTCTGGTCTCTCTTTGGTCCCTCTCTGGTCTCTCTTTGGTCTCTCTTTGGTCCCTCTATTAGGGGTGGGAACCTAAGGGTACCTTACGATACGATACACAATACAAAGCTCACGATAACGATAATATCACGATAACGATAATATCACGATAACGATAATATCACGATAATAATATCACGATAACGATAATATCACGATAACAATATTACGATAACTATTTTATCACGATATGACGATTATTGATATATTGGTCAGAAATATACAATATGCCAATTTCATGATAAATGGAATGGAGATGCGTAATGTAGCCATATATTAAGTATTGATACCAATTTTTTTTTTTAAGATTTTTTTTTTTTGAAAATCGATATCGATACTTGGCAAATGCATATCGATAATCGAATCGCGGGAGAAAGTATCGCGATATAACAAAAAATCGATATATCGTCAGACCCCTACTCTCTATGGTCTCTCTTTGGTCCCTCTTTCTGGTCTCTCTTTGGTCCCTCTTTCTGGTCTCTCTTTGGTCCCTCTTTCTGGTCTCTCTTTGGTCTCTCTCTCTGGTCTCTCTTTGGTCCCTCTTTCTGGTCTCTCTTTGGTCTCTCTCTCTGGTCTCTCTTTGGTCCCTCTCTCTGGTTTCTCTCGTCTCTCTGTCCGGTCTCTCTCTTTGGTCTCTCTCTCTGGTCTCTCTTTGGTCCCTCTTTCTGGTCTCTCTTTGGTCTCTCTCTCTGGTCTCTCTTTGGTCCCTCTTTCTGGTCTCTCTCTGGTCTCTCTTTGGTCCCTCTCTCTGGTTTCTCTTGTCTCTCTGTCCGGTCTCTCTCTTTGGTCTCCCTTTGGTCCCTCTCTGATCTCTCTCTGGTCTCTCTCCCTCCCTCTCTCTCTCCCTGGTCTCTTTCTCTCTCAGTTCTCTCTGGTCTCAGTCTCGTTGATGTTGACGTCCCCTAAAGACAGGCCTCTCCCGCACACAGCCCCCATGCCTCCACCTGTCCCACTGTGTGTTCAGTCTCTCACTTGCACCTCCTGTCTCCCCTCCCTCCCTCCCCCCGTCCCGCCTGCAGTGGACCAGCCCCTCTCCCAGACTCCTTTCAGAGCTTTCTCAGGGAGGAGGCTCTGGACTTTTTCTGTAGCCAGTGTCACAAACAAATCAGTCGCCTCGAGGATCTCTCCACACGCCTCAATTTCCTGGAGATGACGAGGTAACGCGCCGCTCGTGCTTGTGCAGTGCTCACCTCCATGTCCCGCCTCATCTGTGTGTGCAGCCACAGCCAAAACTACAAGTCCATCTTGGAAAAACATCACTGCTCTTATGTCGCCTTTAACTCCATGTGTGTCATAGTCCAATGGTTTTCATTTATGAGCTGACATTGTAATAAAGTGTTAGAGATTGAAAGGTAAGTAGCAAGGTTCAGACAAAATGTATCATTCCAACTTTCACCTCAAACTAAATGTTGTTTTTTGTAGCAAGTTTGAAAGGTGCGTTCCTCCCGGGGGTTGTCTTGATGCTGTTTCAATATCTGCTGATACCAAAGTTAAAACTCGATGACGTTCTTGGGTCATATCAGTCAACTAATAGTTAAAACCAAAATCATTAAACTTGTTATTAGTCCCACAGTGGGAGATCACAATGTTGCAGCCGATGTTGAACATAAATCTATATATACAGTGATATCGGTGCATCCCTATTTTTGTAATTTTATTTAACTAATATATAGTATTAGTATTAGTTATTGAACTTCCCTTTTACATTGGAAACACATTTTTAGCAGTGTAAAAAAAAAAAGTTCAAGCTAAAATAGTTCGTAATGTACTTGATTTAAACCAAGCTGAGCGATATTTCAAGCACAAGAAGCCAGTCTCCACCAGGGCGGTCGAGGAGTGCACCTTTAAGCAAAAAGCTTTGAATCAGATTCATTTTGTGGCGACGTCATTGCGTTCATCGACCATCTTCTTCACCGCGGCTCGTTCTGGATGTTTCTTACTCATCTGTTTGTTGTGCAACTGAACTTTAAAATCCTTTTACAGAAAAGCCTGATTTTGACTTTTTGCTAACCTCCAGATGTGGATGTATTGTGCGGTGTTGCTGTGTGTGGTGTGGTGTGAGACTCCTCCTCATTCTACCGTCTGACAGGGGCCTTGTGTTGCCTGTGACTGATGAAGGCTTGTCATTGATGCTTTCTCCTTCCTCTGTCCTTTTACTCTTCCTGACCACTTTCCTGTTTTCTCTCTCTCTCTAGCGCTGGCAAGAGGCTGTCCAGTAAAAAAGTGGCAAGGTAAGCAAAAGAGTTCTTCTTTGGGCTTTAAAGAGGCGTTTGTCGGAGCTGGGACTTTGGCGTCTAACCCTCTCTTTGTGTGTAGACATCTGCTCCAGAACAGCTCCATGACTCTGGACACAGTGAGCGACCTCACGCGGGACATTTTAGAGCTGGCCGACAATGACATCACTGATAAGGTATAGTTGAACTTTGAAATGTTATTATGCCACTGTCAAACACCTGCATCATCCACTGGTGCAGTGAGAGCAGTGGTTCTCGACTGGAACAGAGTCTGGAGCCGGATTCACACATAACGGCAAATATTAACTCATTGTGTCCCATTGACGCACAAATGCGTCAAAGCAAATAGTAACGTCGTGTGCCATTGACGTATTTTTCGCTATTTTCACGTTCCCAGATGTCTATTGTATCTAATATGTATGGGGACGACTTGAGACCATATTTTATCGAGCCAGCAGGTGGCAGCATTTCTCTCTGAATGGTTTGAAAACATGTAGGTGCACATGTTGTGCCTCTTTTTTCTCAACTTTCTGGTGATTTCTGGTGATTTCAGTAAAACTTCCCTCTACTCGACGGAGGATTACAGGGGAACGAAAAAAGCTATAAACAAAATTCTTTTTGCTGATGAAAGTAGACAGTCCATTCTTTTAGAATCTGGTGTCGGATTTCAGATAGTCATAGTACACAATATTCTGTGGGTCTTGAAAAATCAGTAAAAATCATCAGAAATGGCTGGCACTGTGGGAGTACCTGTTCTGAAATAGGCTGGCATTCAATGAGTTAACTGGATTTAGCACATCATAATGGAAAATACTTTTGTGCTTGTAAGTTTACACCAGTTAGGGCAGGTCAAAAAGTGACTGCTTGCTGGTGGGGGTGTACCTGGAAACAGAATTATCCAATTCATTTTTATGGTTCCTTTTTAACCCTCAAGAACAGGTTTACAGGATGGTCCAAAAGTCAGCTCTTGGCTCAACGTTAAGTTCCAGATGTGCGTCAATGCTGATTTTGTTTTGGACCTGCCTAGTTTAGCCGCTGTGGACTTAAGAATGAACGCGTTTTTTTCAGCCATGTGTCAGGCTGGATCCATCTAACGCATGCACAAATGAATCAGCCTGTGGTAGGGGCTGCTCGCGGCCATTTTGAAAAGGTCACACATACATTTCAACGAAAAAAATGGGCAACACTACGTACGTTAATATTTACAGTCTACAGTTTACACACACATAGAAATATCAATGTTTTTCTTTTCTTTCTTTCACTTGGTGTTTTGAGAATGGTGACGCAAACACTTTCTTTTCACTCATTGTCAAGTCCATTCCTGTCAAATAAACATCATTGTCTGGAACAGTAGAACCCAAGGAGACAAGATTAACCTTCCTAAACTATTATGTTTCACAGATTATCAGCAACACCTCATGAAAACAGAGAATTTAGAGAATTTAAAAAAATGTATATATACGTTTCCATACAGTCCGGAGTATGGCTGATGCCCTGGCATGGATAGAAGGCTGTACTTGTCTCTGACTGGTCGGTCCCGTGTGTGCGGCGCAGGTGCTGTTGCTGGAGCGGCGTGTGGCGGAGCTGGAGAAGGAGTCGGAAGCTTCCGGAGAGCAGCACACACGTCTGCGGCACGAGAACCTGCAGCTGGTCCACCGCGCCAACGCCTTCGAGGAGCAGCTGAAGGAGCAGGAGGTGTTCTCTGACGAGCAGCTGCAGCAGGAGACGCGGCGGCACAAGGACGCCATCAGCAAACTGGAACGAGAGCGAGGCCTGGAGCTGGAGAACCTACAGGCCAGGTACCAGAAGGAACCGTTTATATCTGGTGTCTCTGTGGCTTTGACAAGTCCCCTCTGGTGCTCCGTCTGCAAACGATGCTCCTTACGGATAAAGTTATTTGAATTGAATAGTCGTGTGAAGGACGTGAGGCTGTGTTGAATTGGTTTGATAATAATAACAATAACAATAATAATCATAATAATAATGAATTGGGTTTTATATAGCGCTTTTTTGGAAAGACGTTTTACTTCATTATTCATTCACTCCATACACAGTGGTGATAAACTACTACAGTAGCCACAGCTGCCCTGGGGCACACTGACAGAAACGAGGCAACCAGTATGTGCCATCGGCCCCTCCGACCACCACCAACCATTCACACACACACCAGACTTATTCTAGGCAATGGGGGTGACACAACGGCAGTCCCCACTGTGGCATCAGGTGTTCGCAGAGGTTAAGTGTCTTGCCCAAGGACACAACGACAGCAGAGTCTGTGGAGAAGGTCTCGTGGTGGGCTTGAACCCACAACCTTCAGACTCAAAGGCCAATGCTCTTATGTATCTTATGTATGTTAATTCAATTCAATTTGTTTTTCTATTGCCCTAAATCACGATAGTCATTATTTTGGGAGACTTTACAAAAAACAGTTAATTTGCCAACGCAGATCAGAGAATCAAACCGTTCAAACACAAGAGATGCAGTGATAAAGAACACATAAAGACATTGATCCATAAGTGGCAGACGACAAATGTCCATAAATATCTTTGAATGTGGAGTGTCCTGGATCATCACCACTGTCCTTAGACCTTCCTCTATGTTAAAGCTGGATACCTAACTTTCAAGCCATAACAAAGTGACCAAAATGTAATCAACTCTATTCAAGTCTAGTTCCTCTCACTCGGAGCAGTTTGGTTCCATCACTAGTTTTTCAGCCTCTGTCACAGGTTTAGATCTGCCTTTTTAAACAGAAAAGTGACAAAGAGAGGACCACGCTCAGTCAGCCAATCCGAGTTTAGATGTGTTAAGTAATAATAGTAAGTAATAATAGTTGTCATTAACACAATAATTATAAAAGAAAGAATGCATAAGGAAAACAACAATAGAATGAAATAACATAAAACATCTATTTAATTTTTTTTAAATGCAATCTAAGGTACATTTTCAGCTCTCAGCCCAAACTGTAAAATAGTGCCTCACAAGCTTGTTCCATTAAGATTATGAGAGTCCATCTGTTTGGAAAAACAATCTCCTGGTGCCTGCTGCTGCCTCCTGACCGTGAGGAGCAGAGCATTCAGCCTTCCCCTTCCCCTCCGCAAGACCCGACCTCTCTCTTTTCTCTTTTACTCTATCCTCTTTCTGGTCTAACACTTATCTGAATCACTGGTCTCTCTTTCTGGTCCTTTCTCTTTGGTCTCTCTCTTCTCTCTGGTCTCTCGTGGATCTCTTTCCCTGGTCCCGCTCTGGTTTCTCATTGGCCTCCATCTGGTCTCTCTCTGGTCTTTCCCTCTTTCTCTAGTCTCTCTCTGGTCCCTTCTCTTTGTTCTGTCTCTGATCTTTTCTTTTTGGTCTCTTTCTGGTCTCTCTCTCTTCTCTTTTATCTCTCTGGTCTCTCTATTGTCTCTCTAACTGCCTTAAGCTCTGCCTTCAGTACACGCGGCCTCTACACTGCCCCCTTGTGGTAAATGTTAGTAACAGTGTTCCCATGGGTCTCAGGTATCAACAGTTGGACGAGGAGAACAGCGAGCTAAAGTCCTGTATCCCGTGTTTACGAGCCAACATCGAGAGACTAGAAGAGGTCGGTACAAAGCACTCTAACCTTCTATTTAGCAACGCATGTGTAACGGTCATTTTGCTTTTAATCACCACAGGAGAAGAAAAAATTGCAAGACGAGACCGAGGCCTTGTCGGACCGGCTGGAGGACGAGATGGAGAACAGACGGAAACTGGCCAATAAGCTGAGCCACGAGCGCCACACCAACCAGAAGGACAAGGAGAACACGCAGGAGGTGAGGCCACTCCCTGCGCACCACCAACACGGCCCTGTCGACACGGGTCTAAGCATCTCACCTCTGCTCCCCACAGCTGATTGAAGACCTGCGAAAACAACTCGAACACTTACAGTTGTACAAGTTGGAGGTGGAGACCAAGCGAGGACGCACACCGGGCGCCGGCCTGCAGGAGTACCAGACCAGGACCAGGGAGGCGGAGCTGGAGCACGAGATCAAAAGGCTCAAACAGGTACGCACAGGGTTTTCGAGGATTTGTGGTTCATGGCTTTAAAGCTGGGGTACCCAACTTTCAAACCCCAAAATAACAACCATCTTGTCAAATGTATGTATCTAGTTCTTTGATCTCTTTGCTTCTGTCACTAGTTTTCTCATGTATCAGTTTTTTCAGATGTAATGGATTTGTGTGTTTTCTGTGTTTTCAATATGATCCTATACTTGCACTATTGCACTACTGGTTAGATGCTAAACTGCATTTCGTTGCATTGTTTTGACTTTGTAATGACAATAACGTTGATTCAATGGGTCTTCATACAAGTATTCATAAGATATATATTTTCTACTAAGATAAAGGTCAGATGAGGTCTGGAACCGCTTTTTCCTTTTACACCATTCTTTCTATTAGGGCATAATAGAATAGGCGTGCGTGTGTGTGTGTGGGTGTGCGTGTGTGTGTGAGGGTGGGGGTGTGTGTGTGCAAGTGTGCAAGTGTGGGGGTGTGTGTGTGTGTGAGGGTGTGTGTGTGTGGGGGTGTGTGTGAGGGTGGGGGTGTGTTTGTGTGTGTGTGTGCAAGTGTGCAAGTGTGGGGATGTGTGGGGGTGTGTGGTGTGTGGGAGTGTGGGAGTGTGTGTGAGTGTGCGTGTGTGTGTGACGGTGGGGGTGTGTTTGTGGCGGTATGTTTGTGTGTCTATGGGGGGTGTGTGGGAGTGAGCGTGTGTGGGAGTGTGGGGGGTGTGTGTGGGAGCGTGTGTGTTCAGATCAAACAACTGCATCTTGTTTGTTTTTTTCTGCCGTATGAAAAATATCAGTTTTAAATAAACACTTACTTACAATGTGCGATATGTCTGAAGGAAAGTCCCCCAGCTTTACCTCCACAATGTCCGGTGTTAATGACGGCTGTTTGTGCAGGACAATCGCAGCTTGAAGGAGCAGAACGACGAGCTGAACGGGCAGATCATCAACCTGAGCATCCAGGGGGCCAAGAGCCTCATGTCAGAGTCCTTCTCCGACTCTCTGGCAGCCGAGATCAGCTCCGTGTCCCGAGCCGAGGTCTGCATCCACCACAAGTGCCCACGCTGGTCTTTCTCCGTCTCTGCCTCACTAACCCTGTTTTTGTTTTAGCTGATGGAGACGGTCCACAAACAAGAAGAAATCAACTACAGACTACAGGACTACATCGACAAAATCATCGTGGCCATCATGGAGTGCAACCCCTCTATTCTGGAAGTCAAATAGACACAAAGCTAGATGCAGATATCGGTAAAATATTGGAAAAGATATTAAAAAAATTACTATCAAAACAGCTCCCTGCATTAGAAAACGATATCCCCTCTACAAAACATGCCCCCATTAGTAAAAGTCCACGCTTCTGTCGTTTCTAAACAGCCGGGTTCTGTTGACCCCCGCATGCTGGTGGCTCGAGGAACCTCCTGTGAAGCAGACGGAGCCAATATCAAAACTTCTATCCAAAAACATGTTGCTGTTTTCTATTGGACGGAGTGGAACTGTGTCGTGTCGTGTGTTCTGCTGCTATGATGCTCTGCTCCACGAACGGCAACCCCTACAGTTTAGAGTTTTTTTCGCTTGCTGTGTCTCACGAAAATCACTAAACGACCCGAGTGACGGGAGCGCGCTTCCCGGAGGGTCGAGTGTGGGTTTGTTTCTTGCGTGGCTTAAAGAAAACTCAAAGGGAAATGTAAAAGATGCACAATCAGTGGTCGTGTTTCTGCCCCCTTATATTTACTTTCAACAATGAAACAAGGTTCATATGTGAGGTGGGCTTCAAACTGGGTAGAATCACAATTGTTATTATTTTCACTGACTGGCGTAAACACTGGATTAACTATTGTTTGTTAAGAAAACTGACAATTCCTAGCACTTTGTAAATAATGGGAAGCTGTTGTGTGTCCAGCCCACCTGACACGTGTCTCTTGGTTGAGTGAAAGTGACGAATGAGGCAGACTTTTCTCTTTTTTCCCCTTCACAAAAGTATTATTTTTGTATTTTTTTTTGACTAAAATGCAAAGAGTTGCACTATGTTTTTTTTGCTTTTATTTAATTGTATGTAACGTTTGAAGGGATTGGAAAGCTGACCAATAAGAAGCACTCAGATTTCCGATGCATTTCACGGTAGATTTGGAGACGCAGCATTAAGGTGGAGGCGACACCTGGAGCTGGACTTAATCTTTCTCACTTCAGCCACATCTCCTGCTGCGGGAGTGGAGGCTCTACTGCTGGTACTGACAGCACTTTGAGACTTTCTGGACTATATAATATTACTTGCGTTTCTGAACGGACTTGAGAGAATATGATGATCCGACCGCCGCGGCTCTGCGTCGGATACCCAGCCGCTCCGGGGGGAAAAAGGCTCGGATGTAAATGACCTGTAAAGTTTTTCTACTCTCATTCTAGATTCTAGGTATTTTTATAGCGGGAAGAACTTGCTGCTTTGCTCGGTGGGATCAGCAGCTCTTGCATGTAGCGTGTACAGTATAATGTCGGACTCTGTTCAATCCCAGATCACGTGTATATTCACTACAAGGTTCTGTGATGTACTGAAAATTTGTATATTGGTATTTTTGGAAAGAAGGCACTGTCATTTGTAAAAAGTAAAATATATATATATGAATCCCACATGAAGAATTTATCAAACCATAGACTTATTTAAATTATATTGTGTTAAGAGTTGTGCAGAAATGTTGGCGAGCTGTGCTTTTCTTTCAGGTCAATATCCTTTCTTGTAAAAAGCTGATGCGGTCGTCATGGTGACCGGGTGTAGATCGGCTCGCAAAACGCATCAAATGGATATCTTTTTAAGGGAAGTTCTAGTTGTATGATTTAAGGCATGTTTATATTCTTCCAAAGCGTTGTGAATATGGGTTTGCGCCTAATTTTCCGCTCACACGTGCCGGTTCCGATCCAGGCCGACATCACAGACGATTCTCCCCGCTCCTTCTGAGTCAAAGTCTGCAACGGAGGAGCCCAGAAACATTCCCTTTTAGCCGAGCTGAAGGTGATGCACTTTAGCCGGATTAATTTCCTCCTTTTTAAACTTATTTCTCAAATTGACCAAAGACTGATGTTTATGAATTAAAGTGACGGCGCTCCATCAGGGTCTGCAGGTTTTGGTTGGTTCACCGGAGCCAGAACTGAGAGTGAACAAAACTGGCCTCTAGTCCAACACTGTGCCTCTGAGTCTTGCTTGGATACAAAGCTTGTGATGAGCCTTTGGAAAAGCACTGACTGTGACTTTATCAGTTTGTCGTAATATTATTATTGAAATCAAAGTTGTAAATAAGAATCATCCTTTTGTGTACCTTTCTTTTCATTCTCTTCCAGTGTCCAAAGACGGCAGCACTGCAGTTGTGGTGCATGGTTTGCCTTGTGCATTGGGTGACATGGGAGAAACTATTGTAGACCAGAGAAATTTAAGGATCCAAAACATATTATTTTCAATTGTAATGTATAAATTATATCAGTATTGGTTACACAGGTGTATAATATTTTGGAGAATCACCAAACCATCCTTCTTGTTAATGGGAAAGTATATTGTAATTCTGTCGTTGTACAATGATAAAGATTTTACAGTAAGCAGTGGAAGTAAGACTAGAAAATAAAAGAATAAAACAAATCTGCTGTGTCTTCTCGATATTGTTTTGCTCTATGAATACATGTTATAACTCACAAGGACACTACTACTCTTGTTCCACCTCCTCTAACTACTACTGCCACGCCTACTACTACTTCTACGTACTCCTCCTACCACTACTACCTAGTTGCAGTGGCACACGTAAATAATTCAATGTGCGTAATATAGGTTAATTTCTAGTTATTTAGTAAAGTTATACTATCAATATCACATTTCATTGGCACTTTATTTTAGTCAAATGTTTGTATAGTTTTTCAATACATCATTTTAGGAAGAAAAATAAACCCTGAAACACATACGTTTGCTCCGTATTTCATAAAGCACTTTGGATTGCCTTGTTTGTGATGTAAATGTAGACTGTAAATATTATTATGAAGTTTTATTGTAGAAGTGCGCCTCTTGAATGCAGCCTGGTCTTCACCGGAACTATTGTTTGATTTGTTATGCAGCGCTACGGTGGTATTTTGATGTAGCACCGGCGTAAGAACGACATGGCGCTTCACGAGCTCCATGTTCACGAGTAGAAGATCAATATTACGGGTTTCTTTCATCCAAGCAACAATTCTATCATCTTTGGGGGTTTCCTGTTGTTTCTGGGTTGATATTGACGCATCGGTGAGTACGTGTTTTATGACAGCACCTGGAAGATATATACAGTTTATTTGTATTATTTGGTTGGAACCGTCACGTTATTTATTTTACCTGCAGAATAACAACGATCACGTCCCAAAGATGTTGACATAGATTTCACCACTTAAAGCTGGAGTCCCTCATTTTAATTCTAATAATGTTTTGTATTCTGTACTACTACTAATAATAATAATACATTTAGTTTATAATGCACCTTACATTTCCAGGACACCTCAAAGTGCTACAGATTAAAATACAAAACCGCAAGCAACAAAACAAAATAATACATAAATACATCAAAAAGATACATGAAGGGTTAATAAGATTTCTATTAGGCCTGATGAAAAAAAGTGTGTGTTTTTTAATGAATTGTAAAGCCCTCATTTTAAAACCAGGAATTATAACTGTAATAAAATCCATGTGACTAGGTCTGAGCTGTAGCGTTAGATGACTAGTTTTCAAATGCCTGTATGTTTAGTCTCTGTCACATCTTTAGAGCAGCGTTTTCAATAAAACGCAGAGGACCAGCCCTCTCTCAGCCAATCAGCTCTCAGACTGTAAAAGATAACCTGTTTTCCAATGAAAAAGACAGCATTTTTTCACAACTAAACTTAAATTACTTAAATTGTATACTATTTGGTGCACACTGTGGTATTCTTGTACAGTTATTACAATGTGGATTCACTGCAAATGGCAAATAAACGAATCTTGAAAGGTAGATAACGCTTAATGCAACGCTGTATTTATTTTATGTTCTATGAAAGTCTGATGCAGGTATGGAGACACTCAGCTCGGGATCAGAGCTGCGTGTGTCCGTGGGGCAGTGTTTTCGCACATTGAGTTCCTCTTCAGAGCAACACGATGTCATCTGCGCTCTCCAGACGCTCCACTCTCTCCTGGGCTCACAGGACGGCTCCACCTCCACCTCCACCTCCTGCTCCTCTGCTCATCAGGAGGAGTTCAGACGCTGCCACTATACCCGCACACTTCAGTTTCTCATCAGTCACATCCAATCAGACTGGCTTCACAACCTCACAGCAACCAAGAACACTCAATTATGGGATAGCTTATTTCTCCAAGGTCCTCCAGAACAAGCGCTTCTGGTCCTTTTGGAGGGGATTGGGCAGATAAGGTACGATTCGGCCTTGTCAAAAGTAATATATCCGCGCTATGTCTGTGTGTGGTGAATGTGTCCTATTCTCCAGCCCTAGTACTCACTTGGACTACTTGCTGAGCATCACAGAGACGTTCCTTCAAACTGGCCGGCTGAACGAGCTGCTGTGGTCTTACTGCTTAGGGGCCGGCCCCGCTGACTCGCCACAGTTCAGAGAGGCTCTGCTGGGACGTGTCGTGGCCCTTCCAGACCTCATGGCCAACAAGCTCCAGCTCAACAACAGAACAGTGTTTCTTCCACAGAATTATTACCCGTTACTGGCTCGAGGGATACTCATTGCTCTGGAGAGGACCTGCAAGGCATTAAAAGGTGATGCAAGTTTATTACCGTTTATGTGTTTTACAAAATATAGCAATAAGTTGTATTCATAGTCTAAGAACATTCATATTGTCTGATTTTGACTCTTAGATTTGCAGTCAAAACATGTTAAAAAGGCAATTACATCTAGTTGTGTGTCCAGAAGAAGTTTGGGTTGTGTTTATGTCATACTAGTGGTGCCTGTCCTCCAATTTTAATAAAACTATGGGAAAAAGTTATGGGAAAAAAGCAATTATTTAAAGAAATACAGAAAAAGCTGCCATATTAAAACATAGGTCGCCCCCTAGTGTTTATATTTATATAAGGGAAAAGGAACCGTTAAACTAAAATGTAAAAGGACGTGGTCTTCGTTCACTGTTGGCTGCAAGGTCATATTTTATTGATATTTTCAGCGCTTCTAAACACTTAAAAATCTACAAATAAAAATATTAGACCATAGTGGATATTATGTACTAATGTGGACTTTGTGACAGTTTTTGTTTCGAGTGGATTGGTCCAGCTATTACAACAAATTGTGACAGTTGCCATAGTTACCAGGAAAGATGTCTTAACTGTCCTCCACCACAATTTAAAACTACAGGCTCTTTGGAAGATTGTGATGTCACATGAACTCACCTTGTAGACTGGCCCGCATTCCTCTTTTTCAAACCACATGGTATTCTTCTCTTTCTACAGGAGGTTCTGACTGTTCCTTGACCTTCGTTGCTCAGACTCTTGGGAAAGTGTGTATCCAGGGCCACAGCGGTGCGTGTGTCGGAGCAGTCACCATAAACACGTTGTTGTTGTTGTTGTTGTTGTTGTTGACTTTGACTTTGACTGTCCACTCTGCATCCTAGCTTCAGTGATGGCCGTGCTTATTCCCTCGCTCTCAGAACGCACCACTGACGACATGGTGTGGCAGAGGGTCTGTTGGAAACTTCTGGAAAATGTGCCACAGCGTTGGATCCATAGCGTGCTCCCTCCTCTCGTGCAGGCCGTCTCCCGGTAACAGTCCTCTAACTTTGACATTTTTGGACATCTATCAACATTTATGGACATTGGTCTCTGCCTCTTATGGACCAATGGCTCTACGTGTTTCTTAAATGGATCTATAATAATAACTGGATAGGGTATTACTAGCTTACAGCTGTCCCACCCATGGGCTCAGGGGGCGCCCGTGGTACTACAGGCGCCTAACCCCTGCAGAGTAAATTCACGCGGGCTACCCAGAAAAAAGTCCCATAGAACTCAATGTAAATTAAAACAGCTCGATCTCAGCTGACAGAGAACCTACAGCTTTCATAAAGATCGGATTTTGTGGGGATTTTAGTGTCCCTTGTCATCCTGAACTTTTTTTTCTTCTTAAATCCTTCGGTTTTCTTTAAATCCACACTTTAGTGCCACAAACTCTGCTCCTTGCCTTCCCGCTCTGCTGCTGCTCTGATCAGCTCTGATTAGTCAGAGCGCGGCCGAGCCCCTCTGTGCACGTGCATGAGAGCCACACACGCGTATTTGGCACAAAGCATCATGGGAGCTCGAGCACTGCGCAGAACAAGGAGGACCAGACGATGCCCAAATATAGGCGAGTTCTGCTAATCTCCCGGTCTCCGTGAAGTCCCATGCTCTACTGAGCACAAGCCGTTCATTTGAATAGGGCGCCATCTATGATCACGGGGGCTTGGTTTCTTATCATTACATTTACATTACATTCATTTTTGAAAGAAATGCAGAAAACAGAAAATGTCAATGATTTCTCAGCTTATTATTTGATAGTGATTAAATTCATCAAGTCTGAAAGTCCTTTCTACTGAACACTTGATGAGGGATAACATGTCGAGACATACGAAAACGGCCAAAATAAGGATTAAACCAATATGTAGGTTGCCCCTTAGTGTTTTGGTTTAACCCTTATAGCAACCAGTGGGGGCTGGTCCCAGCTCAAAAAGGTCCACGAGCACGTTCGCTGACATACTTGCAGTGGGGGTGTACCCGGAAAAAGAATTACCCAATTCTTTTGTATGGCATCATCTTTCCACTCAAAAACAGCTTTACAGGATGGTCCAAAAGTCGCTCTTGGCCCAAAGCTAAGTTCCAGGTGTGTCAATGCTGAGGGGAGTATATTTTTTGGACCAGTCTAGTTTAGCCGCTGTGGACACTCGTCAAATGAACGGGGCTGGTGCCGGCAAACGCATGCAAAAATGCATTTCTTCACTTTGTGGGAGGGGCTGCACACGGCCATTGTGAAAAAGCCCCATAGAAGCCAAAAGTGATGACACATTAGTTTCAACGACGGGCGTCACTACGTTCGTTAATATTTACAGACTATGAAAGCAGCAGGCAGCAGACTTCAGAGATAATCAAATCGCCAACACAGATCTGTGTTGGCGATTTGATTATCTCTGAAGTTTGAATCGACAGCTTTGTAAAGTCCTCCGAGATAACTGTTGATTGTGTTTTAGGGAATTACAAAATTACATTGAATTGAATCGACCTGGTGCAGGAGTGGATACTGAAACTTCACTGTCCCTCTTTGTTTTTCAGACCCGAGGCTTTGAGCAGGATCATGGGGAATCTGGTGGTGTCCAATAAAAAGGCCCAGTTTGTGATGACTCATAAGATGTTGTTGTTGCAGTACAAGTACGAGGTACAGGAGCCACACTCTCTGCTCCCTCAGAATCAGGGGGTTTGATAAGGCTGTGTTTTTCAGACGCAGGTTCTGAGAGTCCTGTTGGGTTACCTGGCAGCAGACCGAGAGCGACGACCACTCCTTCTACAAGTTAGTTTCATGGTTTTTGTTCCTTTTTATAAATACAAACACAAGGGGGCGACTTATGTATTGGTCTCGGACAATACACCTCGCTCTAAAGCTCAGACTTAACTTCTATGATAGTCCACATATCTATAATACATAACAGGAAAAAGTCTGCGGCGGTTTATGCTCAAACTTGATCAAAGCAGAATTCACACTATCATCCAGGCAACTTCAGCTAACTTACCTACATCTCTCACTCAGGCGCGTCCAAATTAAGGCCTGCGGGCCAATTGCGGTCCTCTATGTAATGTTATGTGGCCTTGCTCACCCCATCATAAACCAGCTTGCAGTGTCAACCAGCCAACTTCAGCTCAGTCGATATAGGCAACATGTACCTCGTAAAACTTAGAACCTCTGATATTCTGCTGTTGACTTTAGTTGTATAAACAAACATTTGGTTTGGCTTGTGTCCATTATTGGCCATATTAAAGATGGTGGAAAGAGATGGTAATGCCAATTCATTCAGCTCCATCATGGATCATTTTAAATCTCAAAACAGCCTGAATCCAGTCAAAACAGTTTAACAATGTGTGTTGGCGGCCCCTGGATAAGCCTGGTGAGCTATAGTGGCCCTTTAACTAAATAGTTTGGAAAGCAAAGGAAGGTTTCTCACCCATCATCTGTACTTCAGTTTGGAAACGCCTTTGTTCTGACTAATCCCTGACTGCGAGCGTTCACAGACTTAAATAGTTTGGACACGCCTGCTCTAAGGCCTAGCGTACATCGACAGAGTAACTCGAGACAACTAGTTGCAAGGCGGCTTTTGGCAACTGAGAGTAGATGATGGAGATGATCAGTTGCCGAGATCGGTCGATGTGAGCGCTCTTACAACTGGAGATAAACAGTCGATCTCCGGATTTTTGGCAACTAGTTGTCCTCAGATCCGGAGATATCACCCGATGTGCGCGCTCCAACCACATGTGTTGAGAGTGTTGTCATGTGACGTATTGCGCGCCCTCTACACTTTATGTCAGAAAACACGCTGAAGTTGAGGCCAGTTGCTGTCGATGTACGCGCTGTTATTCCCGAGACTGTTCTGCTATGAAGAGTTTCCCGTTTTCGCCAGATTGTCGATGTGTGCGGGGCAGCAACTCATATGCGACGGATATAATCAGTTGCCAGTCCGATGTACGCTAGGTATTACAGCTCAAATCCAGTTGGTTACCTTTAAAAAAGTCTGCATTGCTTATTTTTTATTTTTGTTTTCTATTTATTTTTATTATTTGTATTATTATCATTATTATTATTTTATTCTTCTCTATTATTTATATATTTATTTTCGATTTTTGTTTTCTGTTTGTTCTGGTTGGGGTTGTACGTTTTTGTTTTAGATCGTGTTCTTGTTGAATGTTGAGTGAGTTTGTCTGTTTTGTCTGTATCTGGGCAAAATCCAAACCCGCTGGTCCCTAAAACACACATTTATATCCTGTACCTTGTCCCACGTGTCCTCTGTAGGTCCTGCGTTCCGTGTGTCAGGCGTGGGCCAATCCCAGCGCAGTGCGACACACCCCGCTGCAGCAGCAGATGTACATCAGCAAAGCCCTGCTGCTCAGCGTGGCTCTGCTGAGGGAGGCGGAGCTGACGGAGCTGCGTTCAGGTACAGACGTCCTCCCGCACACGCTCATCCTGATGTGCGGCCGATGCTGACGTAGAGAGTGTTTCAGAGTTGCTGCAGTGTCTTCTGGGAGGTGTGCAGAGCCACCTGGACAGCAGCCTGGTGCGGGTGCGACACATGGGGATGGCGGTGGGAGAGGGCCTCAGCGCTCGCCTCGACTTCAACGGAACAAAGCTGAAATTTGAGGTGACGTTTATTGTAGTTTGTCGTCACTCTCACTGTCTCTGTGTGTCCCTCCCCATCTCTCTTGCTCCCTCTCTCTCTGTCTCTCTCTCTTGCTCCCTCTCTCTCTGTCTCTCTCTCTTGCTCTCTCTCCCTGTCTCCTTGTGTATGTGTCCCTCTGTCTGTCTCTCTTGCACTCTCTCTTGCTCCCTCTATCCCTCTCTCTCTGGTTTCTGTCTCTCCCTTTCTCTCTCTCTCTGTCTCTCCCTTTCCCTCTCTCTCTCTGTCTCTTCCTTTCTCTCTCTCTCTCTCTCTCTGTCTTTGTGTCTGTGGGTGTCTCTCTTTGTCTCTGGTATACGCCTGTCTTTCCCTCTCTCTTGCTCTTTCTCTCCCTCTCTCGCTGTGTCTGTCTCTCTCTTTGTCTCTCTTGCTTGCTCTATCCCTCTCTCTCTGGTCTCCGTCTCTCTCTTTCCCTCTCTCTCTGTCTCTCACTTTCTCTCTCTCTCTGTCTCTTCCTTTCTCGCTCTCTTTCTGTCTTTGTGTCTGTGGGTGTCTCTCTTTATTTCTGGAATAAGCCCGTCTTTCCCTCTCTCTCTTGCTCTTTCTCTACCTCTCTCGCTGTGTCTGTACGTGTGTCTCTCTCTGTCTCTCTTGCACTCTCTCTTGCTCGCTTTATCCCTCTCTCTCTGGTCTCTGTCGCTCTCTTTCCCTCTCTCTCTGTTTTTCACTTTCTCTCTCTCTCTGTCTTTGTGTCTGTGCGTGTCTCTCTCTGTCTCTGGTAGACACCTGTCTCTCCCTCTCTCTCTTGCTCGTTCGCTCTCTCTGTCTTTCTCACTATCTCTGTGTGTGTGTCTCTCTGTCTCTCTCTCTCTGCATCTGTGTGTCTCACTCTGTTTCTCTCTGTCTCTGGTATACCCCTCTCCCTCTCTCTCTGTGTCTTTGTGTCTCTCTCTCTCTCTGTGTGTGCGAGTCTCTATCTCTCTCTCTCGCTCTCTGGTATCCTCCTGTCTCTATCTCTGTCTCTATCTCTATCTCTATCTCTATCTCTATCTCTATCTCTATCTCTGTCTCTGTCTCTGTCTCTGTCTCTGTCTCTGTCTCTGTCTCTATCTCTATCTCTATCTCTATCTCTATCTCTATCTCTGTCTCTGTCTCTGTCTCTGTCTCTGTCTCTGTCTCTGTCTCTGTCTCTATCTCTATCTCTATCTCTATCTCTATCTCTATCTCTATCTCTATCTGTCTCTGTCTCTGTCTCTGTCTCTGTCTCTATCTCTATCTCTATCTCTATCTCTATCTCTATCTCTATCTCTGTCTCTGTCTCTGTCTCTGTCTCTATCTCTATCTCTATCTCTATCTCTATCTCTATCTGTCTCTGTCTCTGTCTCTGTCTCTGTCTCTGTGTCTCTGTCTCTGTCTCTGTCTCTCTCTCTGTCTCTATCTCTATCTCTATCTCTCTCTATCTCTATCTCTCTCTCTGTCTCTATCTCTCTCTGTCTCTGTCTCTGTCTCTCTCTCTCTCTGTCTCTATCTCTCTCTGTCTCTGTCTCTGTCTCTCTCTCTGTCTCTCTGTCTCTCTCTCTAGCTCTATCTCTATCTATATCTCTGTCTCTGTCTCTGTCTCTCTCTCTGTCTCTGTCTCTATCTCTATCTCTATCTCTATCTCTGTCTCTATCTCTATCTCTGTCTATCTCTATCTCTGTCTCTGTCTCTCTGTCTCTATCTCTATCTCTATCTCTATCTCTGTCTCTGTCTCTGGCTCTGTCTCTGTCTCTGTCTCTATCTCTGTCTCTATCTCTGTCTCTATCTCTGTCTCTGTCTCTGTCTCTGTCTCTCTGTCTCTCTGTCTCTCTGTCTCTCTGTCTCTCTCTCTATCTACTGTATCTCTAAATATAAACATATTCTCTGTGTTTCAGTATGAAGCCGATGAGGAAACACAGGAGCTCCGTTCACTGATGAATCCCACAGAAGAAGAAGAGCAGGAGTCTGAGCCCAGAAGGTACATTTTAACTACATTTTTAATATCCCGATCCTTGTGTTTTCTGGATAATGCATTGGTTTTATGCTTCTTTTTGTTCCACACATGCATTTTGCCCACTGAGCAAACCGTTTTTTCATCCCAAACCTGTCGCCTGTTCCTCACACACTGAGCCACACAGGCTGGTCACAGATGTAGCAGTATTTTAGACTTCAGCTCATGTGGGTCAGAGGGCGAGGGTTCTGAGACGACACTCACTGACGCTTTTTGCTCTTGTAAAGATATTTGTAAATGTTTATATTGCTCCACATAAACCTGTCACGATCCATTATTCCGGGATTCCCTGGGGTCCTGCTGCCCTTTGACTTGACACTTGACTCATTCCTGTGCTCCCTGTGGGGAAAAGCCGACACTGGTCCAAACAACATGGCAACGTTTCCCTCTGCTGTCTCTGGTCGTCATGGCGATTCAACAAAGCACAATCCTGCAGTTTGAAAACGCCTGTTATCTAGAATCTGTTTATTATTATTTAGCATTTATTGTATTCAGGTGTTTTTAAGGCTGAATTAGAATTTTTTTTTTTAGATAAATACCCTGTCCTTTATTATGGTCATATCTGCAGGTGAAAGTCAGATCATGTCAGACCTCTGAAGCTAAGCAGGGCAGGGCCTGGTTAGTACTGTGATGGGAGACCTCAGGGAACAACAGGTGCCAACAGTGAGGTGGCTGTAAAGTGCTAAACTGTGGTTATGTCCTTAGGCAAGACAATTCTCCCACATTAGATAAAAAGAGTCTGGTGTGTGTGAATGGTTAGTGGTGGTCAGAGGGGCTGATGGCACAGACTGGTTGCCTCGCTTCTGTCAGTGTGCCCCAGGGCAACTGTGGCTATAATAATAGTTTATCACCATATTGTTTAGAGTGAATGAAAAATGACATGTGAAGCCTCTTTGAGTGTCCAGAAGCGCCATATAAAACCAAATGCATTATTGCTTACACTCCAGGTAAAGCAATAATCCGTTACATAATCTGCTACACTTTTAACTCCCCTTTTCAATTACAGATTAGATTTGTCCGACGTCTGCAAAGAGAACCCCTCCTCTACAGCTCCTCAGCATCAGCCGCAAACCGCAGACCCGGACTTGGATTTGGACAGGTTAATTTCATACATATTTGCTAAAAGTGTTGGGTTAGGGTTAGGGTTTTTGACCTGAATAAATTGCCAACATTGAAAACTTGCAGCGATGATGAACTGACGCCGTATGACATGTCGTGTGACCAGAAGCTGAACCAGGCCTCCCCTCCTCGGTACTTACGCGACTGTCTCGAAGGTCAGTTCTGAAGCGTGTCTGCGAACCCTCGAACTTAAGAGATTTTTCTAAGGATGTGTCTAATCAACCGCCAATGTGTTCTGTCAGTTTTAACTAGTTCTGAGGATGCTGCGCGGATGGAGCTCGGTCTGAACGTGGCCGAGAGTTTGGTGCTGAAAAATCCATTCGCGACTAAAGAGGTAGAGTTCAGAAGATGAGAATAGGTTTTAATGTTATCAACACTATCAGGTACTCTCTCTGTGTGTGTGTGTGTGTGTGGGGGAGGGGTCTCTCTCTATCTCTATCTCTCTCTGGTCTTCTGTCTCTCTCTCTCTCTTTCTGTCTATCTGTGTGTGTGTCTCACTCTCTCTCGCTCTCTCTATCTCTATCTATAAATATAAAGCACATTTTTCAGCTCATGTGTTTTACATTTCAGATCAGCGTCCAAATGACTAAAGTGCTGCTTCACATAGAAAACAAATTCAACATCGATAACTTCCTATCCCTCCGACGAGCAACAATGGTGGCCCTGGTCGTCACTGACTGTATCCCAGTACGACATTTCTCATACTTTACTTTCACACATACATAGCCTTTGCTCTTACTCACTGCCTTCTCCACAGGTCACTCAGTATCTGTCCACGGAGTTTTACTCAATGAACTATAGCCTCCGCCAGCGCCTTGACATTTTGGAGGTAGATATTGCCGATCGCTTTTGCTGAGGAAAAGAAAATCCACGTTGTGCGTCTGTCTTTAGGTGCTCGCGGGGGCGGCTCAAGAGCTTTCAAAACCAGTCTGCAACAAATCCGAGACTGGCATCGTTGTGGCTGCCTCGTCCCATTCCAGCCCGAACCCTGGAGACGACCCTGAGCACTGGAGACAGGTGGTGGATAAGCGAATTCAAAGCAAAACCAGGCGTCTCAATAAGGTACTATCAGATTTATTATTTTATTAGCAATGCCTGACAACAGCGCGGGGTCTTCATCCACACGCCACGTACAAACCAGTGGGGGAGGGTCCCAGCTCAAAAGTGGCCAAAATGACGTGCGCTGACATGCTTGCAATACCACCCCGGGCAGATGGGGGTGGACCCAGAAGAATTAGCCAATGTTAGCATTGGCAGACCTCTCGAAAACGTCTTTACAGGATGGACCAAAAGTTGGCTCTTGGCCCAAAGCTCCGTTCCACATGTGTGTCAATGCTGAGGGGGGTGGATTTTTTTGGTCCACTCTAGTTTACTTGCTGTGAATTTTTGAAGTTTCTCGTTCAAATGAATGGAGTTGCGCCGCTGACGCATGCGCAGATGCGTTTTTTCACAATTTTCTTGTGGGCGGGACCACTCACGGCCATTTTGTATAGCTCCAGTAGTCGATACCACTTGTGTTGGAGCTTGTGTTTCACAGCAAGAAGGACCTGGGTTCGAATCCCGGTCGGAACAGGGCGTATCTAAGTGGAGTTTGTCATGTTCCTGTGTATGCGTAGGTTTCCTCCGGGTGCTCCGGTTTCCCCAACCACTAAAACCATGCATATTGTGTGTGTGTGTGTGTGCCGTCATCACTGTGTTGAGAGAATGGAAAATTATCTGAACATTGTAAAGCGCTCCGGGTGACCTCGGCCTGTCATTTGCGCTATATAAATAAACGTCACTTATAATTACTATCATGTACAGATGTATACAATATACATTTCTTGCACTAGAATATACATTACGATATTTTAGACTTCCATGTTATGCTTACTACTTGTGCTAAAGCCAGAGATTATAGAGTTTTTGTTCCTCATTCCTACTGTTCTGAAACTGATGATGCAACACTGAAATTTCCCCACTGCGGGACCAATATATGATCTCTTAATCCTAATCTTATTGTGCTTCAGGGTTCCACTCGACCTCTCCAAGCGGCTCCAAACCGCTACGCCGCCGTCGCTGGACACTTTTTCTTCCCTTTGCTCAGAAATTATGACAAGTCGGTCTTTACTTTTCTCTTTATTTGAACGAATCTTCAGAACTGAAATCACTCATGGTCCATGTTTCCAGGCCACAGGTGACCTTTGACCTTCTGGGCAGTGACCACCTGGTGCTGAGTCGGCTGATCCACACTCTAGGTCTCTTCATGCACCTTGCACTTCATGCTCCGGTACCTTTTGTTTCACTAATGAATCACTTTCTTTTAACACTAGGACACCCAGAGCAGTTTTTAGTTTTATAAGTGTTGTAACTCAGCCTAAGTAAAATGTCCTGCCTCTGTATGTAGTTTATTTGTCATTGTCATTGTTTTTATAAAATTTGAGTATGTTTATGTGAAATTCCATTGAAGCCATTTTGGTCACTTACAAATAATATTCTGTCAGTTAGTTATTTTTCTCATTGTGCTGGTCCTGGACTGGTCCTGGTTCTGTGAAGAGTCAGCTTGTTTTCCCACCAGAGAAGGGTGTGCTTGTTACCATAGCAACACACAGTTTACTTGCTAGCACCGTTGGAGAAATTCAGGTGTCCAGTGGCAGCAAAAATAAAATGGTAGCATCTAGTAGTTTCAGCATTCAGAATTGTGAAACTCAAACTCTTAGAGCTGTCATTTTGACTGCTCTCCTTCAAACCATCACAAAATCTGAGAAAATAGTTTAGTTTTTTGCCAGATTTGATAAACGTAAGTGATTTAGAATGACTTATTTTATCTGTACTTACTTGTATTAAGAGCTAAAACTGGTGATTAAAACTTGAATGCAGCTAAATCAGTTTGTTGAAAGGCTAATGCTAAAGATCAAATGCTAACTGCTGATGGTAAACAGTGTGTTGCTATGGTAACCACCAGCACTCCCGTCCCTCTGGTCGATACCAAACTGAACCAAAATCTATTCAGGGCCGGAACGAGTCCAAGACAAGGACCTTTGAAAAAAAAAAAAAAAGCTTTAACTATCTTACAAAGAAAGCAACCGAAACTATTGAAGAAGATGAGCCAAGTCTGGGATCGCGTCTTTAATTCTGACAGAAGACATGTTTTATTGTCAATGGTAGAGACAGCACGAACAAAGCACACAAGCACAGATACAACAGAATGCAAGTGTATTATACAGAGCGGAGGCATGGAGACCTCCAATCAGCAGCTTCCACAGTGCCATGTAGCTTGGCCTTCAGATAGACACAACAAGGGGAAAGTACTGGCTTCTGCACATTGATAGAATGATGAGTTTAACCTTAACAAAAGTTGCTTCAAAGTATTATGAAATCTCACACTACTACTAAATATAGAAACAGAAGAAGCCACAAAGTTATGAAGACCGCAAATGTCAATGAGCTGAGTAACTACACTTACAACACTAAAACCCGTCAAATTGACTGCTCTGAGAATTCTAGTGTTGAAGCTAGAAGTGTGTTTTCTGTCCACAGGCAGCCGCACAGATGGGGTGTGCTCTGTTGGACTTTGTGTGGACAGTGCGGTATCACGCAGAGCAGTGAGTAAAAGCCCTGATGAGGAAAAACAGTGGACAGAAAGTACATTTGTGGTAACTCTACCTCTTACAGAACCGTGAGGAGAGGCGTGCTATTCGCAGTTTGCTCTGTGTTTTTGAGCATGCCCAGTCAAAACCTGCTCCTGGATCTCGGGGATAAAGTGTTTGAGACGAGAGCTTGGTTAGCGGGTAAGAAGAAGAATCCACTGGGTCAGGGCAACGAGGGAGAGGTCATGGCTTATTCTTAGTATTTGGACAGACATGAGAAAACTACAGACCTCCTGAATGCACGACAGAGGCTACAGACTACTGATGTTTGTTTTTTTAATGTGACGGAATTCTCCACACTCATTTTACTTTAGTATTCCAAATTACATTCTACCTGTATATGGAATAACAGAAATGTTATGGTGTGGTATGTACTGTATTTGAGCAGGGACAGTGTACAATTTAACATTAACACAAAGGAGAGATCTATTGTACCAGGTTATAGTAAAGATGCTAATTTTCACCTGTAGTCCCTGGGCAAGATCAATTTATTTTTGTAGCGCCAAAAATCACAGCAGCAGTCATGGACATTGGTCACCTGCCCCTTTATGGACCAATGGCTCTGTGTGCTTTTTACCATTGCATTTCCTGTGTTTGCACTGTTTGGCCAACACAGATCAGAGAATCAATCTACAGTTTTGTGAAGTCCTTCGAGATGACCGCTGCTGTGATTGAGGGCTATACAAAATGAAATTGAATTGACCAGTCGTCTTCAATGGCTTCCCACACTTGTTGATTTGCCAACAGCTGATAGAAAATTAAACCGTTAGAATGAAACAATAAAAGGAATAGTGATTGGTGCATAAAAATAAACAGATGACTCAGTGTTTACAGGTGTTTGAGAACATGGGTAAATGTCCTAAACTCATGTTGACTGGCAAAGCTGAATACTTATTCTGGGAAATGGATGAGGAACAAGGATGTCCTGTGCGACATGCATTGTCCATGACGTGACTGGAACCTAAAATAAAACTTTTAGATTGGAGGAAACGACATTGTAACATTTTAGTGTTTTTTTTTTTACAGCCTGCAGTGTATGAAACATTGTTTGTTCATGTTGTAGATGTGACTGAAGGGGATGCAGACTCTGACTGCCGCAGCCTGGCCTTACAAAGTCTGGTTCTTCTGGACAAGGGCCTTAAACAACAACTGCAAGAAGATCCATAAGCTCTAAGCTCAGTCAGAATGTTGTTCTCACTAAGGTCTCGAACTATGGACAAAGTCATGTAACAATGAGCTACATTACATCAACAACTGTATATTGTAAATAAGTGTCAATATTGGTCATAATGTAAATAAAACCTAACATTGTTTTTAAAACATTTGCTGTATTTTTCAAAGGTAAAGGTAGTATTTCAATATCCGTCAAGTAACATGAACTTTGAAATAATTTTTATTTTGTATTTAATACAAATCCAATATATAATCATGTGTCCACTGTCACTGTGTCCCAGACCCTCATGCTGCTAACATGTACAGATGTAAACATGTCTGCACTAGGATTTATACTTACCTCTTTATTATGCTAAAGTTTGAGATTTTATTTTGTTTTATGTAATTTTTTTAGTAGTTCAGTATAGAGCTTTGTTCATTTATCTACTGTTCTGTTACTAGTTATGCAACACTGAAATTTCGCCACTGTGGTACAAATAAATTATCTCTTAATCTTATTTTTATTTTTTTTATTTAACCAGGAAAGTCACATTGAGATCAAGAATTTCTTTTGCAAGGGAGTCCTGAATCAAGCACATCATGGAATTATTAGTTCTACGTGGAATAATTCAACATCTAACTAATTTACCAACTGATAGTTTCCCATGTGGGTTTGGTCTAGGGTTAGGGTTAAGGTACAAAAGTTATATAGAAAATCACACAAGCGATAAAAGTTTGTTAAATATTTCCACATCGCTTCACATTATTTTGAGCACAGGCGTCATCTGATCATTTCCAACGGCACAACATCTCAGGCACATTAACCTCCCGCGGTCCACTTGTTAAAAAAACATTGGTTTAATACACACAAGTTACAGTCTATGAAAAATGTAAATCTCCCAGGGGTGTTTTTGGAATGTCTCATTTTTTTTTCTCCTTAACTCCGCCCACCTTTGTGTTGTCAGGGGCAACAAGGAAAGACGCTCTGCTCAAGACTAACACTACAACACAGGTTTGTTTTATGCAACTACGACTGAAATATGCCAATGTGAGGATCATTTCTAGAGGGCAACTAGGCTCTGGACCAACCAAACAAACACTATTCATGACAGTGACAGGAGACGGTCATGTATGCTCTTGTACGAGACTAGCAAGCTAAGCTATCACACCAGCTAACAGGCTAACTTATGCACCAGGCGCAATTGTGTATTAGCATTTACTATAAGTAGATTTATAAAGATACTGTTTTATAAATATGTAAACACGCAATAATAGGTGTATGAGTGAGGGTCAACGCCAATAACTGTGTTGAGTGTGGATAAGATAATGCTGATTTGATAGACTTTTATTTGTAAATGGGCTCCACGCTTCTCTTCATCTTTCATATTATGTTTTAGCGTCACGCCACTGGGGACATGGCGGTATATTTTGACCATCCGATTGATGCCCCAGAGAGCAGTGGTGCGCCCATACAGCTGACCTGGCACTCAGCTTCACCAGTTCTCGCTGTGGCTTCAAGTGGTCCCAGCTCTGGAGCTGTCGATGTTTACATGCAAAAGGTACAGAACACTCATCTTTCAAATGGAGGATTACTGACTGCTATCATACATCTGTTCTTTACAGGGCGACTTTGTGGAGAGGTGTCACATAGAAAGACCTTACCAACCCACTGTGGTACTTTGGCATCCCACAAAGCCAGTGCTCGCTGTTGGCTGGGAGAATGGAGAGGTGATGCTGCTGACTTATCCGTCTGGAGAGCACACTGCTCTGCCCAGCACACATTCAGTCTCATGCTCTTTGCTCCAATGGAGTGGTTTTGGAAGCCGCTTAGTTACAGGCGACCAGGTGAGGACTTGTTTTAATTATGTACTGTATGTATAAATACATGTATGTATTAATTCCATAATCTAATCATATTATTTCAATAAAGAATGGAGTTCTTGCAGTTTGGAATATTGATGGAAAGGGAAGATTACAAGGACATCATCTCACTAAGCACGAATACAAAAGACCTTTATCCAGCTGCGTTTTCAAACCAGTCAGCCCTGGAGAGTAAGTTTAGCCAAGCTCTGTCCTTTAACATACTTTATTAAAATTCCTCTGACTCTGTTTTCAGTGATGTGGTGAAGCTCGCCCAGGCGTCTGTACGGGGAGATGCAAGTGCTTTAGATAAGTTTGGTTGGAATAACACACCCCTCAAGATAGGCCCTCAAGAAGAGCTTACATTTTATATAAGCACCACATATGGTAAAAGTGTATCTGTATTTCATCTAATAATGTCACTACATCCCATGGCATCCTAAACGTGATTCTCGATAACAAACAGGTACAGTCTATGTTGTGGATGAGAATGGTAAATCAAGCGAACTTCTAAGTGTGGAAGGAGCCATTAAACATCTGTACTACTTTGACAAAAGAGATGTCCTGGCTGTAATCACAGAGACGATGGTTCTCTCGCAGTACTCGTTAGGACCCCCAGGTCAAGCCCAGGAGTTCATGCAGGTATTTTACATGAATTTTTCTATTTTTATTGTGTTCAAAGCTAGTAACGTTAGTCATGTTGTCTCCATTGTTTATCAGCGAACACACTGACTCTTCCTATTAAACATTAAAGGTCAAGTTGAGCAGCAAGTCAAGGCTCATTAACTCCATCGCTTGGACTGATAATGGCATTCTAATAACAACATCAGGGGACCAGGTCGTCAGGTTTGTTTAGACACACAACCCTTTTGAACCTGTGACATCGCCGAAAACTGAAAAACTGAAAACTGAATGCGCTCTTAGGCTGTGGGACCTTGATCGCGACGACAACTATGTTCTATCTCTTGAAGAGGCAGTGGGATTTGAGAGCGACGAGGTTGTCAACTGTGTGGCTTATTGTTCAGGAAAAGGTACAACTACATTATTACTATTATTATTATTATGTGTGTAGGTTTGTTTGGTTTTTAATGATTTTAATTCACAGGGATACTGGCTGCAGGTACCAGTTGTGGTCGCATAGCAATGTGGAAAATGGTGGTGCAGTCGGGTAGCAACAAGACAGACAATAAAATCAAGTGGAAGTTACAAGCTCCTTCTGACATACAGGGAAACGTCACTCAGTTAGAGGTGATTGCATGAATGATATCCATGTTTCTTTTGTTGTTTTGCTAATGCTGTTAATCTGGCATCTCTTCCTTTTGTAGTGGAGTTCCAACTTGCACCTTTTAGCTGCTAACAATTCCCACACAGTAATGATCCTGTCTGAGCACGTGATGTCCGCGCACTTCAGCCAGCAGGTGGCAGCAGTGCAGCTCTCCCCCACTCAGCTCAGTGTCTCCGAGTTCAACTCAGATCAGCAGCTCGTCCTTCAGTCAGACTCGCATATAAAGGGCGTCTGTGGCACTAAGGTAAAATCAGTCATTACTCTGACTCTAACCCTAACCCTGGGATCACACACAAAATGTACTTTATTGTGTGAGGTACTTTTCTGTATTAGATTTGAGAAGGAGAGATGGTACATGACAATTTTGTATTTGTTGAATGAAACAGGAGTCACTGATAGTCTGGAGTGGGAAGCAGATCACTGTGTATGAAATTACAGGAAGCACGTTACGCATTTCTGGTACAATTTCAATTCATTACAATCATGATTAATCTCCTTGACAAGCCCATCTTTTATTGTACGTCTTCGTTCTTCTGCTTTAGCATCCTTCCCCTGTGACACCCCTATAGTAGCGGCTCATGGAGAGAATCTATACACCGTGGAACCCAATAAAGTCCAGATTCGTACCCCCCAGGTTCAACATTTATCAAACTCCTCCACATCATGTAATTACAGTATATGAAGCAACTTTTCTTTCCTACTTAGGGCACAGTAAAGCAGTTATTATCATTTTCCAAGACTGAAGGGAACCCCGTACTGCTGAGTGTGTGCCAGTCTTACCTCGTCGTGGGCACAGACACCGCTCACATCAGAGTGTTCGATCTCTCCCGGAGGTGGGTGTCCGTTCCATATTTGTTTACAGAATATCGTCGCCACAAATCTAATGTCTGTTTCTCTTATTTCTAGAGATGCTAAAGCTCACTCAAGTGCCAAGAACCTGGCTGATGGCATTTCTAATTTGGGGACCTTGATTTCTGTTAAGTGTAACGCAAACGCCAGCCAAGTCAGCGTCCTCATAACACGGGTTAGTAACTGATGTCACATGGGTCGGGAAAAGTTGATAATTGATTACAATGTATTTAGACACAGATAATGCACCATATTTACCGGACTATGATAATAATACAAATGATTATAGTTGTAACGGTTTGTAGGTTTGGGGAATATGGTGGTAGTGGAGTTATTATTTGGGAAGGTTTTGGTTTTATACCGGTGCCAGCCTGGTATCCCTCCTGACAAGTGGGATAGTAATGGTTTGTGAACTATTGTACCCGCCACACAAGGACTTATAATATGAATATTATAAAGAAAAAGGTGAATGACAACAAAACAGAAGAAAAACTTGTCCACACAGAAAATTAAATAAAGAGTCCCAAGTGTATGTTCATAAGTCCAAAAAGGCAGTCCAAAAGTGAAAATATTTCCCCTCCCAAAGTTCACAAATTCAGGTAACTCCCCACATAAGCTGCTCCACAGCACAAGCTGAAGATAAAACACACACAGAAAAATAAAATCAGACAGTTTTCACTATACGTTTACGATAAGGAGAGAGTAAGTCTAGTTCTAGTAACAAATAATTTAGTTTTGACTTTCCAGGAGGCAAATGGTAAAGATCTTAGAAAATCAAAAAATCCAAGGCACTCGTGGCCAATAGTTTAGAAAGTTTAAAAAGCCTTTAGTTTGATTTTCTAAGATCTTCTTCATTTGCCTTTTACCTTGAAAGTCAAAACAAAATTTTTTGTTACTAAGTTAAACCCCTCTTCCAATTGAGCACCTGGTCTTTTAAATACTTTTACACGCAGCACTCCTTACCCTTTATAAGTCTAGTTCTAGTTTAGTCTTTATTTGAAGGGACAATGTACAGAGACATTAAGCTCAGAGACATAGTTTCTGCACCAGATTTTAGCTAAACAGCTAGTTTCCATCTGCAGTCGCTGGTTACATAATTAAAATACATGGATACAGTACATGTACAATCCATCCATCCATCCATCCATTTTCTTCCGCTTTATCCGTTGCCGGGTCGCGGGGGCAGCAGTCTAAGCAGAGACGCCCAGACTTCCCTATTCACACACACCTCCTCCAGCTCGTCCGGGGGGACCCCTAGGCGTTCCCAGGCCAGCTGAGAGACATAGTCTCTCCAGCGTGTCCTGGGTCTTCCCCGGGGCCTCCTCCCGGTGGGACGTGCCCGGAACACCTCCCCAGGAAGGCGTCCAGGAGGCATCCTGAACAGATGCCCGAGCCACCTCAACTGGTTCCTCTCGACGTGGAGAAGCAGCGGCTCTACTCCGAGCTCCTCCCGTGTGACTGAGCTCCTCACCCTATCTCTAAGGGAGCGCCCAGCCACTCTGCGGAGGAAGCTCATTTCCACCGCTTGTATCCGCGATCTCGTTCTTTCGGTCATTACCCAAAGCTCATGACCATAGGTGAAGGAGGGAACGAAGATTGACCGGTAAATTGAGAGCGTTGCCTTTCGGCTCAGCTCCCTCTTTACCACAACGGTCCGATACAGCGACCGCATCACTGCGCACGCTGCACCGATCCGCCTGTCAATCTCACGCTCCATCCTCCCCTCACTCGTGAACAAGACCCCGAGATACTTGAACTCCTCCACTTGAGGAAGGACCTCTCCACCCACCTGGAGAGGGCAAGGCACCTTTTTCCGGTCGAGCACCATGGCCTCGGATTTGGAGGTGCTGATTCTCATCCCAGCCGCTTCACACTCGGCTGCAAACCGTCCCAGTGCATGTTGCAGGTCCTGGTTCGTTGGAGCCAGCAGGACGACATCATCCGCAAAAAGTAGAGATGAAATCCTGTGGTTCCCGAACCGGACCCCTCCGGCCCCTGGCTGCGCCTAGAGATTCTGTCCATAAATACAGTGAACAGAACCGGTGACAAAGGGCAGCCTTGGCGGAGGCCAACATGCACCGGGAACAGGTCTGACTTACTGCCGGCAATGCGAACACAGCTCTGGCTCCGGTCATACAGGGACCGAACAGCCCTCAGCAGATGACCCCGGACCCCGTACTCCCGGAGGACCCCCCAAAGGACACCCCGGGGAACACGGTCGAACGCCTTCTCCAAATCCACAAAGCACATGTGGACAGGTTGGGCGAACTCCCATGAACCCTCGAGTATCCGATGGAGAGTATAGAGCTGGTCCAGTGTTCCGCGACCGGGACGAAAACCACACTGCTCCTCCTGGATCCGAGATTCGACCATCGGACGTAGCCTCCTCTCCAGTACCTTGGAGTAGACCTTACCGGGGAGGCTGAGGAGTGTGATCCCACGATAATTGGAACACACCCTCCGGTCCCCCTTCTTGTAGAGAGGGACCACCACCCCGGTCTGCCACTCCATTGGCACCGCCCCCGATCGCCACGCGATGTTGCAGAGACGTGTCAGCCAAGACAGTCCTACAACATCCAGAGACTTTAGATAGTCAGGACGGATCTCATCCACTCCCGGCGCCTTGCCACCATGGAGGCTGCCAACCACCTTGGTGACCTCGGCCAGGGAGATGGAAGTATCCGCCCCAACATCCTCAGCCTCTGCCTCCTGGACGGGGGACGTGACGGGGGGATTGAGGAGAACCTCGAAGTATTCCTTCCACCGCCCGACAATATCCCCAGTCGAGGTCAGCAGCCCTCCACCCGCACCATACACGGTGTTGGCAAAGAACTGCTTCCCCCTCCTGAGGCGCCGGACGGTTTGCCAGAACCTCTTCGAGGCCGACCGATAGTCATGCTCCATGGACTCTCCGAACTCCTCCCAGTCCCGGGTTTTTGCCTCTGCAACAGCCCGGGCCGCGGCACGCTTGGCCTGCCGGTACTGGACAGCTGCCTCAGGAGTCCCACGAACCATCATTGCTCGATAGGACTCCTTCTTCAGCCTGACAGCATCCCTTACTGCCGGTGTCCACCACCGGGTTCGGGGATTGCCGCCGGGACCAGCACCAGAGACCTTGCGACCACAGCTCCACTCGGACTCGATGTCCCCCTCCTCTGCCGGGACCTGGGAGAAGCTCTCCCGGAGGTGTGAGTTGAAAGTCCGTCTGACAGGGGGCTCACCAAGACGTTCCCAGCAAACCCTCACTACACGCTTGGGCCTGCCAGGTCTGACCGGCCTCCTGCCCTGCCAGCGGATCCAACTCACGACCAGGTGATGATCGGTTGACAGCTCCGCCCCTCTCTTCACCCGAGTGTCCGAGACACGCGGTCGAAGGTCAGATGATACGACTACAAAGTCGATCATCGACCTCCGGCCTAGGGTGTCCTGGTGCCACGTGCACTGATGGACACCTGTACAATCCAATAGATACATTTTTATTCGCACAGCACTTTTCAAAAACAATAATTAGCTACATAGTCGTTATAATTTACAATACCAAAATAAAATAAAACAAAGACAACTTGGAACTATAAAATAAAACATGTGAAGTTTACAACAGATAATTCCAGACCACTTGGTTTAAAACTAGGTGCTGTTGGTGCTAACTTTTTAAATAATCTTTGAACCCTGTGGCATCTGTAACAGCCATTGTATGTATTTTTTATTGTGGTAGAGTTGGGCTATTGATTCAAGAAATTATTTGCCATTTTGCAGTAAATCCACATTGGAAAAACTGTGCAAGACTTCCCCAATGTGCACCAAACCATGTTGTTAGAGCAGAGACAAAGATTATGGAGCTGAGATTATGGACTCTATCCAGTTTTAGCTGAAATCTTGTTTACTGTCAAAATAGATTGGTGAATGAGTCATGGAAGCTAAAAGTTTAGGTGAACGTGAGTGAATGTTTGCTTCCTCGGATTTAAGTGTTTTATTTATCCTTTTATCTTTGTCCAACAGTGCATTAAACACCTCTTCCTTAAATCATGAGTTGTTTCAAAGTTAAATTATCCTTGTTTTGCTCCATCCGCTGTTGGTTTAGTTTCATTCCGACATGAAAACCTTATATTCAAGCGCGGCCTAAATGTGGACAGAATTTACTTTCTTTCACATCTTGTCTCCACAGATAAACGGAAAGCCAGATCATAAAGTGTATTTTTATGATGTTGAGATGGACACTATTACACACTTTGACTTCTTCAGTGGACGTCCCTCCAGTGGTATCACCGCATCTGAAGAAGGGGAAAGGTACTGAGTCTCATACTATGTCTGATTTATTAGTTTATTATTTATTAAAGCTGGGGAGCCCAACTTTTTTTGTTTCATAAAAAATACATGCATTTTTTCATAACAGAAAGAGTTTTGTAAAAGTATAATGTTGTGAACACATCAGACCACACCGTGCTATCTTAATACAAAACACATAAACTTTTCACTATCTCTTAGAAGTGTGTTCCCCTTTTTTCACTTTTCTGTGCAACAAAGCATTTACCAGAAGCTCAGAAATTACATAAGTTTGTGATTGTGGCTGAATTAATTAAGCATAAATAGATATAAAAATGACTTTTGATGACACCAGTCATGGTTACTACAAGATACAGTCTGAAACAACAGAAAATAAACCATACACAAAGACAAGGAGGGACTTTCAGCTACATGGTGTTGTCAGTGGATCCACAGACAGAGCACCAGAAATCAGAGCCTCATATATATATATGTCACAGGTTTAAAAGTGTCTGTTGAGGGGGTGTGATCTATAAAAAGCAGAAGGGGATAAAAAGGGTATAAAATTTAATAAAATATTTACAAAAAGGTCCATTAAAAAGATGATAAAAGCCCAGAGTCCGTCTCCACTGGCCTCCGCTCTTCTCCCCTGGGACCGGGCCGCAGTTCCGCCAGCCACTAGCTGACCACGGGTCGGCACCGGGCACCCGCGGAGGAGAGCCGGCACATCCCGGTTGTCGGTGGGCCTAGCCCGGGCGCGCAGGCGCCTTCATGCGCTGTCAATGCGCGCCCCCTCACCGGTGCCGCTGGCGGTGCTCGTCCTCGTCCTTGGCCCGGTCCCGTGTCCTCCTCCTCTGGTCTTCCGTGTGCTCTCTGTCTCGCCTCTGTTCTGCTGCAGTGCCCGCCCCCAATTAAAAGGTCTTGATTAAAAACAGGTGTGGGTGATTAGGGGAAGTGTCCAGGGAACAGTGATAAAATGCATGCATTAAAACCATAAAAACACACAAAACACATCACAAAAATAAAAGCAGTTAAAAGTCATTTTTAAAAGTCCACTTTCCCACATATATATATATATATATATATATATATATATATATATAGTAGCTGTGATGTCATGAAATACATGTCAGGAGGTTGTTCAATTCACATACACAGAGATTTGTGGCTGTGGAACAAAGGTTGACCCCCAGGGAGATACAGTGGTAACTGGAGCCTTCTAAGACAAATACAATGTTGACAAATAATCAACAGTGTTTATAAGCTGATTATAAAGTATTCTTCATCTTGTGTTTCAGGCAGAGGTTTGAAGGGACGGAGCTCAGTGGCCGCTGTCCTGTCTCTCACGTTTGGGACGAGAGCGAACCTCGTCTTTGTGTTTGTGAAATTGTGCCAATCAGTTCAGAGTCTTCCGCCTCAGATCCTATGGACGCGGTAATGATGACAGCAGAAGTGTAAATGCAGACAGGTCCTGTGGCTCATGGAGGCGTTGGTTTGTTGGTTTCAGGTGGATGTGACGGTGGTGACACTGTTCTGCACTCAGGAACACGGGCTGCTTCTACACGACTGCTTCCTCAAACCCTCAGGACTGCAGTCTCTGCTCGCTCTGGATGTGCCTTACTACTACTTCATCTGCAAGGTGAGGCCTGTGCGCTCCTCTGCCGCTCCGACTGGAACACTGCAGGTCACATATAGGACTTCACCATCTCAAAATATTATTGTATTTGCAAATGATTCATTAAATATTATAATTTCATTCATGCATAAACATTGTCTGTTAGAATCGGCCCACAAACTATTTTTTTGAAGGTTCAATTCAATTTATTTTTGTGTCGCCCTAAATCCCCACAGTAGTTATCTCAGAGGATTTTACAGAGCTGCTCTGATCTTTCTTTTTGCCAACACAAAGATCAGAACACGTATTATTAACAGCGCTCCAAGACATCCGATTTGGACGTAACAAAAGTGAACACGATTGTTACGTCCAAAATTCCTAGTTTGTCCGCAGTTATTGAATAATATTTTTGCATAATGTAAAAACTATAATTATATATTGATTACAGTTATATCTCCAACCATTAACCATTAAATATTCTTCTCTGTCCTGTTCATTCTTCCATTCACAAAGCCTCCAACACGACATGTCCTAAATGTAACAATTATGTCCCCAAAGTTCAATTACATTTTTTTGAAAGGCCTCCATTTTTCTTGAAATAGTTTTAGCTGCTAACACTAATCCACATCAACAATTATTTCTGTTTTTCTGCTGCACCCAATAAAATGGTTCACTAGTTCACAACAGTCTTCAAGCTTGTCTTTCTCACAAAATGACCTGCTTCCAGCCTGGGGAGGGCGATCCATCATGCCAGTCCAAAGCTGCCTCCTCTCCACTCAGCGAGCCTCCACAGAGTCCAGCTGCGCCGAAGACGGTGGCGAGACGAGCGCTCCGAGACTTTGTCGGGCTGGAGACATGTGACAAGATCACGCGAGACGCCATGTTGAATTTCAGCTTTTACTTGACCATTGGGGACATGGACGAGGCCTTCAAGTCCATTAAACTGATCAAGAGGTAAAACACACACACACACAGGCAAAGAGAGAGACACACAGGCAAAGAGAGAGAGACACATACACACACACACAGGCAAAGAGAGAGACACACAGGCAAAGAGAGAGAGACACATACACACACACAGGCAAAGAGAGAGAGACACACACAAACACACACAGGCAAAGAGAGAGAGACACATACACACACACAGGCAAAGAGAGAGAAACACACACAAACACACACAGGCAAAGAGAGAGAGACACACATGTACACACACAGGCAAAGAGAGAGAGAGACACACACACACACACACACACAGGCAAAGAGAGAGAGAGACACAGAGAGAGTGAGAGAGACATACACATTACACACACACCCAAGCAAAGAAAGAGACACACCCACACACACACACACACACAGGCAAAGAGAGAGAGACACACACACACACGGGCAAAGAGAGAGAGACACACACACACACAGGCAAAGAGATACACAGAGAGAGAGAGAGAGACACACACGGGCAAAGAGAGACACACACACAAAGAGAGAGACACACACACACAGGCAAAGAGAGACACACAGAGAGAGAGACACACACGCACACACATGGGCAAAGAGAGAGACACACACACACCCAAGCAAAGAAAGAAACACACCCACACAGGCAAAGAGAGAGAGACACACACACACACGGGCAAAGAGAGAGAGACACACACACACACACACACAGGCAAAGAGATACACAAAGAGAGAGAGAGACACACACGCACACACACGGGCAAAGAGAGACACACACACAAAGAGAGAGAGACACACACACACACACAGGCAAAGTGAGACACAGAGAGAGACACAGACGCACACACATGGGCAAAGAGAGAGACACACACACAAAGAGAGAGAGACGCACACACACGGGCAAAGAGAGAGACACACAGAGAGAGAGAAAGAGACACACACAGGCAAAGAGAGAGACACACTGAGAGAGAGAGACACACACATGCACACACACACACAGAGAGAGAGAGAGAGACACACATGCACACACACAGAGAGAGAGAGAGAGACACACACACACACACACTGTATCTGCCAAAAGTCAAAACCCTTTTTAATAAACAGAGGATGTCATTATTATGTTCCCCTTGACTGTCAGTAATTATGTGAGTCCAGTTTGGTCTCTGGGCACGTGGGCGTGTTCTGAGAGGATACCCTTCTCTAAACATTTATGCACTGGTACACACAGTACACTTTCCACTATAGCCTCAAGGAATCCACTTCCCATTCCTATGCCCAGGTCACAAAGCCTGATTTATTATAAGCGTTTGCATGTCCCATAAGCGCGACAATAACCAGAACAAACAGGGAAACGCCGAATCCCAGCGGCTGGATCCTCTGGTGTGCGGGTAATGGGTGCGATGACAGCTTTACCGCACTCCTCAGTCCTGGCTATTTTTGCTGCTCTTTCTGTGTCAGTATTGTGCCCAGTTCCCTCAAATCCACGCCCACAGGATTTCGGATGGACTGATTTTTTTAGCTGTAGGGAAGCAGTTTGAGTTTAAGAGGAAAGTAAAGTCACAGTTGTAGAAATACGTCGATTATTATCCAGTATAGTCCCGTTCATCCTGTTCATTTCAATCAAGCCTTCAGTATATATACATGACATCAGCATTCTGTGTCAGTATCCGCCTGTGTTTTTATTGTTACCGTATGTTTTCTGACTCTGCTCGTATTTGATTTTAGGGTCTTAGAGCAAGTGAAATCAAATCAAACTTTTTTTTCTTCCTTACCTGTGCAGCAGTGTTGAATGTGTTGTAAACATGAAATACTTATGTTTAAACTCTAACCATTAGATATTTTGAGCTTGGATTCAGGTCCATGTGTTTTTCTACATCACAACATCAGTGAATTCTTCAGATGCTTCTGTTAAAAACTCAGATTGTTGTGTCTGTGATCCAGATAAAGCTGAAGTTACAAGAGGACGTTCTTTTGTTATCATGTTTTTATAGAACTGTCCATTTTATCAATTCATTTACACAATATCTCCATTTTATTGTGTAATTCCTTAAAGCAGGCATGTCCAAACTCAGGCCCGGGAGCCAATTGCGGCCCTCTGTGTCCTTCTATGTGGCCCTCTGCCTCGCTAACCCAAAGTAGTCTTTGAGATCCTAAACACAAGTTCACTGTGTCATCCATCCAACTTCAGCTCAGACAATATAGACCTTGTTCTAAAACCCAGTACGTCTGAAATTCAGGCATTAACTTAATTTGCTTTTTCTGTGCTGACGTGGTTTTTGTGTCACTTCTGTTAATGATGCTAATGTAGCTGGTGAGATGGTAAACATGTGTCATTCAGCCAACTTCAGCTCTGTTATAGATCAACACAAAGCTCAGAACAGCCCGATGTCAGTCAAGACAGTTTTTTTGCCTGTGATGTCGGCCCCTGGACTAGTCTGGTGAACTAAAGTGGCCCTCTTACTAAAAAGTTTGGACACCCCTGCCTTAAAGTAACAAAAGCTGAAGTTGAAGTCATAAGGAGTTGCTGAAAGACATGTTTGTATTATGGCTACAGTTCTAAAGATTGAGATAACTGAATTTCTTCAGCAATAATCGTCTGTGAATTTTCTGACAACAGACAGACCAGTTCCATGGTAGAACTCAGTGTTTATGTCTTAAAGTCTTTGGGACAAACATTATTCATAAAATCCAAAGCCACACGACTTTCCTTTCAGCAGAGACACTAATGCGACACAGTTTTCCACAAACGAGAAAGACGAGCCTCGAGATTCAAAGAACACTCACAAAGCCGAGTTTATTCATAGACCTTTATATTAACTTAAATCATTTTACAGTATGTACCACCAAAAAGTAAATATTTAAATTATTTGAGTTTTATATTACAGTTGAATCTCCCCCTTGTTATTCTGTGTTTATAATAATCTTATGTTAAAATGTGTGGAGTTCATTGTAGTTTGTTTGACCGTAAATGACCTGCAGCTAATATCGGCCTCTGGTGCACATGGTTCAGTAACTTCAACTAGAATCCATAGAAACATGATGCAAAGTATCACAAAAGTAAAGCCTTCATCTTGTCGATCGCTGAACTGTAGGGCTGCACGGTTTTGGAAACATATTGATTTGTCATTTTCAAGTTTCAAAATGCTGTTTAAAGAGTTCAGTGACATAACAACGTGAAGAGCGTGAAAAGCAAATACATGGAGCGGTTTCCTCAGACACAGGTTTATAGAGTTCTAACTTTCCTCAAGTATTCTCTACACAAAGCTTCAGTATGTATAAAAGCTGTTTTTATCTTTGCTCACAGAATTCTTATAGTCAGACCTGAGTCGTGCAACACAAAAAAGAGAGAATAACACTTCTTCCGCACAACAGGACGAGATATACTCAGCACCGTCCATTGTGTCGGAAAATCTGGGAAAATGTCCTTGATTTTAGAAGTTAATGTTTTTGTGGATTTTTAATTGTATTCTTTGTACAGATACTATTTGGAAATGTTGTGAGTGTGAGGTTTTTTGAGGAGGTCTTGAGTCTCTTTTTTTGCTTGTAAAGAATCCTGGATTGCGACCACGAAGATTGTGATTGGTCTCTGCCTGTTGCAGATGTGCTGCTGCGAACACGCCGACTCCAAATACTCACTGTTCGGCTGGAATCAAATATATCATGTATTTAAATTATCCCAAATTATAGTCAAAATCAAATTGAATTTGTTTGCCGATCATTAGCCCCATTTTTGTTGACACAGAACTACAGGAGAATTGTGATCAGTGCAGCCCTAATGAGCTGAGTTCTAGTCCCTCTGCTGTTGAATAGTGCTGTTGATGGAGTATTCCTGCACAGTACACAGAGGTGTAGTATTCCTGCACAGTACACAGAGGTGTAGTATTCCTGCACAGTACACAGAGGTGTAGTATTCCTGCACAGTACACAGAGGTGTAGTATTCCTGCACAGTACACAGAGGTGTAGTATTGCTGCACAGTACATTCAGTGATAAGTATATGATCAGTGCAGCTGCTGCTAACATGGCGACTCCACGTAGTCATTGTCGGGGCGCGTGTGAAACGGCGAGGTGAGCGGGCGGCTGATGATGATGACGCTCGGGGCCATGCAGTCCTCACGCCGGTGCAGAATGTTCCAGATGAGCATCGCGGCCGCCAGCGTGGCCAGCAGACACGCAGCTATGTCCAGGTAGCAGGAGTAGGACAGGTGTGTGTAGGGCCCGATCCTGTAGAAGGTCACCAGTCCAATCACCAGCACCAGACCTGCACCAGGAACACAGCTGGTTACATCAGTTTAAAGACCTGCACCAGGAACACAGCTGGTTACATCAGTTTAAAGCCCTGCACCAGGAACACAGCTGGTTACATCAGTTTAAAGACCTGCACCAGGAACACAGCTGGTTACATCAGTTTAAAGACCTGCACCAGGACCACAGCTGGTTACATCAGTTTAAAGACCTGCACGGTGGCTGAGTGGATAGCACTCTCGCCTCTCAGCAAGAGTTCGAATCCCGGTCGGACCAGGGCCTTTCTGAGTGGAGTTTGCATGTTCTCCCCGTGTCTGCGTAGGTTTCCTCCGGGTACTCCGGTTTCCCCTACCACTAAAAATATGTCCAATAGTTCTGGCATGTGCCTCCTGTACCGGCGACCCCGCTCCCATCTCTGTGTGGAGTGAGTGGACAAGTGCCCATAATTAACAATTGTAAACCGCTTTGAGACTCAGATCTGCAGTGAAAAGGCGGTATATAAATAAAGATTACTACTACTGCACCAGGAACACATCTGGTTACATCAGTTTAAAGCCCTGCACCAGGAACACAGCTGGTTACATCAGTTTAAAGCCCTGCACCAGGAACACAGCTGGTTACACCAGTTTAAAGACCTGCACCAGGAACACAGCTGGTTACATCAGTTTAAAGACCTGCACCAGGAACACAGCTGGTTACACCAGTTTAAAGCCCTGCACCAGGAACACAGCTGGTTACACCAGTTTAAAGCCAGGGACTTACTGTCTCATGTTTGTCCAAACAGAAAGAGCATTGTTGAAGGTAACACTGACAGATTGCCAGCCCTGTTGTGGTCAGAGACGATACATTTCTAGATACAGGGGATTTTCAGTTCCATACGATATATTTCTAAGCGATACAATTCAGTAAAAGTCTTTTGTCTTTTGGCCCCTTATCCATCGCTCCTCCAGATATGAACAAAAACACAACACGATTGATGCCTGATTTATTGAAGGCTAATTCGTATCAAAGTCTAATAGCATTATTAGTATTAGTAGTAGGATCGATAATACTAAATAAATAAGTAATAATTGTATTTTGTATACATATACTCTTTTTTTTTTTTTTTTAGCACACCCCAAGACCACAGAATGATGTCTTCATGTTATTAGAAAATACTTTAACCTTTGCAAATGTGTGAGAAAGAGCCCTGTGCGTCTGTATTAGACACTTTGGGCTGAGAGCTGAGTGAGTGTTCCTCTCTTGTTCACTGTTCTTCCTCATAAAGCTGATGTAAAAGATATACATACTGTACATATGATATACATAACAATACAATGTACATGTGAGAACCAAGCTCTCAGAACAGTTTGTAACTACTGTACAGACTTTATCACATAGTGCTAATTTTGGTGTTTTAAAAATTAGGTCCCCCAGCTTTAAACTCGCTTCTGCCTTTGTGATATTTTTAGCGGCCGTCCTGTAAGCCGCCTTTTGTAACATGTTTCCTTTTAAGAATAAAGCTTTGGAGTTCCACAAAGGAGAATCTGAGGCTCTGATAGCCACTTTCAGCCGCTCTTTCCTGAGGTCTCTGATCCACGCTGCGAGGAACTCCTACTGAAGCGGCGGACGACACGCGACATTTTGGCTCTTGGGACTTTGACTTTATCCTGTTCGTGTTTTCAAAGTCACCCACTGGTAAAACAAGAGCGATAAATATAGAGAAATAATGCGTGGAAACGGAGAAGTCTCGGATATGAATCAGTCTGTTTCCTGCGCTGTTATATTTGTACGTCTACCTTTTTTCCAACGCGATAAGTCATTGTTTTAACGGAGGATATGGTCATGTTTAATCTCTGAGAATATGAATAATCTGGTCTGCGGCAGGAGCCAGGGCGGTCTGTGTGAACGCGGCTGTTTGGCACTTGCGTATCTCTTAAGGTTCCTTCCTCCTCTTCCTCTTTCCATCCTTCCTTCCTTCCCTTCTCTCCACACCCTGAACTGCAGGTTAACTAAAAGCGGGTCTCTGAAGACTTGGACTACACTGTGACCTGTGTGACATTGCGGAGTTGTGAGTCCAGACAGTTCCAGGCGAGACTTATCGACAGTAAAGGGGTTTGGCACGCTCCAGACATTCCTAAAGTGAATGAGGAGATTCTCAGGAAGCGTCTAAACTAATCTGAGTGATAATATTCATTCACAAAGGTCGGCCTTGGACTTTCCAATTCTAAGTTTTTATAGTTCACAGAGACGTGTGTTGCTATAGTTTAAAGATGTGTTGCTATAGTCTTAAGGTTAAAATTAGTAGATCCTTTATTCGTCCCACAGTGGGGAAATTTCAGTGTTGTCACAAGTTATAGAACAGTAGGAAAGAGGAGCACATGGCACAAGATAAATGTACAATAGCTGTACTAAAATATCTAACTCTAGCATCAATAACACGTATAAAATCTCAATAATAAAAAGAAGTGTAAAAGTTTAACATTTGGCAATAAGAGGAATAGGTAAAGGTACTGTGTATAGATTTAGGAAAGAACCGCCCTCTCCACTTTTAAAACAAAACTCTCTGATCTTATTTGATGAGCACGTATCACCAGAATGATTGACACTTGGGAGGACCAATCATCTTGATGATCCACCTTTTGCTCTAGCCTTATGTTGTGTTGCTAGTCTTGCAAAGCCAACAATTATGAATTTTCCGTCTGCGTGTTTTCAATGGTGGCCCAGTGGTTTGCTCCTTCAGATTCATGCAGCTAAAATCTGGACCAGTCTCCCTGAAAATGTAAGACAGGCGTCTACTCTGACAGTTTTAAAATCTAGGTTAAAATTAGTCTTGTCTCTTGTTTCGATTCCACCTCCAGACCTTTCTGTGTGTAGTTTGCCTGTTCTCCCCGTGTCTGCGTAGGTTTCCTCCGGGCACTCCGGTTTCCCCTACCACTAAACCCATGTACAATAGGTCTGGCATGTGCCTCCTGTAGACGACCTCGCTCCCATCTCTGTGTGGAGTGAGAGACAAATGCCCACAACAAGTGTAAAGCTCTTTGTGTCTCTGGTCTGTGAAAGGCCATAAATAAACATTACTTACAAGATGTGGACATGAAATTGTAAAGATTGTTGATATATTATAGGGAAGTGTTATTTATTATTGCTCTTGGTGAAGGTGGACAGCTCAGTAATGGGAGGCGAGTCACAAACTTCATACTGTACTTCCAGAGATGAAAGCTGTGGATCTGAGGACTGTCCAATAAAGAGGAGATTCTTGATTTCCTCCTGATGGACTGGGTTCAGTAAACACAGACATAAAAGCTCGGGCCAGCTTATCAAAGCGGAGGCATTCCCACCCTCATGTTGTGTAGCGACTCACTCTAAACACACGCATACACAAACGCAGGCCACACTGTCTTTCCCGTCTGTGCCCCCTCCCCTACTCTTCCTTCTTCAGCGCGGCCCTTTGCATAATAGGTAGTCACAGACATTTCCTCGTCCTGAGCAGGGATATCCTGGCGCCCGACAGTCGCTCTGTGGCTCACTGCAGCTCAGGCGCAGGACTTTAAGACATGGACTAAATTTAGATCTTGTGTGGACCTTTCAATGTTGTGCCACACACACACACACCGAGGGCTGAGATCCAATATTGGACCAAAAATACCAAAATACTCACTGTGAGTAGTGATAATTGATCGTTTTTTCTGATCATAATTTCAAACAAAAACATACCTTCTCCTACATAAAAGAGAATAAAAGGAGCAGAAACTTACTTGCGAGCTGGAAGAGTGCAGCGATAGCCTCCTCCCACCACTGAGACTCCTGAGTGACGAAGGGCAGCTCCAGGAGGCCGAGGAGGAAGATGAGCTGACCGGCCGTCAGAGCCATGGTGGCCATCAGGTTACAGGCTCGCATCATGTCGAACTGCACTGAAGCGTCACACACTGTTATCCACACACCCCACTTTGGAAACCATTCACAGCCTGACACGACTGCATGAATGGGGCTTTCATTGATGAAGTATGAGTAGGTTTTACTGCAGCTGTCAATCATCTGTGTATAACTGTAAATACTTACATTTGACGGTGCTGCGAGACTCTTGGTAACCTGCAAAGTCTGCGCCCCATCCCAGACTGTCACAGTGTCTCTGGGCTCCGTGCTCTGTGCGTCTGTCCTGTAGCTCCTCTCGGTCTCGCTCCACTCCCACAGGACACATCCTCCACAGACCCACGCTCCTCTTGCGGCCGTCGTCCAGAGCCTGCAGCACCCAGCTGGGGGTGAAGGCTGCCACATTGTTCAGAACTAAAGAGAACAGGGCCACTGCCACTGCGGCTGCCACCAGCCTCTGCACAGCCATGTGCGGCCGCTCTCCTGCCACCTCTGCCTCGGGCTGCAGCTCCTCAGGGCTCTGTGCTGAGGCCTCCTGCTCCCTCTCTGCTGTCTCTGCCACTGCACTCTCTGTGGGCTCCAGGAGCATGCACTCAGATGAACAGATTTGACTGAGCTTTATCTAAAGAACATCTCCATCCATGGTCATGGAGCAGAACATGCAGGTCCTCAGCCCTCTTCCTCACACAGCGCTGTGGGCACACAGGGCTCAGTGCAGCGGTCACTGTGGGCCATTCCACTGGCTCTGCTCAGCTTCAGGGTCCTCTTGTTTTTGTTGGTCTCTGATCCTGCTCTGGTTTAGTGCAGCGCTGGTGCTGTCTGCATTCTTTTCCTTTTCAGGCAATGATTGTTCAGAAATCTTGTGTGTGAAGCTGCTCCAGAGAACAGGTGTTAAACAAGATCAATGGTTGTTTCCAGGAGTGAATTCTTCTGAGCTTGTCTCATCGCTGAAGGATCCCCCGCTGCCTGGAACACTGCCTCCTTCACTTTGCTTCAGTGGTTTTAAAGTAGAGAGTTGAATTCCATCACACGCTCTGACTTCAGTACGGCGTCTCAGCTCCAGAACAAGCAGCCGACTTCACGTGGAGACTTCAGAAATGTGTGTATCTGTGAGAGAATGTGCAGAGCCCTCTCAGACGTCACACTTGTGTATTCTTTTGTCTGGGGCCCAGGGGGCGTTTGCTGGACTCCTCTTTCTCATGTGCAACAAACATATTGGCAGCCACAGTCGGTCTGCTACAGGATGTGTTTCCTGAGAGGAAAGAGGATGGGAAGAGAGGCCAAATGTAGACCTGCTCTTCTCTTGTCTTTCCTTTTGTGGAATTCTAGATCTTGCCGTTTTGTTCAGCTGCTCTAAAGTTCCAGCACAAACTATGCAACTTTTCTGTTTTCTGTTTCCAATGTAGGGACTGTTGGGGGAAGAGTATTTTTAACTTGATTGCTTATGTTTTTTCTGAGGTTTTATCTGCTCTTTTTGTTTGGCCCTTAAAGATTTGTGCTATTTCCTGTTGCTTAACTTTAATAAACACCATCTGTATCAGCTAAAGCGAGGAGGTGGGAGGGAGGCACAAATATGAAACAGATGGCTCAGGAATCTCCTACGTCAGTGAAGAGAAAACTTTCACACACAAATACTTTTATGATCTCACCTCAAATAAAAATGTTGAGTGTAACATTTGGGATGCATTAAAATTCTCTTCTGCTCAACGAGATGCAAGAAAGTGAATCAAATCTGTCTCCTTTGTCTTGTGTGTGTGCAGTGCAGCAGTATGGGAAAATATGGCACGGATGTGTGTCAAAACTCGCCGCTTGGATGTTGCACGAGTTTGCCTCGGGAATATGGGAAATCCCAGAGCAGCGAAAGCATTGAAGGAGGCTGAGGTGGAGCCAGAGCTGGAGGCACAAGTTGCAATGTTAGCCATTCAACTGGGCATGTTGGTAAGACAAAACACCAGCTATGTCCACCCTGCAAACAGTCATCCAAAAAAAGCCAAAAACCGCTAAAATTTGGCAAAATGTGTCTTAATTTGAGCACATTCTGACTGCCAATGGGACAAAGAGAAATGATAGCACTCTCGCTTCTCAGCAAGGTCTGTGGTTCGAATCCCAGTCGGAACGGGGCCTTTCTGAGTGGATTCTGCATGTTTTTCCCGTGTCTGCGTAGGTTTCCTCCAGGTGCTCCGGTTTCCCCTACCTCTAAAAACATGCACAATAGATCTGGCATGCGCCTCCTGTACTGGCGACCTCGCTCCTATCTCTGTGTGGAGTCAGAAGACAAAATTCCTAAAAAATAACAATCTGTGAAAGGCATTGTATGAATAAAGATTACTTACTTACTTGTTTTAAAAAGATACAAGAAATGACTGAGAAAATAAGGCTCATTTACTTTGTCTCATCGGTGAATCTGTTTCAACACAGTCAGAATGTGCAAAAACAGGTTATTCCAGCATTTATTACTTCATATTTTATCATTTTGTTTGCTGAGTTCGGTCGTATGCATGTATGACAAATCTATAAATGGCCTGTCCTTTCTGCATTCCACCACACCAGGGGACTTCCCAAACCAGTAACAATTATCTTTCCCCCTCATCTGTTCCGGTCCCTCTACAGGAAGACGCAGAGAAGCTGTACAGGTCCTGCGAGCGCTTCGACCTCCTCAACAGCTTCTACCAGGTTTCAGGAGATTGGGCCAAAGCGCTGGATCTGGCAGAGACTCAGGACCGCATCCACCTCCGCACCACCTACTACAACTATGCAAAGTACCTTGAGAGTGTTGGGAACAAAAGCCAGGCCATCACATTGTGAGTCAGAAACGATAACGTGAGCAAAACCTGGTCTGGTCTCGTCATCGGGATGGTCTAATGGTTTGGATTGTTTGTTGTTTGCAGCTTTGAGAAATCCGACAGCCACAGGGTAGAAGTGCCGAGGATGCTTCAGGACGACACAGCCTTGTTAGAAGTCTATGTGAACAAAATGAGAGACAAGTGAGTCCTGAAGACTACCTTAAAATGTGAACAAATTCATATATATACTTTGCCATACAAATACTGATAATGAAATAATAAAAAAATAAAATTAAAATAAATAAAAAAACTAAAAAGTACTTCTAGAAAATGTGTATTTTGAGTTTGAAATCAGTAATGTGTATTTTATATTTTACATAGTTCTTGTGTAGATAATAATAATGATAATTATAATGCATGGGTTTTTTCCTTTTCTGAACGCTCAAAGATGATTCACATTTCATTATTCTTTCATTCCGTACACTGTGGTGAAAAACTCATGTAGCCACAGCTGCCCTGGGGCACACTGACAGAAGCGAGGCAACCAGTAAATGCCATCAGCCTCTCTGACCAACATCAACCATTCACACACACACCAGAATCATTCTAGTCTGGTGTGTGTTGCTTCAGCCCAATCCTTTTTTGGTTTTACTACAGTCAGTGAATAGAATATTCAATCAATTTACCAAAATAAATAAATACATTCATTCATTCATTCAATGGTGGCAGTCGAATGTATTTAATTTTTATTGATTTTGTTTTTCTCATCAAAAATAACGTAATGACCTCCACTGAAATCCAGAGACTGTTTCACTGTGTCTTTGCACATAATGATGATGGAGTCTTTGATCTGTTTGGTCTCAGGAACATCTATAAATGGTGGGCGCAGTATCTGGAGAGTCAGTCCGACATGGACGAAGCTCTGCGTTACTATGAACTGGCTCAGGATTATCTTTCTCTAGTTCGGGTTTTCTGCTACATGGGAAATATTCAGAAGGTAATCAACGTTGTCTTATATTATGTGAATATACATATTTTTGTTTTATCTACAAATGACAAACACAGTTTTGTCCGTCAGGCGTCTGAGATTGCCAACGACACCGGGGACAGAGCAGCGTCCTACCATCTGGCCCGACACTACGAAGGACATGAGGACATCAAGCAGGCCGTCCACTTCTACACTCGAGCCCAGGCCTACAACAACGCCATACGGCTCTGTAAGGTACAGGTTACCGGTAGAAACAGGAGGAGTTTACTCATTAACTTTTAAAACAGACATTCATGACGTTTCCTTGAGCAGGAGAACGGTTTAGACGACCAGCTGATGAACCTGGCTCTGCTCAGTAACCCAGAAGACATGATGGAGGCGGCCAGCTACTACGAGGAGAAAGGCTCTCACACAGACCGAGCCGTGGCTCTGTACCACAAGGTTTGTCACACAACATCTGTCCACCAGAGGGCGCTCTCAGACATATGACTGTGTGTTCCAGGCAGGTTATGTGTCCAAAGCTGTGGAGCTGGCCTTCGCCACAGAGCAGTTCTCTGCTCTGCAGCTCATCGCAGAAGGTCTGGACGAGGCCTCAGACCCTGCTCTGCTGGAGCGCTGCTCGGACTTTTTCATCTCACATTCTCAGCACGAGAAGGCTGTGGAGTTACTGGTGGCAGCTAAGAAGGTGTGTTCATGTGTGAAGTGTCTGCAGCATCTTACAGAAACTTAAACCTATGATGTCCTCACAGTATCAGGAGGCGCTGGAGCTGTGTGTGAGCCAGAACCTGACCGTCACCGAGGAGCTGGCTGAGAAGATGACAGTGAACAAGTTAAAGGACATGTCCGAGGAGCCGCGGAAGGAGCTGCTGGAGAGGATCGCAGACTGCTGCATGCGTCAGGGCAACTACCACCTGGCAACCAAGAAGTACACTCAGGCTGGGAACAAGCTCAAGGTAACTCCCCCTCATCATTCACAGGTTTGGATCAAATCACTTGTTTTATTGTTTTGTAACTTCAGGCAATGAGGGCTCTTCTGAAATCTGGGGACACCGAGAAAATTGTCTTCTTTGCCAACGTTTGTCGTCATAAAGACCTTTTCATCATGGCCGCCAACTACCTGCAGTCGCTGGACTGGAGGACGGACCCCGACATCCTCAAAACAATCATAGGTTTCTACACAAAAGGCAGAGCTCCAGAGCTGCTGGCGGGTTTCTACGAAGCCTGCGCTCAGGTGTGACATCACACTCACTGTAAAGTCCTCAATGTGGAGACGTCACAAACTTATGTTTTATATTTCTTTTTTTTTCAGGTCGAAATTGATGATTACCAAAATTATGAAAAAGCACTTGATGCTCTGACTGAGGCTTATAAGTGCCTTTCAAAAGCCAAAGATTCTTCTGGAAAACATGAAGTCAAACTGTCCAACATGCAACACAAGATCAAGCTGATGAAGATGTTTGTGCACGTGCGCAGGTACACAACCTCTGCTGTGTGTGTTTGTGTGTGTGTGTGGTTGTGGAGAGTGTGTGTGTATAGTGTTGTGTGTAAGTGTGAGTTTCCTCTGCAGGTTGTACGTGGAGAACCCTGTGGAGGCCGTGCGTGTGTGTGAGGCCTTGTTAGAGGAGGACGACCTGGACCCAGCAGTGCGAGTGGGAGATGTGTTTGGTTTCCTGGTGGATCACTACTGTCAGCAGGGACAGTACCAGACGGTACGATCTTTAAATCCATAAATCATGTTTTATGATCATCACATTGAACATAATCACCACATCTGTTGTTGCAGGCGTACCGCAGATTAGAGGAGCTGCAGAAACTGTTGCCGTCCCAAAACCTGAGGTTCTACATCAGTCAGAAGAGTCTGGAGTCTCTGCAGCGAGAGCTGGGCGTGATCCTGGAGCAGTCTGAGCAGGAGGTCATCATGAAGGACGAGGACGAGGTGGTGGAGGAGCTGCACGAGTCTCTCTCATGACGTTTGCACACATTCTGTCTGCAGAAGGGACGGGGGGATGTGGGGGAGTCATTCTGGGACTGACACATGTCCATCTTGTGTTGTTTGATCGTTTCACTCTAATCGCCTGTGGCCTTGTTCTAAAGCGAGAAATCATTGTATTGTGTTTGGAATGCTTTTGTATCATGACTGGTCATATTGAGAAATGCCTTTTTCACATTTTGTAATAATATAGATTTATAACAAATACTGGTTCTTTTCTTATGTGGATGAAAATGTAAATATTGTACTATAAATATGTTTGTACCGATCTGCAGTTTCTCATTTCAAACAGAAACATAAGTACGTTTCAGACTTTTCATTGCAAAAAGTGGTCTGTGATTCACAGGAAGAAGGTCCTTCTTGTTCGCCATTGAACATTCCACCTCAGACAGTCTCTCTGGCTTTGTAGGTTTCCTCCTGGTGCTCCAGTTTTCCCTACCACCAATAACATGTACTATATCCCCCTCTGTCTGGAGGCAGGACTCCTGTCGCTTCTTTCCTTTTTTTTGAAAGAAGTTTTTAATTGCTTGGTTTAGGTGACATTTATCTCATTTGTATCACAGTTTGGTCAAAACACAATATTTTTGAATGTGCATCTCCTGTATGACCGACAGAGGGCGCAATGGTCACTCTTATCTGTCATGATGGATACTGAAAATCCAAAGCTCTTGAGATATTTCTGACATATCCTACAGGTTTGACAGGTCTCCAGAGTGTTTGTTTTTACCATCTTAGCAACCCAAAGTGACGTCACTGATGCAGCAGGAGAATGGAGGCTCAGGAGCAGACCACAGACTCACGGCTCCAAGACCAGACTCAGACCCAGGATCAAGTGAGTTTATATCATCTATCTTTGTGTCACAGTCAACATGTCACTCAAGCATGAACAGTTTTAGCTCCATATAGATATAGATATAGATAGATGCACACTACAAAATACTACTACCACTACATACTGAAAACTACAAAACACAACTGTACTAATATGCTACTACTACAACAAAATACTAGTACTACATACTACACTACTATTACTACTACAACATTCTGCATAAATACTGCAGATAAATGTTATTCAAGTATATCTTGACGTTTTTCTGCTGAGAATAAATCTTTATGAAATCTTGCACTGTCCGTCTGTCTTTCAGTCTGTCTGTCCGTGTTGCTCTGTGTGTGTCTGTGTCTCAGTCTGTTTGTCTGTCTGTCTCTCTGTGACTGACTGTCTGTCCCTCAGTCTGTGTCTGTCTGTCTGTCTGTCTTCTCTGTCTGTCTGTGTTTCTGTCTGTCTGTCTGTCTGTCTATCTGTCTCTTTTGCTTTCTGTCTGTGTCTCTGTCTCTTTCTCTCTGTCTGTCTGTTTCTCGGTCTCTGTCTGTCTCTCAGTCTTTCGATGCCACTGAAGACATGTCCTTTAATACTAATTAAATGTCATAATTTCAATCTAATTTTCTATTCAGCACTTGGAGTTGCCTTGTGCATGATTTGTGCTATACAAATAAACTTGCCTTGCCTTTAGTCTCAGTGTGACCATGAAGACCCTCTCGTCTCCAAAGTGGGATTCCTGGAGACCAGACTGAGCCGTGTGTCCGTCTCCAACTCTGAGCTGTGCACGATGCTTCTGCAGAGTGAAGAGGAGAGACTCAGGGTCAGACACCTTTAACCCTTTAAGGTTCACTCCAAACAGAAAGCAATGTAAAAAAAAAATATTCTAAAATGTCGGAGCACTAATAACACAACCCCTAGTTTTTATTATTGGCCTTTCCCAAATGGTTAAGATGCCGCTTGATGGTAAACGTGCCCCAGACGTGCTTCAAGTAGATACAAGGACTCAAAAAGTGATCCACCAAATGGTTAAAGGAGCAGTATGTACAATTCTGGCCAAAAGTGGTACTGCAGCCTCTCCCACTCTCCCCTGACTCAGGTTGCCAGATATGCAGACGAATCCAGCTGGGACCATAACAGCTGAATAGACAAAAGTTTTGTCAACAACAAATCTATAACCAACACCTTTTTCAGAAAGATAGAAATCCAAATATCTCTGAACTACTGTTATCAGTGAAAGAAGTAATGGAAAAGAGCAGGTTTTATTAATGATTTTTGACAGATTATGGCCATTTAATGATGACTTGACATGAAAATCTTACATATTGCTGCTTTAAAGGGTTAAACCACACTATTATATATGTTTAATGTGTTTACACTGACATCCTGCAGCTGTCCAAGGAACTGGTGAAGGAGAAACTGCAGAGCAACAACAGGATGGACACGTTTGAAGAAGAATTATTACATCTGAATGAAAAGGTGAAAGCACCAACATCAGGTTTATTAAACTTAAGAAACGATAAACACAACGATCTGTTTCAGCTGCTGACCCAGAGCAGTGCGATGGTGCAGCTGCAGGCTGAGAGGGACGCCCTCCGCAGGCAGCTGGAGGAACAGCGGCACAGAGGCCAGGCCACCTCCCAGGACCTGCACCAGGACCTGGACCATGTGCGGACCCTGGTCACCCACATGGTCCAAAACACAGTCAAGGTAATACCAGCCGAGGGGAATGATAAGCCTGCTGCCTGTGTTTGAACTCTTGGTGCTGGATCCAAAAACACTGAATGCTGTCACCTCTGGCCTGTCATTTAAAGCTGGGATACCTGACTTTCAAACCCCAAACATTTACCCATACATTAAACTCCGAGTCACTATTTCCTCGCTCTCAAAACTGTTTCTTTTTTTGATTTGTTTATTTGATCGGGACAATGTAGATTCAAAAACACCAGAATAAATCTGGATTATAGCTGTAAAGCTAGTTTTCATCTTTAGTCCCTGGGCAGAAAATACACACACATTATAACACACAAGACGCACAACATATGATTTTTCACACAAGACGAGTTCACACCATCAGCAGCGGATACAGTACATGCAATTATAAAAAGTAAAGTCATAATAGAATCATATGATGCAGGATTGGATCTATCTCTAGTTTCCACACAGACGGTACAAGCACGTTTGGCCTCTGTCTCATCTCTAGATCAGCTTTTTCAGACAGAAAAAGAGAGGACCACCTTCACTCAGCCAATCAGCTCTCAGCCCAAAGCCCGACAGTGACTCACAGGGACAATACAAGTCGGCAAAAGATGTTTTAGAATAAGACATTGACAGCATTTTGTGTTTGGATTTGTTCACAATATTTTACTTTTACAAAACTCTGACGCACAGATTTTATTTATTGATAAAAGTTAGGTACCCAAGCTTTAAATGCGCCATTCTTTCCAGCAGCAGGGTCATACACTCCCTCAGTCCATCCAGCTCGTCTTTGGTTACTTGAAAACAATTGAAATCACAATACTATTTACTTTATTGTCTTGAATGAAATGTGCCTTTTTAGTCCCACAGTGAGATTTAATTCAGTGTATTTTTCTACTGCCCTAAATCAAGAACAGTGGTTCTTGGAGAACACACACAGTAAATGCAATGATAAAAACACATAGAGCCAGGACAGGGCCTTTCTGAGTGGAGTTTGCATGTTCTCCTCGTGTCTGCGTAGGTTTCCTCCAGGTGCTCCGGTTTCCCCTACCACTAAAAAAACTTGTATAATGGTTCTGGCATGCGCCTCCTGTACTGGCCCCGCTCCCATCTCTGTGTGGAGTGAGAGACAAATGCCCACAATTGTATGCCGCTATGTGACTCTGTCTGTGAAAGGCGCTATATAAATAAACATTACAGGGACAGAGACCAATGTCCATAAATGTTGATAAATGTCGAGTGTCCTGGATCATCACCAATGTCCTTAGTCCCTCTTGCTAAGAATCACACATCATTACCACCCAAAAAAAAATATTTCTTGTGTGTCACCATATCTTATTATTTAGCCATTATTTATTTTGAGTAAAACCATATTCAATGCAGTGTGAACTAAAAAAAACGAATTCAATAGTTGAGCTGCAGAGGAGGCCATGTGCCACCAGAGGGCGCTTGTGCACCAGTTATTAATGAGATACAAGCCACAAACACGAGATTTCTGCCAGTAAAAAAAGATCATTGGAATATATTTGACTTTGATGAATAGATTTGAGTAATGTTTGGTAATTATATGTAATTATAATTGCAGCCTGAGGATTTGGCCGCTCTGGACAAGGTTCAGAAGACTCTGGGAGAGAACGTAAACAAACCATATCCACAAAATACTGTGTTTTTACTGGACTTTCCGTAAGTATCTGGCTCCTCTGTCTCATCTGCAGCTTCTGGTTAACCAAGACGAAATGAAAAGTATGATCGAAAACCTGAGGAGAGCCCAAGAGGAGCAGCAGAAGCAGAGGCAGAGGACGGAGAAGAAAGTGTGAGCTCTGGTTGCCATGGTTTCAATCATTTCTATGGATCAAAAACAGCCACATTCCTCAGGTCTTATAATGATCCCACTCCCTTTGTGTGTTTGTATGATGTGGTCTGTGTGTGTGTGATGTGGTGTGTGTGTGTGATGTGGTGTGTGTGTGATGTGGTGTGTGTGTGTGTCTGTGTCTGTGTCTGTGTCTGTGTCTGTGTCTGTGTCTGTGTCTGTGTGTGTGGGTTCTCAAGTCTGGCCCTGGATACAGAGAACCAGCTGGAAGTCGTCAGTAAACAGAAAAAATTGATTCAACAAAAAGAGGTGAATATTTTGTCGTCAGCATGAGCCAAAAGTATCGGCGGCCATCTTGAACAACACAGACTGAATCAAAACTGTTCCTCTCTGGTCCGACCTACGACGAAGTATAATTTATTTGTAATGTGTGTAAAATCCCTCTGTCAACCCACCGCTAGTCTGTCCCTGTAGTCCTAAAGGTACAAAAACATACAGTATTATAAGTATAAATGAAATATCATGTCTTTGGAATCATTGGTGACACGTAACAGAAAGTTAGTGACTATATGAGAGGCCTGAACTGCAAAACAAATTGAATTAAAGCTGAGGAACCTAACTTTTTTGTCTCATTAAAAATACAGATTGAGTCTTGTCTAAGTTAAATGTTGTCTCCATTTTGTCGGAAGACGTTTGCATACATGTAAGAAAGAGCCCTGTCAGTCTGTATTTGACACTTTGGGCGGAGAGTTCTGATTGGCTGAGCAAGAGTGAGCCCTCGTCTGTCAATTTTTGTCTGAAATAGTTGATCCAAAGATGTGACAGAAGCCAGACACACACGTAAAAGTAGAGAAGAAGAGTTTCACAGCCCCAGAATCACACATGTGTTCCATCATGGCCGCCTTTTCATAACTTCCACAATTGTGATATTTTCGACTTTTATCATTGTTCTATGTTTTTTATTTTAGACCACGCCCTTTTCCCAGCGCCAGACTCGAGAGCTGGAACAGGAGAACTCTGAGCTGCAACTCGAGCTGAAAGAACTCAACGAGGAATACAGAGCCCGACTCAACTGCTACATCCAAGACCTGGCTGTGATCCTCTTTTTTACTCGCTTAAAGAAGACGTATCATGCATCATGTTTAGATGAGGCGTTCTACTTCATCATGTGTTTGTGTTTTAGAAATAATATCTTAGGTAGAACCCAGCTATCGAGGATAAACAAGATGCTAGTCCCCTGTAGCGCCCTGTGCTGCCACCAGAGGGAGCTGTAGACTTGGGTTTTTTTCTCATTTTTCAAACATTTGTAAATTGTAAAGAACGTCATCACATCTGAGAATTGTTGTAAACTAATTCAAGAGCAATATTTTAGTTTCCAAGTCTGCTTTTAGTGTGATGTCACAGTGATATTAGCAGGGATGGATCTAAAGACACTATATATCGTGTTTAAAAACTCAAAATAGTAACTTTATCAGAATATGTCATCTTTAACACTGAACTGGATGCCTGTACAGATAATACTTCTGGTTGTGTCGTTGGCAGGAGTACATGGACGGTTTAGAAGAGTCCAAGAAGTCTCCAAACCCCGGTCAGATGCAGCTGTATGTGGAGCGGATGCTCAGGGACATCAGGTCTTCGTTCCGATGCAGAGAGCAGCAGTTGGCGTCAGCGGCTCGAGTTTATAAGAAGAGACTGCAGACGCTCTCTCAGACGCACCACGCTCTGATCATCGCTTACAGGTCCGGGAACTATGCTCCGATATCGATCCAGAGCCGGTATAGCTGCAGGTTTTCATTCCAACCAAGCAGGAGCCCCTCAGACTCCACCCATTTCCTTCCGGTCTGAGATTTCCCCACGAATAAAGGAGCTCTTCATCTTATAATCTTGAATGGCCATACCTGCAGGTGAAAGACAGATCCTGCCAGAACTCTGAGGCTAAGAAGGGCAGGGCCTGGTTAGTACTATGATGGGAGACCTCCGCGAACACCAGGTGCCGCAGTGGGGCGGCTGCGGCTGTAAAGTGCCAAACTGTTGTTGTGTCTTTAGGCAAGACGCTTCACCGAGTGAATGAAGTGAAGTGAATTAATAATGACATGTGAAGAGTCTGAGTGTCCAAATAAGCTCTATATAAAAATTATGCATTATTATTATTATTATAAATGAGTCCAGATTTATAGAAAAGGGTGGAGTCCAGTGGGCTCCTACTTGGTTGGAATGAACACCTCTGCAGCCACACCAGCTCTTTTGTTTCTCTCTTGTTGAAGAATACTGTGATACGACAGGCTCATGTGGTCAAAAATATGCATCTTTTTAACCAAATAAAAAACAACTGAAATGTCAACGTTTTAAGAAGATTAAGAAAAGTTATGCGTCCATCTTTGACAATGTTTGTGTTTTGTACATGGTTTAAAAAGGATCAACATATATTTTTCTTCTTCTTTCTACTCCTTATAAATTGTTGATGTAACTAATATGAAAAAGTCTAGACTATCTTACAGTCTATGATGTATTTGAATCTGATATCCCTGCCTTAAACCGGACGCCAAAAAAACAAATGTGCTACAAGCCGTGGACCAGACTGTTTCGAAGTTTATTAAAATATATACTTGTGACCTATTTAACCAAGACCTAACACAGCAGGTCTTCTTTAATGATTACATGAATAACGGCTCTGTCAGTCATTTGTCAACAGCTCTCAGACAAAAACAAACTTCCTTCAAAGAGAAAACACATGTCCTGAACAATGCATTTATAATCCAATATTTTTATCTGTCTCTGTGCGACTGAATTAATGCACGGGCCGGATCTAGCTCCCGGGCCTTGATTTTGACACGCATGGTACAGGGCGTAAATGGGACATGAAAGCTGTTGTGTAATAAATGTTTGGACCTCATTAGACAAATACATTTCAATAATGGATGATGTCTGTTCAGAAACCAGAGGGAGGAGATTTTAGCCAAACCAGAGTCAGGTCTGAAAGCCGGGCCTCCAGAGAGCAGCTTCGATCTGGATCCGAGCGAATTAACGGGCGAAATGGGCAAAGAACTCCAACAACTTCGCAAGGATAAAGCCCGACTGGATCTGCAGCTTCAGACGACCATGGCACAGGTAGAACATGCAGATTTGGATTTTATTTGGCAGTTTTGAAGACGTCACACACATGATATTTCAGATGGCCACGCTCCGAATCCCAACGCAGGCCCCTCCAGAGTAAGCCCAGGTTTTTTTGGGGGAATGTCAGCTGTGAATGCATATCTTTTTAGAGTTAAAAAAAAAAAATTAACTTTATCAGGGCGCCACAGAAATGCGGAGAATCCTGGAGCGACATCAGGACGCAGCTGACGGACATGACGGAGACGGCGCTGGTATGAGAACTATTCTGATGGGGATTGGGTGAAAGATGAGGCGTGTAAAATGTGTAAAATGTTGTGAAATTTCAGAGGCGCTTCGAGAAGGAGCGGGTTCTGCTCCTGACCAGGGCGGCTGCGGCTGAAGCACAAGTCTCAGAGATGCAGGAGTTCATTGACAAACAGCAGCACAGGTACAAGTCACGGAACACATGGGGATGAGCAGGGGAATTAAAGCTGGGGTACCTAACTATAAAGTCTATGTAGCAGGTTCCTATCTCTAAGACAAGCCTTCACATGCATGTATTTTTATGTATTTATTTGGCTTTCTTTCTGTTGGGGCAAACCACATGTGGTATTTATGGGAAAAGAAAGTTAGGAACCCCAGCTTTAACTTCCTCTCATGATGTGGGTTTGAGAAATCTAATGATAACTGTTTTCAAAGGTACAACAAGGAGGCATTCGTCCTCAGCAACGACCAAGTGAAACCATCCACGAGCACAAACTGAGCTCATAAAGTCAAATATCAAAAGTATGTACTCTTGTTTGTTTTTTCATCACCTCCTGTAAACACAGACAAATAGATAGATAGATATTCAAAAACATTAATGGACTTATTATAATTTATGGACATTGGCCCTTTATGGACCAATGTGTCTGTTTTATTCTCTGATCTGTGTTGGTGAATCAACAGTTTTGTAACGTCCTTCAAGATAACTTCTGTTGTGATTCAGGGCTATAGAAAAGTATGTTGAACTGAATTGACAGATATAGATATTAATCCCGTAAATGCAGGAGTCCAGCAGCAGCAGAAACACATCCAAACAAACATATATAAATAGATAAATCATTCTCAAAGTTACTATCAATAGTAATAAAGTGCACATGTTTATAACTATACTGTGGTCTCAGTATAGTTTTTTTAAAGTCGCTAGAGGGCGCTGTCACACGCTGGGGGCTGTGATCATGAAAGACCCCCAAGGAGAGCTGGCCTTGAGAAAAAAATGCCAGGAATGTTTGTAAAGCTTATGTCAATTTCACGAGCTGCGGAGAAGAAAGAGCACTGACAATGAGGGTCGCCCTGGTGAGAATAATGTCATTACATGTTACCCAGACTGGGACGGACTGGGACGGACTGGGAAGACGTGAGAGCTGCAGCAGTGATGGGAACGATGGGAACCCAGGCCCAAACAAGCGGCGTCTGTCAGAATGTGGATCATGTCAGAGTTGGACTGTCACAAGAACGTGAATAATAATAATAATGCATTGGTTTTATACTGCGCTTTTCAGGACACTCAAAGACGCTTCACATTTCATTCTGCTTTTACTACATACACAGAGGGGATAAACTACTGCTATAGCCACAGCTGCCCTGGGGCACACTGACCAAAGCGAGGCAACCAGTCTGTGTTATCAGCCCCTCTGACCACCACCAACCATTCACACACACCAGACACATTCTAATGTGGGTGAAGTGTCTTGCCTAAGGACACAATGACAGTTTGTCTGAAACTCGGACAAATTCAGATACTCTTTATCTATTATGTACATTATTGGTCTTCAATTCAGTTTTCAATTTATCAATTTATTTTGTAAAGCCCTAAATCACAAGTGCAGTTAACTAGGAAGACTTTACAAAGTTGTCGACTTTACAGATCAGAGAATCCAACAGTTCCAAGACAGGAAGTGCGCATGGATCTGTTGGTCCACAGGAGCACGACGACCGCTGTCCACAAACGTCCGTAAACTCTGACTTTGTATCGATTATAGTTTATTGTAATAACTTTTATGACATCATCTTTAATGTTGGAAAAGTAGCTCTACCTTCACCTCGCAAAGCAGTCCTTTTGACTTCTTCATTCATTTTAATGTAAATGTTGCCATTTTCGGTCATGTGACCAACATTCTGTGGCAGTTACAGCCCTTTTTCTCTAAAGTGCCGGTCCTGGAGCAAGTGCTAGTTACCATAGCAACACATTGTTTACTTGCAGCAGTTTGCATTCGGTTTTCTCTGTACTTTATATTCACCAGTTTTAGCTCTTCAAGTGAATACAGTAAAAAAACCATATGAACTTTTAAAACTAATTCCATTGGTTTGAACATGAGCCGTCAAAGTGACTGCTCTGGGAATCCGAGTGTTAAGCCTCAGGGATTGGACGAGGACCTGAAGTGTGACATCACAGTTTATGACTGATGTATTGTGAACATGTCAGTCCAGTCTGAGGGCAGTGCCAGCCTCAGCACAGGCTCAGCACAGGCTCAGGGTGTGAGGTGGAGGAATGGGAAGTGGGATTGTGTCAGTATTGTGCCTGTGAGGGCCCCTGAGAGCCCTGGGAACAGCGGTGGGGGCTGTGTTTGGTCTAATGCCAACATAGTCACGGTGCCAGCGCTGGTGCGGGGGTCTCTCTCCTCGTCTCTGTGTGGAGCGCTGAGAACCAGGTTGTGCTTTGGAGATCGCCGACAAAGACACAGTCGTGAGGCAGCGAGGCCTCTGCACACTTTAGAATTCAAATACTGTATAAAGCAGCGACAAACAGAAACAAGAGACGAGGCCACAAACCCACTCCAAGAGGCCACAGCTGGTTGCCAGGCGACAGGCCAAAGCTGCAGTGTTTGTTGGAAAAGTCAACTTCTGGACTCAGCCGCTGCTTACACACTGTATGAGGTCACTATTGTCATGTAAATACTCTCCGCATTTCTCACACCGTTCAAAAGATAATCTGAAACTTTAATCTGACACAAACACGTCTATTCTAATTATTCTTGTATCGCCCTAAATCACAACAGCATTATCTCAGAGGACTTTACAAGGCTGTCGATTCGCTAACACAGATCAGAGAATCAAACAGTTCATACACCAATGCAATGATAGAAACACACAGAGACATTGGTCCTGGATTATTACCTCTGTCCTTATGTTAGACCAGCCTCTGCATCGGCAAGAAACAACTCTAAAACTCAGTGGGAAAAGGTGAGAAACCTTAGGGAGGCCCACGGTGAGAGAGGGATCCGCTCCTTCAGACAGACGGGCTGTAGATCCAGGACTGAGGCTGTTACAGAACAAGGACCAAGGCCATTCTATTCAAGTATCCCAAAATACCGTCACGATTTTACTTTAAATATTGAACCTTCCTTCTTACGGTATGGCTCTTATGTGAACGCAAACTATTCCCTGGATTTTTGTATTAAACCGTGTCATTATGAATCATCCGTCATTGTTCATTTCAGCATATCTCACTAACAATAGAAGAAGAAGACTAATGTTATTCATAGGACAGAGATGCTCCTTAATATGCGGCTTATGTAAATACTCACTCTACACATGACGACACACACACACACACACACACACACACACACACACATGCAAGTTGTCTCCTTTCCTTGAGTTCTTGAACTTGGCTAAGATGACACACATCTCGGTGCTCGCTGGTCATGTCTGGCCTCCTCCTGCCCCGGCTCAGACCAGGAGTCCCCTGGGAGCCTCCTCCAGCTCCGGGTCTCTGCTTCAGGGCCTTGGAGCAGAGACCCGGAAGTCCGTCACACGGCTCAGCGTCAACAGCCTCTTTGTTTCACCGGGTTAATGCCTAATTGATACAGGCTTAATGAGAGCGAGCTGTGTGTGTATATGTGTGTGTGTGAGATACAGAGAGAGAATGGGAAAGAGGAGGGGGTCGTAATGAAATGGACAATCCTGGAAGCAGAGACAGATTTATGAGAATTACAAGAAGCGGACGGGAGGATTGGGGGGGGGACCGATGGGAACCAGGAAGTAAAGGTGGCCGTGAGTTTTGAGGAATGCGTTTTTGAGTCCAGTGCTGCGTCATCCTCCGAATCTGTCGCACAATGCATCTAGCTCGAGTTCCCATGGACGCATTTTTTACGCCTCCCGTATACACTTTCCCATGACTCAGATCTGCATGTACTCCACGCATTGTGAGCGCTTCAGTCCGTATCGTCTAGTTCGAGGAGACATCCACAACGCCGTCCTATTGTGATTTAAAGTTTCTGCGGCCTTGCGGACCACAATGGTTTTCTTTCTGTCTGTTCTTTCTTCTGGGAGGGGGGGGACACCTGTTTTTTCTTCTCTGAGCTGTCCTCTCGCCCCCGCATTGCACTAACTCAGAGACCATTCAGGGCTTCTTCCAGACAAGCTTTCTCCACCAGCGAAGAGGAGGGGGGGTACTTCAGAGAGCAAGAAAGCACCAATAGGAATTTGGGGAGGGGAGGGCAGTGTGAAGAAGGCGACAACTTAAAAAAAAAAAGTTGTACAATAATTGCCAAACTGTCAAATAAACTACAACTATTCCTCTCCTGAACTTGATCAGAAATCTCCATCCCCCAGTTCTCAACTGGGGGATGGAGTATCACAACTTGGAGTCAGTTGCAGAAACTGTGAATGAGGTTCTTTGAGCTGACCGTCCAGGACATTTCAGATTCAGATTCATTTATCTGCCATTTGCACTAAAACCCCATTAGAATACCTCCGCAAAAGTCCCCAGAGTGCACAAGACAAGTACATAAATAAAACAAGGTTAAAAATACATAAAACAGGACACGATTGACACTGTGAAATTGACCGACAATAACAGTTTCAATACATTTTTGGACATTTAAGGACTTTTAAGGACATTTATGGACATTCATGGACAGTGCTTCCTATGGACCGGCTCTATACGTTTGTTATTATTGCTTTTCTGTGTTCAAACTGGTCGATTCTCTGATCTGTTGGCGGCGAATCCACAACTTTGTAGAATCCTCCGAAACGACTGCTGTTGTTGTTTTTTGCCACAGAGCCTCCAGCTCCTGCAAATTCCTGGTTCGCTTTGCATGACCTGTACGTTTTGAGATCTCAGTAACAATACATACACTAACACTAACAATGGGTGGAAAAAAGGTGTTGTGTAATTATTTAAAATCTCCAAATACGTCCAAAACAATTCCATCTGTGATTTTAAACTGACAAGCTCAACTCGATCCCAGGTTATATAAGTGAGTGAGTGAGTGGGTAATGTAAAAGAAATAAAGTATTAGTAATGAGGCGAGGCTTGAAGGCAGCGCGGTCGTATGGGAACAGTAAGAACGATGAGATATTTAGGGTGAGAACAGAGGTACAGTAGTCGGGGCAGAGGAGGCAGGGCCACAATGAGACACAAGCTCGGCGTTCCCACACTCTGCCGTTCCCACACTGGACTCGGATAATCCCTGTCTTAATTGGGGGAGAATTCCAAAGCACATGGTCCCTTCTCAGAGAGCAGAGCAGAGCGCCGGGGAGAGGAGAGGAGAGGAGAGAGAGCAGGGGAGAGCAGAGCAGAGGAGAGGAGAGAGAGCAGGGAAGAGCAGGGAAGTGGAGAGAGCAGGGGAGAGCAGAGAACAGGGGAGAGCAGAGGAGAGGAGAGGAGAGGAGAGAAAGCAGGGGAGAGAGGACAGGAGAGCAGAGACAGCAGGGGAGAGGAGAGGAGAGAGCAGGGGAGAGGAGAGAGAGCAGGGAAGAGGAGAGAGAGAGCAGGGAAGGGGTGAGGAGAGAGCAGGGAGAGGAGAGGAGAGAGCAGGGGAGAGAAGAGGAGAGAGCAGGGGAGAGGAGAGAGAGCAGGGAAGAGGAGAGGAGAGAGAGCAGGGAAGGGGTGAGGAGAGAGCAGGGGAGAGGAGAGGAGAGAGCAGGGGAGAGAAGAGGAGAGAGCAGGGGAGAGGAGAGAGAGCAGGGAAGAGGAGAGGAGAGAGCAAGGGAGAGGAGAGAGAGCAGGGAAGAGGAGAGGAGAGAGCAGGGGAGAGAAGAGGAGAGAGCAGGGGAGAGGAGAGAGAGCAGGGGAGAGGAGAGGAGAGAGCAAGGGAGAGGAGAGAGAGCAGGGAAGAGGAGAGGAGAGAGCAAGGGAGAGAGGACAGGAGAGCAGAGAGAGAGCAGGGGAGAGGAGAGGAGAGAAAGCAGAGGAGAGGAGAGAGAGCAGGGAAGAGGAGAGAAGAGAGCAAGGGAGAGAAGAGAGCAAGGGAGAGAAGAGAGCAGGGGAGAGGAGAGGAGAGGAGAGAGCAGGGGAGAGGAGAGAGCAGGGGAGAGGAGAGGAGAGAGCAGGGGAGAGGAGTGAGCAAGGGAGAGGAGAGAACAGGGGAGAGGAGAGGATAGAGCAGAGAAGAGAACAGAGGAGAGAGAGCAGAGGAGGGTCTGGCCTGTGCTACACTGTCAGCACAAACACAAACGCAGGTCTTCACTCTCACTCTTGTCCAGAGACTGAAGAGAAGCTCAGAGAACATTCCGTGGTGTTGCCAGATAATTACATTGAACAAGTAGTGTCTGTGTTTGAGAGTATTTTGACTCTAAGATTTGCTGGACTTTCAAACGAATGAAAATGGAAGTAAGGAAAGGCAGGTTTAGTTTGTACAGCACAGTATTTACACAACTGAAAGTCCAAAAAAACAAAATAGAAACAGTCGCACAAGGCTATAAAATAATATATAATCACAGCACATTAAAAAGAGTTGTAGACTTCAGTTGTAGCTCCTCAGAGTCCCAGCAGGAGGTCAGTCCCTGTGCTCCTGAGTCCCAGAAAGAGGCATGTACCTGTGCTCCTGAGTCCCAGAAAGAGGCCTGTACCTGTGCTTCTTTGAGTCCCAGAAAGAGGCCAGTCCCTGTGCTTCTCTAAGTCCTACATTATAGTATCCATCTAACTCTCTCTCAAAATATTCACTAGTTTTTTTTTTTTTTTTACTTTTTGGAGCTTTCTCAGACAAAAAAAGTGGAGTCAAAAGAACCTCCTTCAGTCAGCCAATCAGCTCTCAGTCTAAAACTTAAATTAGTGACTTTCTAACAAGATTCAGTTTTAATTCAAGCTCAGCAGAACAGACCAGAACTGAGACACTGTAGCACTTGTGTTTTATTATCTATTTCCCTGTGTTTCTTGCAGTGTCTTGCCTAAGGACACAGAGACGGTTTGGCACTTTACAGCCACAGCCTCCCCACTGTGGTACCTGGTGTTCCCGGAGGTCTCCCATCACAGCACTAACCAGACCCTGCCCTGCACAGCTTCCGAGGTCTGACAGGATCTGGCTTTCACCTGCAAGTTTACTGCACGATACACTCACAAAACCACAACAATAAACAATGAGTGAAAAAAAGGTTGTGGGTTTTCATTCATAATCGCAGAAAAATGACCAAAATAATCTGATCTGTTCTGTCTGGGTGTGGTCACTTTAAGCACAACTGTAGCACTTTACAAAGCGCTTTACATGAAAGAAACCTCACCCGTTCACACACACACACACACACACAAACCAGACGCTGCAGACGAGGTTTAAGTGTCTTGCCCAAGGACAAACAGCGATAATAAACTACGAGGAGCTGGATTCACACACTGCAAAAAACGATGAAATATGTGTTAAAACTTTCTTAAATCAAATGTGTTTTAATTAAATTATCTTATTTTTTTTATCCGTCTTATCTATCTGTCCTAATATTCTCCAATGGGACAAATCCATATTTCAAGAACTGTTGCTTCATTTTCTCTTTCCAAGGGAGACATTTCCTGCATCAAAACAAGATCATTTTTGCTTTGTCCCGTTGGCAAATCTTGTTTTAATGCAGACACAATGAACTCAAATTAAAGCAGCAATATGTAAGGTTTTCATGTCAAGTCATCATTAAAGGCCCCTAATCTGTGAAAAAGCATTAATAAAACATGTTCTTTTCCAATACTTCTTTAACTGTAGCAGTAGTTCAGAGATATTTGGATTTCTAAATTACTTTTCCAGCCCCTAAATCTTGTTATTGTTTTCATTTCGATGTCCCGCCCTCCACTGTTTCACCAATCAGAAAGTCTGTGATCGAGGCGCCATAACTCACCGCATGGAGCTAATCTCACTGATAAAGTAACTTGTGGCCGCAGAAATAAAAAAATGTCTCGTTATGATGTGAAAAAAGTGTTGTTTATAGATTTGTTGTTGATAAAACTCTTTATTCAGATATTATGGTCCGAGCTGGATTAATCTGCATATCTGGCAACCTGAGTCAGGGAGAGTGCAGTACCACTTATGCCCAGATTTTTTACATACTTCTCCTTTAAGATCCATTTAGCCAAATTTGAGCATTTCTTTTGACTTATTATGTACCACTTTTTGCCGTTGCTAACCTGATATCAGAGGATCCGAACCCCTGACGTTCTGAATAGACTCACATCCTCCCTCTCTATAACACTACAATCAATCGCATGTGAATCTGACAGCTGTAGTGTGTGTTCTATGCTCCTGTCCGACCAGAGCCTGGAGCCACAAACGGCAGGAGAGACACCGGGACGACAGGCTGAGCGGCGGTTTCGTTCGGCCTCCCTCTTTCATTCACAAACACGCAGAACAATGGCGTGAGTGTGACCGCGGCGGAATCGGAGAAGTCTGAGGTAAAAGGTAGAAAAGGCCCACGTCATCCACCAGGACACAGTCACAGCGCGGGTTTCTCCTCTTTGTGCACACGCTCAAAGAGGTTTTGTGAAGAGAAGCTTAATGTTAGTTTTAGTCTGAGCAGAGAAAGAACAGGTGTGTTTGGGATTGGAGCCGGAACGAGAAATGATGCACTGCAAAAAGTGCACACTTCTGTTTCTGTTGTCATCATTTAAAAAGAGAAAACACCTTTATGTGGCAATAAATGGCACCGAGAGAGATAGATTATACATAAATATACAAATATAGATTAGAGATAGATAGATACTTTATTGATGCCTGTTGGAGATATTCAGACACTAAGTAACTAACGACAACAGCCACATTTATTCATTTGTTTTGGTGTTAAAAGGAGGTACAATGCATTTTATTGAACATTTAATAAATGTAAATATGCCAGATTATAGCCTTAGACTAATTTCCATCTGCAGACGCCCTGGCAGGTTGATGTTAATGAAGAACATAAAAACAAACATGACATAACAACAAAAATCATGCAAAGAATACAATGTACACAAGACTCTATACAGGACATGTACAAGGACAGCTGAACACGTACAAACATGTGAGACAGTCCCTGATGTGGGGAGGGGCAGTCACTGATGTGGGGAGGGGCAGTCACTGATGTGGGGAGGGGCAGTCCCTGATGTGGGGGGGTGCAGTCCCTGATGTGGGGAGGGGTAGTCCCTGATGTGGGGGGGTGCAGTCCCTGATGTGGGGAGGGGTAGTCCCTGATGTGGGGGGGTGCAGTCCCTGATGTGGGGGGGTGCAGTCCCTGATGTTGGTATTCTGTTCCAGTCCTTTACGCCCTGGACTGAAAGGACATTTTGGGAGAAGTCTGTCCTTCTCAGTGGGAGATCACAGTCTGACTGTGGCTCGTGTCAGGTGAGCAGACCTCCTGCCTCCTCTGCGCTTTTTGCTTGTGTAAATATAACTGTGTCATCAGCATACATAACGGTGTCCACATTCTTACATATGCTAGGTAAGTCATAACATAAAGTGAGAAAAGTAAGGGGCCTAAAATGGAACCCTGAGGTACCCCTATGTTGTAATGGAGATATGGGGGACCTACTGTCACCTACTTGCACACACTGCTGCCGGTATGAAAGACATGATTTCACCCACTGAACCGAATGATCACTGAAATTAAATGCAGACAGGAAGTGACAGGAAGTTTACATTAATTGTGTCAAATGCACTTTTAAAATCAATAAAGACAGCTGCAACACAACTATTTTATCCTTTTCCACAAATACACAGACAGCAGTTTCTGTTGAGTGCTGGGACCTAAAGGGTGTAGGCCTATGCCAGTGTGGCAAGCTGGACTTGCCACCTTATTTGTGTCCACTAGAGGGCGCGTACACGTATAAATAGCCTCAAGTTGCGTCCTTGTCTGTACTTCTGTCTCCTGTGTTTCATCGTGCCTGCCGCCTTCTGCTCCGGGTAGTAGAGTTCAAGTGTTCATGCTAATATATTTAAGTTGCAGCCACTAATGTTAATTGTTGTTGTAGTGCCGCGGTGAGGCCTTGTTGCCCCGCTGGTCCTGCTTGTATTTGGCCATGCTGTCCTGTCGCTCTGGCGTCTGGCCGCCCTCGTTGCTGGGGTCCGAGCGTGTTGTAGCCGGCTGTGGGTCTAGGCCTTATAACCGTCACCCGTCAAGGGTGCGCGCTCAGCATTTGTCGTAGAGAAGTAAGTTTTAGCTGCACACGTTGACAACGTTGTGGTTGTTCATAGGTAACTTGACTCTACTTTAATCCATTGGCTGGGGAACGGCCACATCGCGGCCCACCGCTGTTTCTCCCGATATTTTCCTGTTTCTCCCTGTGTTGCTCCTGAGTCCATCGTGACAGGAAATGTGTGGAATTGTGAAACCTGAAGATCAACCTATACAGCTCACTGAAATAAATCTAAGTAACTTGTATTTGCCTCTGCCTCATTATAATTAAACGAACCTGTGCACCTTAGAGCGCTTTTTATTTTATTTTATTTTGGGCACTCTGCCGTTGCTGGTCTTTGTCGCTATTTTATTTAATTTTGTTGTTATTTTAGGAGCGCGTAAACGCCTCCACTTGCCACACCAGTGTTAAGATGTTCTGTAATAGATTTGGACACCCATTTTTCAGCAATCTTTGAGATGTGGCAGAATTCTGATGCGCCAATCATCTCATCATGGCATCGACATGACCAGAAAGACAAAGGTTCATAAATGTTTATATGTATGTCTGTAAAAGTACTGTTGTGCCCTGTTCGCACCGCGCCAGTGTGAAGCCCCGGGACGCTGAGGCCCCCGGGACGCTGAGGGCCCCGGGACGCTGAGGGCCCCGGGACACTGAGGCCCCGGGACACTGAGGCAGCTGTGTGGCCTCACTCTGGGGCCACAGTGGTTTTCTTTGGAGGGGTCTGAGTTCAAGTCCTCTCCACAACATACTTCAGTTTTGGCGGGAGCACTCCACACACCTCCTCCTCCTCCTCCTCTTCCTCCTCCTGCAGCCACTCCACAGTCCACTGCAGAGTGTGTCGTCTGAAGGAGATTACAGCCATCTGCAGCCTCTCCAGGACCACTCCATAGGGACACACACAGGTTAACACACAGACACACACAGGGACATACACAGGGTAACACACACAGACACACACAGGGACACATACAGACACAGACACACACACACACACACACACACAGCACTTGTAGCCCTGACCTCTCTCAGACCCACTGACTCCAACATGAGGCTGTGTCAAGAGTGTCTTTAACACACTGCCCTGACTCTGAAGCACCGCGTTCAAACTGGAGCTCGCTGTCATTTTGGTATTTCTATAGAAGTCTGAACACGCAGAGAGCAGTCAATTTGACTGCTTTTCGTTTTGGAAATGTAATTACTCCACTTATGTTCGCTTTTGGTCTTCACTACTTTGTGACTTTTCTGTATGTTATTTCTTTCTCGTCATGTTATTTTTTTTTTTCATCTCAATCCCAGACTGGTCTGAGACTGGTTCTAGACTAATCCTAGACTAATCCTAGACTAATCCTAGACTGGTCCTAGACTGGTCCTAGACTGGTCCTAGACTGGTCCTAGACTGGTCCTAGACTGGTTCGGAGCAATCTCTGTTTAATACGAGGAGCACTAACTCCTAAAGACTTCTCTCCCGCTCACGCTGCTTCTATTGACGGAAGTGAGCGGGAGAGAAGTCAATTTTAGCCATCTTCCCTGTCCCTGCTGAAGAAAAGCAGGCCCAAAGCATGATGCTGCCACCACCATGTTTGACAGTGGGGATGGTGTGTTCAGGGTGATGAGCTGTGTTGCTTTTACGCCAAACATATCGTTTTTCATTGTGGCCAAAAAGTTCGATTTTGGTTTCATCTGACCAGAGCACCTTCTTCCACATGTTTGGTGTGTCTCCCAGGTGGCTTGTGGCAAACTTTAAACGAGACTTTTTATGGATATCTTTGAGAAATGGCTTTCTTCTTGCCACGCTTCCATAAAGGCCAGATTTGTGCAGTGCACGACTGATTGTTGTCCTATGGACAGACTCTCCCACCTCAGCTGTAGTTATCTGCAGTTCATCCAGAGTGATCATGGGCCTCTTGGCTGCATCTCTGATCAGTCTTCTCCTTGTTTGAGATGAAAGTTTGGAGGGACGGCCGGGTCTTGGTAGATTTGCAGTGGTCTGATACTCCTTCCATTTTAATATAATTGCTTGCACAGTGCTCCTTGAGATGTTTAAAGCTTGGGAAATCTTTTTGTATCCAAATCCGGCTTTAAACTTCTCCACAACAGTATCTCGGACCTGCCTGGTGTGTTCCTTTGTCTTCATGGTTCTCTCTGTGCTTTAAACAGCACCCTGAGACTATCAAAGAGCAGGTGCATTTATACGGAGACTTGATTACACACAGGTGCATTCTATTTATCATCATCAGTCATTTAGGACAACATTGGATCATTCAAAGATCCTCACTGAACTTCTGGAGTGAGTTTGCTGCACTGAAAGTAAAGGGGCCGAATAATATTGCACGCCCCACTTTTCAGTTTTATATTTGTTAAAAAAGTTTAAATTATCCAATAAATTTTGTTCCACTTCACGATTGTGTCCCACTTGTTGTTGATTCATGACAAAATGACTGTAAATATGTCTGTGTACAGTGCATGAATATGTCTCTGTCAGCCATAATGTTACAGTAAAGTCATGATAAGTAAATAATCGCTAATAGTTAAAGTTAAAGTAAGTTCAAGTTCAAAATCAGACCTGTACTCACTCAACTTTTGGACAAATAGCAATGACACAAATATGTAACAGGAAGTGGTTTGTGATATCAGACTCACTTGAATATCAGAGCAAAGACACGATGCAGGAGGAGGCGTCTGCTCAGAGCGGTGTCTTGGAGCATCCAGAGAATTCCACAGGGCTGTGTCATTCCCAGCTGTGCGTCCTGTTATGGGAACCTCGGGCGTCAGCTGGAGCGAGGATGCCAGGGCTGGGATCTGGGACTCGGACTCAGCCGTGGGACGCATTCACACTTTTAGTCATGGAGTAGATTACAGCAGTTTCTATGGTTACAAACGTTATCATGACATTTACAGGCTTCAGCGTGAATTCAACCACCAAAGATCTCCACATCTGCTTTCTGCTGTCAGACATGTTTAACCAACAATTATGAATCATGCACAGACACTGAGGCAGCTTTAAAGGAGCAGTATGTACAAATCTGGCCAAAAGTGGTACTGCAACCTCTCCCACTCTCCCTGACTCAGGTTGCCAGATATGCAGACGAATGCAGCTGGGACCATAACAGCTGAATAGACAAGAGTTTTGTCAACAACAAATCTATAACCAACACGTTTTTCACAAAGATAGAAATCCTGGTTTTATTCCTTGTTTTGTCGTTAATGATTTGAGAATCATAACAAGACCTTTTTTAGTTCTGCCCCACCAGTGAGATTAGCTCAAAGCGGTGAGTTCTGGCAGCCCGGATCACAGACTTTCCGATTGGTGAAACGGTGGAAGGCGGGACATCGAAAGGAAAACAATAACAAGAGTTAGGGTCTACTTTTACCCGTTAAAGAAGTATTTTAACCATGTTTTATTCATGCTTTTTGACATTTTAGGGCCATTTAATGATGACTTGACATGAAAATCTTACATATGTGGACGCTACTTTAAGCGTCCACACAGTGGCCCTCATTTATGAAAGTTGCGCAGAAAAGGGTGTATATTATTGGTGTATATTCCATTTACGCCAGACTCAATTGTGTTTCCAGAGTGTTAGAGTTTTTCTGTTCAAATTTAGAAACATGATGCTCGATGAAAACGTAGCTTATAATTTTGCCAGAGTGGGACTTTGTTTATTGTTTTCCAAATCTTGCATTTCATGCGTGTTTTGGTGTGTTGTAATGAAGGTTGAAATGAGTGTACACATTTACACCACCTATTGACCTGGCGTATATTCTGTGCGTATCGTACGCCCACGTCCAGATTTATAAAAGCCGAAAGTGTAAATTTTTTGTGTACACATCATTTACACCCTGATTTGGCCGTACGCAAGCTTCATAAATGAGGCCCAGTGAGTGAAAACTATGTAGTTGCTTTTGCTACAACTCCTTCTGGTTCCAATTGATTTACATTCAAAAGTAAATTCCTCTAACTCAGTGACCATTTGTACGACACTCAAACACATGTGGTCCATTCTTTTGGCTCATATCTGGATTTTATTCATGAGGAAAACTTCAGCTTCCCATAGCAACCTCCTTAGCAACACGTCAGCCCCTGTTACGCCGCAAAGTTAACACAGTTGGAAAAAATTTATATTTAAGCAAAATGGCTTCAGCTAGCTTTTGGTCATATCTGCTGCTTCTGCATTCGGCAAAAACTAAGGTAACTAAAACACAACAAAATCTGGAACAGCTTTGAATGTGAGACAGACTGATTCTAGCTTTACTATATTTAATGTTCTGTAATTATTTATGATTTTAATGCTTTATGTAATAGTCTTGTTTTGTTCAGCACTTTGAGTTGCCTTGTGTATGAACTGTGCCATACAAATAACCTTGCCTTGCCTACAGTGATGTCACACTTGGTCAGTCCTCATATGCAGGGGGTTTGGATTCAATCACAAAATGTTGATTTGATATTATAGAAGAGATCCTGAAGCGATGGCGGCTGACGATGTTTTGATAGCATCCCGTATCTCGTCGTGTTGTTGAGGGCAGTTCTGACCCAGTGCTCAGGTGTGGTCCAGCCCACGTCGGCCTCTCTTCTCTGGGGCTTTGTCTCTGCTCACTTCCCTGTGACCTGTACTGAGTCCTGGAAGTCCTACACCCTCTTTCACCTTTCACACACTGGGAAGAAACCCAGCGCTCCTGTCTCGGGTTCTGGGTCATCAGCAGAAGTGCGAAGACTGGGGACAGATGTATTGGGAGAAACTTCCGAATGTGATGTGGATCGCAAGAATTATTTTGTTATCGACAGGCTGTATCAAGATTGAAGGACTAAATCTCTGTATCCTTCTGTCAAAAGATGAGAGAAAGAAATAAAGCCTGTGCAAATATAAACTTTTAATGCAGTCCCCTTTAATAAACAGAGCCTGGTGTAAATGCTTCTTATTCCGAGCTGTAAAAATGCATTTTCTTTATTGTCATGTTTAGACCTGCTTTTTTCAGACAGAAAAGTCAGAACGAGAGAACCGCTCTATCTTTGATTTGTTCGGATCAGCTCTCAGCCCAAAGTGTTAAATAGTGACTCACAGGGCTCTTTCTCACAAGCAAAATATGTCACGTTTTCTAGTAAAACGTGGTCTGATTTGGCAAAGGAAGTTTATTTGTGTAGCACAGTCCATACACAAGGCAACTCAAAGTGCTGTACGAAATGAATCTGAAATGCTGCCTCCTCATGTTTATAGTCCTGACTCTGGGACCAGAAGTAACTCTGGACATCAAGAGTCTTTTCATCGGGACAAACAGAACCTTTTTCTATTATATGTATTCATCACGACAGAAAAAGGTTGGGTACCGCAAATTTAACCGGAATGTCCTGCCCTGGAACCTAGAAACTGAGTGAGCAAAGTGTTTCCAGGCAGAATGTAATTACAAAATGGCCGTGAAAAGAAGCAGTGAAGGTTAATGCAAGCTGAGGAAGACCACGAAACAATCTCTCTCTGGTTCCTTGTCCAAGCAGGAGGGTCTAAGGACAGCGATGATCCGGGACTTATAAGGACTTAGAAGGACATTTATTGCACTTCTGGACAGGGGTCATGCTCCCTATGGCTCCTTTGATAATAATAATGCACCGGTTTTATCCAGCGCTTTTTTTGGACACTCAAATCCACTTCACATCATAATTCTTTCACTCCAAATTCAAGTTCAAGCTATCTGTATTGTCCCACTCGGGGAAATTGGTTTTGCAGTAAACAATCATCTAAAAACAGGCAGATTCAGTAAATTCACAACATTGAAGAAAAACAAGAACAAGAGAGATTGTCACAAAGCTAATTTTCAGTGCAAATATGCTGTAAAGTGCAAAGGTTTGTACAAGTGCAATGTGCTGTTAAGGTGCTTCACAGGTGTTCGTGCTTAAGGTGCTTCCCAACCGTTTTGTCCTACACCCAAGAGCCCTATAGCGTCGTCCTGAGGGTAAAAGCTCAAACTGCTTCCTCAGGGGGATTGTCCAAAGAACCACCTGCTCACTGTACAGGTCTCAGTGGTGATAAACTACTACTACTGTAGCCACATCCGCCCTGGGGCACACTGACATAAATGAGGCAACCAGTACATGCTATCGGCCCCTCTGACCACCACCAACCATTCACACACACACCAGACTCATTCTAGGCAATGTGAGTGAAGTGTCTTGCCTAAGCACACAACAACAGTTTTGGCACTTTACAGCTGCAGCCTCCCCACTGTGGCACCTGGTGTTCCCAGAGGTCTCCCATCACCGTACTAGACAGACCCTGCTGTGCTTAGCATAGATCTATCTTTCACATGCTGGTTTGTTTGTAATGTGATTCTCTGATCTGTTACTGGGGAATCGAGATGGTATCGTCCTCCAAGTCTACAGCTTGAATTGAACTGACCTTAAAGAACGTACTGCGGTAAAACAATGGAACAGTTTGTGAGACACTTTAGTCCTGTACTTTTGTTCAAACAGAAAGAGTCTTAACTTTCTCAAACAAAAAACGTGAAAACAAACTATAAAAGCAGTTCCTGACTTTATTTGTTGCCAAAAGAGTGTGTTTTGGTTTAAATCATCCGTGCCTAGTTAGTGCACTTCCTGGACTCGGACCCCGCAGCACTTCAGAACGAGGCCCGGGGTCACGGAGTAGTCACAACAATACAGGAAGTGTCTCATTGTCCCTCTGTCACATGATGTATCGGGCCAGGGGGATAATTGGACCACTCTTTGTCTCGCCTTATCGTTCTAACTGCAGTAACCTCCGACGGGCGGCTTGGGTTAGTCTGGGGAGGAGGGGGGTCGTTCTGAAGGAGCACTGAAGCAGTAAATACAGTTCCTTGCGAAAGTATTCGGCCCCCTTGAACCTTTCAACATGTCGCCACATTTCAGGCTTCAAACATAAAGAAATAAAATTTTCAACAAGAAGTGGGACACAATTGTGAAGTGGAACGAAATTTATTGGATAATTTAAACTTTTTTAACAAATAAAAAACTGAATAGTGGGGTGTGCAATATTATTCGGCCCCTTTACTTTCAGTGCAGCAAACTCAGTCCAGAAGTTCAGTGAGGATCTTTGAATGATCCAATGTTGTCCTAAATGACTGATGATGATAAATAGAATGCACCTGTGTGTAATCAAGTCTCCGTATAAATACACCTGCTCTTTGATAGTCTCAGGGTTCTGTTTAAAGCGCAGAGAGAACCATGAAGACAAAGGAACACACCAGGCAGGTCCGAGATACTGTTGTGGAGAAGTTTAAAGCCGCATTTGGATACAAAAAGATCTCTCAAGCTTTAAACATCTCAAGGAGCACTGTGCAAGCAATTATATTGAAATGGAAGAAGTATCAGACCACTGCAAATCTACCAAGACCCGGCCGTCCCTCCAAACTTTCATCTCAAACAAGGAGAAGACTGATCAGAGATGCAGCCAAGAGGCCCATGATCACTCTGGATGAACTGCAGGTAACTACAGCTGAGGTGGGGATGGTGTGTTCAGGGTGATGAGCTGTGTTGCTTTTACGCCAAACATATCGTTTTGCATTGTGGCCAAAAAGTTTGATTTTGGTTTCATCTGACCAGAGCACCTTCTTCCACATGTTTGGTGTGTCTCCCAGGTGGCTTGTGGCAAACTTTAAACGAGACTTTTTATGGATATCTTTGGCCAGATTTCTGCAGAGCACGACTGATCCTATGGACAGACTCTCCCACCTCAGCTGTAGTTATCTGCAGTTCATCCAGAGTGATCATGGGCCTCTTGGCTGCATCTCTTCTCCTTGTTTGAGATGAAAGTTTGGAGATGAAAGTTTGGAGGGACGGCCGGGTCTTGGTAGATTTGCAGTGGTCTGATACTCCTTCCATTTCAATATAATTGCTTGCACAGTGCTCCTTGAGATGTTTAAAGCTTGGGAAATCTTTTTGTATCCAAATCCGGCTTTAAACTTCTCCACAACAGTATCTCGGACCTGCCTGGTGTGTTCCTTTGTCTTCATGGTTCTCTCTGTGCTTTAAACAGAACCCTGAGACTATCAAAGAGCAGGTGCATTTATACGGAGACTTGATTACACACAGGTGCATTCTATTTATCATCATCAGTCATTTAGGACAACATTGGATCATTCAAAGATCCTCACTGAACTTCTGGACTGAGTTTGCTGCACTGAAAGTAAAGGGGCCCAATAATATTGCACGCCCCACTTTTCAGTTTTTTATTTGTTAAAAAAGTTTAAATTATCCAATAAATTTCGTTCCACTTCACGATTGTGTCCCACTTGTTGTTGATTCTTGATAAAAAATTAAAATGTTATATCTTTATGTTTGAAGCCTGAAATGTGGCGAAATGTTGAAAGGTTGAAGGGGGCCGATTACTTTCGCAAGGCACTGTATGTGGGGAGGCCTGAAGGGAGAGGGTCGAGCAAGACTGGAGTACTGTCCCAGGCTCGGTATGGGACAGGGAGAGGGTCTAGTCCTAGGCTCTGTATGGGACAGGGAGAGGGTCTAGTCCTAGGCTCTGTATGGGACAGGGAGAGGGTCTAGTCCTAGGCTCTGTACGGGACAGGGAGAGGGTCTAGTCCTAGGCTCTGTACGGGACAGGGAGAGGGTCTAGTCCTAGGCTCTGTATGGGACAGGGAGAGGGTCTAGTCCTATAGGCTCTGTATGGGACAGGGAGAGGGTCTAGTCCTAGGCTCTGTACGGGACAGGGAGAGGGTCTAGTCCTAGGCTCTGTACGGGACAGGGAGAGGGTCTAGTCCTAGGCTCTGTACGGGACAGGGAGAGGGTCTAGTCCTAGGCTCTGTATGGGACAGGGAGAGGGTCTAGTCCTAGGCTCTGTACGGGACAGGGAGAGGGTCTAGTCCTAGGCTCTGTATGGGACAGGGAGAGGGTCTAGTCCTAGGCTCTGTACGGGACAGGGAGAGGGTCTAGTCCTAGGCTCTGTACGGGACAGGGAGAGGGTCTAGTCCTAGGCTCTGTATGGGACAGGGAGAGGGTCTAGTCCTAGGCTCTGTATGGGACAGGGAGAGGGTCTAGTCCTAGGCTCCGTACGGGACAGGGAGAGGGTCTAGTCCTAGGCTCTGTACGGGACAGGGAGAGGGTCTAGTCCTAGGCTCTGTATGGGACAGGGAGAGAGGGTCTAGTCCTAGGTTCTGTACGGGACAGGGAGAGGGTCTAGTCCTAGGCTCTGTACGGGACAGGGAGAGGGTCTAGTCCTAGGCTCTGTACGGGACAGGGAGAGGGTCTAGTCCTAGGCTCTGTATGGGACAGGGAGAGGGTCTAGTCCTAGGTTCTGTACGGGACAGGGAGAGGGTCTAGTTAATTCTCTCAGTTGCTCTTTTCCAAATGGATTTACAGTGAGCTGTAAATGTTATGGAGGTGCAGACGCCGTGTGCATGTGAGCCTCCTCCTGCAGGGTGAGGGTGAGGGTGGGGATGACTGTGAGGGTCCCCCAGGATAGGGGTGGGGGTGAGGGTGAAGGGGAGGGTGAGGTTGAGGGTGGGGGTGAGGGCTGGGAAGTCTGAGGCTGGACAGAAAATCTCCAAATTTTTAGCCTTTACCTTCAGGTGCTTGACAGACTTCAGGTGCTTGACAGACTTCAGGTGCTTGACAGACTTCAGGTGCTTGAGCAATTTATGTTAGATAATTAGAAAATGCATTTAACTCAAAAGTCATTCTTCTTTTGCCATAACCTCCATGTTGTATATTTGTATCAGGGTTGAAATACTTTATTACCATATTTGAAACCATATGTTTAAGTCTGTGTGAGGTTCAAACAATGATGAATAATTACTGAATTAGTCGAATATTTCAGGAGATGTTTGTTCCAAGTTTGTTCAGAGCGAGACTTCCAGTAAAATACTTCAATCACAGTTGAATAAATGTTTCTCAAAAATCCACACAATCTACCTCCATTATATAGATTCAATTGGTTCAAGTTAGTCCTCTTTTTTCCCAGGACCAGAGAACCCAGGACCAGAGGATCCAGGACCAGAGGATCTAGGACCAGAGCTTACAGGACCAGAGGACCCAGGACCAGAGGACCCAGGACCAGAGGACCCAGGACCAGAGGACCCAGGACCAGAGGACCCAGGACCAGAGGATCTAGGACCAGAGCACACAGGACCAGAGGATCCAGGACCAGAGGACCCAGGACCAGAGCACACAGGACCAGAGGACCCAGGACCAGAGGACCCAGGACCAGAGGACCCAGGACCAGAGGACCCAGGACCAGAGGACCCAGGACCAGAGGACCCAGGACCAGAGCACCCAGGACCAGAGCACACAGGACCAGAGGATCCAGGACCAGAGCTCACAGGACCAGAGGACCCAGGACCAGAGGACCCAGGACCAGAGCACACAGGACCAGAGGATCCAGGACCAGAGCTCACAGGACCAGAGGACCCAGGACCAGAGGATCTAGGACCAGCGCTCACAGGACCAGAGGACCCAGGACCAGAGGACCCAGGACCAGAGCACACAGGACCAGAGGACCCAGGACCAGAGCACCCAGGACCAGAGCACACAGGACCAGAGCACACAGGACCAGAGGATCCAGGACCAGAGCTCACAGGACCAGAGGACCCAGGACCAGAGGACCCAGGACCAGAGGACCCAGGACCAGAGCACCCAGGACCAGAGCTCACAGGACCAGAGCACACAGGACCAGAGGATCCAGGACCAGAGCTCACAGGACCAGAGGACCCAGGACCAGAGGATCCAGGACCAGAGGATCCAGGACCAGAGGATCCAGGACCAGAGGATCCAGGACCAGAGGATCCAGGACCAGAGCTCACAGGACCAGAGGACCCAGGACCAGAGGACCCAGGACCAGAGGACCCAGGACCAGAGGACCCAGGACCAGAGCACACAGGACCAGAGCACACAGGACCAGAGGATCCAGGACCAGAGCTCACAGGACCAGAGGACCCAGGACCAGAGCACCCAGGACCAGAGGATCCAGGACCAGAGGACCCAGGACCAGAGCTCACAGGACCAGAGGACCCAGGACCAGAGCACACAGGACCAGAGCACACAGGACCAGAGCACACAGGACCAGAGGATCCAGGACCAGAGGATCCAGGACCAGAGGATCCAGGACCAGAGGATCCAGGACCAGAGCTCACAGGACCAGAGGATCCAGGACCAGAGGACCCAGGACCAGAGCACACAGGACCAGAGGATCCAGGACCAGAGCTCACAGGACCAGAGGACCCAGGACCAGAGCTCACAGGACCAGAGGATCCAGGACCAGAGCACACAGGACCAGAGGACCCAGGACCAGAGCACACAGGACCAGAGGATCCAGGACCAGAGCTCACAGGACCAGAGGACCCAGGACCAGAGCACACAGGACCAGAGGACCCAGGACCAGAGCACCCAGGACCAGAGGACCCAGGACCAGAGCACACAGGACCAGAGGATCCAGGACCAGAGCACACAGGACCAGAGGACCCAGGACCAGAGCACCCAGGACCAGAGGACCCAGGACCAGAGCACCCAGGACCAGAGGACCCAGGACCAGAGCACCCAGGACCAGAGGACCCAGGACCAGAGCACCCAGGACCAGAGGACCCAGGACCAGAGCACCCAGGACCAGAGGACCCAGGACCAGAGCACCCAGGACCAGAGCACACAGGACCAGAGGATCTAAGACCAGAAATATAATCTGCTCCACCCAGAGACTACTCCACCTCTGCTGCTGTTGCTGATTATGACTATCGTATGCCGCTAACGAGTACATAGCACTTTATTACATGCTTTGATGGAATGATTATGAACTGTGTGTTTGATTGAACCCGTTCTCAATACCTAATAATGCATTTAGGGTTAGTTATTTGAGAGGTCCTGTCTCTTACACAGGCCAGATCCCTTTGTGATGACGAGCTAAATAAGGTATCTAGCCCAAGGTCAATCAATAATTGGGAGATTCCAGCCACGAACCCCACCGCCTGCTCAGATTGGGCTGGTAGGACGCTTTCGAGCCACCCTTCGCTCACTCCACCAACTATTCTAGTCGGTAACCTCCCTTCCTTTCGGTTGAGCCGAGTTGGGAACAATCATGAACTATCGACCTGTACATTTGTAAATAGTCTATGGTTTTTTTTTCTAAATTGCTTGTGTGTTTGTATGTGTGAAACCTTTGAATATACGGTACCAACCAAACTGCAATCAGTCTTTCCCTTCTCTCTCTCTGAGTTGAAACTATGGCCTTTTGATTCTAGCCCATAACACTCCAGATATCATATGATTTGTACTTTACCCTGGCTACATTATCTTTTTTAGAAGGTGCTTTTTGCTGCTACTGGACATTTCTCCAACGGGGATCAATAAAGTATCTATCTGTATATCTATCTATCTATCTGTTACAGGCTGCTTCATGTTCAGTGTTTCTGAGATAGGCAGCTCTGGCGGAGAGAAGACATTTTGGATGAGTCCTGTTGCCTCGAAGTCCAACATCACTTGAATGTTGTCGCCACTTCTTACACTTTTATGAGAAATACTTAAACCTTTAAATGGATTTTTCTAACAAAGGAGATGTGCGTTTGTTTCATGTCATTAGCTCTAAACTGGTTGTCTGACTTACATAGTTACCATAGTTACCAGGAAAGAAATGTCAACCGCCCTCCACCACAGTGAAACTATAAACTACTCTTTGCAATGTTGTGATGTCACATGAAAACAACTTATTCTGTAATGCATTATTGTTGTGAACTGTAAGTGTGAAAGTACAAGTTTTAAACATTAATAAAATAATTCGGAACCAAACAGACTCATGACCAGCGGCTTCTCCCCCTCTGCTGCTGCTGCTGCTGCTGCACGTTCCTATTGTTAGTCACTTGTAGAATCATGTTTTTTTTAAATCTATGGATGGAAATCTCAACACTGGACATCTGAATTTCTCTTAAGGGCGTTTGATAAAGAATAGTATTTATTCAACAATTATGGACCAATGGCTCTGTGTGTTTTTCATCATTGCATTTCTTGTGTTTAAACTGTTTGATTCTCTGATCTGCTTTGGCGAATTCAACGGTTTTGCAAAGTCCCCCCAGAAAACGACTGTTGTCATTCAGGCCTATACAAGAACACATTGAATTGAATCTACCTATCTATGAACCTATCTATCTACGTATCTTCTTAGTCTGGTCTTGCACACGGCCAGGGACTCTGTGGCATCTCGGCTGCACTTTCCCTTAATAGAAATTAATGACTTCCTGAATCCCAAACACGGAGGAGGCTGAGGACAACAGAATTCCAACCTCTGGGAGCTTCTATTTTCCCTGTGCCCCGTCCCAAACAGCCTCAGGGGCCCAAACACGGCTTAAATCTGGGCGCCTCTCTCCGACCGTGGCATTCTGTTTGTCCAGTGTCGTCCGGCGTTTAATTTATGGACACTTGAGGTGACTTATGTCTGAGAAACCCGACTAGTTCAAGGTTAAAGAAAGTTGCTTGTGTAAAAAAGTGTGAACGTGTCGTGACAAATGCGAAACAAAAACACAACTTTGCGACGGTTAAACTTTTGTCATAATCTGTATTTGAACAAACACGACATAGAAATATTATACAATACTGACTTTTCACAATTTGCAATCGATATAAAAATCTTATTCACATAAATACATTCACATTTATACGGTACAATAATAACACAATGGCAGCTCATGCTTTGAAGACATCGGCAAAGACGTTTGGTTCGAACACCCGCAGCCATAGTGCACTGCTCTGTCCAGTGTAATTGGCTTAATACAGCATTTCAATTCAATAAACCTCATAAATAGAGTAACGACTTTGGCAACACTGAACTAAACGCACAGATTTCTCTCCGATATGATTTACTTAAGCATAAAATAAGCTATGAATGTTGACAAAAATCTATTCTCTGAAACAGAATCTCTCTGAATATGTCCATATATAAATACTCAATGTCTTCCTATGCTACATATATTTGCTTTTTTTATTTGGTTTTAGTGCTTGCAGCATTCTGGATTATTCACTTTTTAATCAGTGCAAAATCTCCCTTTTTGTAAGACTTTTTTATTATAATCTCCTTTCTCATAATAACAGGACCGAAACCCACTCCCGTTTGTCATTTGGCTTGCTTCTGACTGACCTGGCAACCCACGTGTAGCCACTTAGCAATCGTAGAACAAAACCCGCTAACGACATTGAACCGGTAACAACGTCTCGGTAGTGGCGTCTCTCGGTGAAAGCAGCTCACAGGTACAGCATCCACATGGCTTTGGACCAACGCCGCTCTGTCCGCTCGCTCTTCGATCCGGAGGGCGTCGCCGTCGGCCGCTCCGCCTCTCGTAACGGGACAGGCCTGCAGCTTTTCACGCCGGCTTTTTTTTCCGCTTTTGAACGCACGATTCCCCGCTCCACGCTAGCTCTCAGTCTATCGGCAGCTCGCACGGTATTTGCTGGCTAGCTTTAGCCTTGAGGTAGGCCTCCTGGAAGTCCTTGTACCGCGGCGCGCAGCCCAGCCAGGCCTCGCCGAAGTGCACCCGCCCCGTGAACAGGAAGCTCCCCGCTCCTGGTTTGACGCCGCACTGCAGCAGCGTCCGGATCTCGCCCTTCGCGGTGAGGCGGCCCGCGGCGGTGAACAGGGCGTACTTCTGCCGGAACACTCTGGTGGCGCTGACTTTGATCACGGCGGCTCGCAGGGTGTCGTCGTCGGCAACGGAGCGGATGTTTCCACGCACCACTGCGGAGAACGGGACAGAACGTTAGCTTGGTGAACGATGGATCACAGCACTGCTAATAATGCTACATGTGTCTCATGAAGAGCTCTTGAAGGTATATAGAGGCATTTTCTACTTCCTGGTGGATCATCAAGACTATTGGTCCTCCCAACTGTCAATCATTCTGGTGATACGTGCTCGTCAAATAAGACCAGAGAGTTTTGTTAAAAAGTGGAGAGGGCGGTTCTTTCCTAAAATTTGGGAAAATCCCCCTATACACTACCTTTAAAGGAGACAGTTTGTGCCTAATTTAACCGTGTACAACATTGTTCCTGTTCTGTAATCTGACCGGCGTGGTTTGGACTTAGGACAAACTGAACGTCTTTGTACGGACCCACGTTGCTACTAGTATCTGTAGCTTAAAGGTTTACAGGAGGATTTTCCCAAATTTTAGGAAAGAACCTGAATCAGGCCTGAAGTTGTTTCCCAATCCACGCTAATACCAGGAAATTCTATCCCAAACGTGTAGCTCCACCCCTTCTGTCTATAAGCTCTTGTCTCAGTCTTGTAATGGTGTGACGTCATTGTACCACTATGACATCATACTCAAAAGTATTGCCCCCATTTCTCAAGTGAATTGAACTGTTTTTTTCCCAATTGCACAGTTTAAAACAAAACAAAAATCACTCCTCCCCCTGGTGGTAGCCCAAGGGTAGGACAGGCATTTGTTAACCATGATTCATGTTAACCATATATTTTCTACTGAAGATAGAATTTAACATTCTAAAAACATGAAATATTAAAGTAAATAGTGTCATTGTGATTTTTAATGGACAAAAATAATGCGTAATATTTGTTCTTCAAGTTGCATCAAACAACTCAGGCTAAAAATCTGTTTTCAAAGTTTTCAAAGCCCGAACCGAAGCCCTTTTCCCCTCCTTCATTTCAACTCAATCAGATTAGTCCGTGCCTTCTATGGGAGTCCTCAAAGATTTGGGGGCCTGCACCTTTCACCTTTGCAATTACGAGAAGAGGATTTGTAGGTGCTGGAGATTTGCAGTTCCTGATTTAATATTACGCCTCTCATTCCGGCCTTTTGAGTTCACAGTAATCCCGTTAGGAGCGACCACAATGGAATTCCAGGTAACTCACCAAAGTCGCTAGTGCACACAGCCATCAAGATCTCGGTATTGTTGCACGGTCTGCAGGCATCTGTCAAGACAAGAGGGAGAAATGTCCGTTAGGGAAACTCGTACGCTCTCCAAGGAGACACCTATATGCTAATGCTACAGCCCTGCCTCAGCTAATTGCTCGAGCAGATCAATGTAGAGGAATCTGGGGAAGAATGTTCAGGACGGACCAACCGCGGAGACGCAAAAAGTCGCAGCTGCTACTTTTCATTTCACGTTTTACAGTTGGTGGTCAAGTTTTTTTGAAGGTGTGAGATCCCCCCCCCCCCCCCCCCCCCCGTCTCAATGCCTTGCTGGGTGTCTACAGTCACACCTCATCAAAGCTCAAGGGGAAGGCCTGGTTACTTCAAAAGACCCCGGCACAAAACCACTTCTGACAGAGTTCCTCCGTAATTTTCGGAGAGACTGACAAACGATCTGAAAGGAATATTTAGAATGTGACCCCTTCTGAAGTTAGTGGACTTAAATTTGAGGCGCTATATGACATTTTTTTAAAAGTTAATTTTCTTCTGCAGCCTCCTGGTTCCCCTCCGAAAGAGACTTGACAAATGAGATTCCCTCCTCCCTAAGCCCTAGTGTGTGTGTGTGTGTGTGTGTGTGTGTGTGTGTGTGTGTGTGTGTGTGTGTGTGGGAGTGTGTGAGTGCTGGTCTGGACTGGAGGGGTACACTTCTCCAGACCAATCTCCCCAGTCCCAACAAAAGACCGGAGCATCTCAGCTGGGCAAAGGCTCGCCCCCCCCTCGTTGCCGGGGAGACAGCAGTAATCCCAGAATGCTCATTGAAAGGGGCCCCAGGAACACTGCAGTGAAAGCAAACCCCCACATACTGTGTCTTTGTGCCCCCCCACTGCCCCCCAACCCCACTCTGGCCGGAGCCTTCTTTGAATCGCAAACAGCCATTCCTCAGGCCACAGGCTACGGAGAGAGGTTTGCCCACGGTCCTTCATGGTCTCTGTGCTCTTGGGAATTATGGGATTGGGATTGGAATTCTATATCCATCCCACAGTGGGGTAATTTCAGTGTTGCATCAGTAGGAATGAGAAGCACACAGCAAAAGAGAAGCCATTAATACTGTATAAAACTGACAAAATGAAACATAATCTCTAGCTTTAGCATAACACAGACGCAAGAATTAAGTCTAAATCTCTCTCTCTCTCTTATGATTGATGGTATGAACAGAGTTGTTTAGGAATAATACATCATTTCTAAACTGTTTGTTATAGATGCGTTTGTGGTTGACATGGATAATGAGACATTTAAAGCTGGGGTACCTGATCCCACCTCTCCCGACATAAATACAACAGAATATCTTTTGCATAATTGTTGTGAGTTTTGAGTTTGGGCTGAAAGCTGATTGGCCGAGCGATCCTCTCTTTCGATCTGCAATAGCTAATCTGAAGATGTGACAGAGGGCGAAAAATTCATGATGTGAAAACTAGCAAGCATTGAGTGTTATGAACTTTTTGGATTGATTTTATTCTCTAGAGTCATTTTTTAGTGGTTTGAAAGTTAGATACCCTAGCTTTAACTGCTCATCTGTCATAACTTATTTTACCCCATCTTAAGAAGTTTATCCCAGTGGCTTAATCTATGGTTAATTGCTAATGTATATGCAATTAACTGTGCATAAGGAGACCCGATGATCCCAAAATATTTCAACCAGAATCCAGAGTAACCAAAATGGCTGCCGTGGGGCCCCTCACCTTCACTGGTCACTTGGTTGGAGTCCATGGACAGCTGTGCGCTCCAGTCTCCTCTCAGCTCGTACCGAAACGACGCGATCCTCCTGCTGATGTCCTGGTGTGGGGTCGCCTGCAGGAACAGCGCCACCTTCTCCCCGGGCTGGCGGCTGAAGCACCTCACCCGGGGCGGGGCCGAGGTACCCAGCCGGTCCCCCACCAGCAGCTCCAGCACCCCGTCCCGCTCCAGGTACAGCTGAGCCCCGTGGAACTGCTCCGAGGGCTTGACGCAGGCGGTGATGAGGCCCGAGCTGCTGCCCCCGGGTCCCACCGCCACGTAGGGCAGGCGGGGGGACAGGCTGAGGCGGAGGGCCCCTTTAGGGTACAGCCAGTCCAGGGTACCCTCAGAGCAGTGCAGGGAGATCTGCTCCACACTGCCCTGCTGCTGGGACAAGCCACTGTGGAGGGAGAGAGAAGAGTTAACATGAGTTCTATAAATACATACACATTAATGATCAGGTTAGGGACAGCAGTTTTAAAGCTGGGGTACCTAACTTAAAAACTACAAGAAGATTGAGTTGTTTTTTACAACAATCCAAATAATAATAAAACAGTTTTACTAGTTTGTTTGGCTTATGTCACATCTTCAGAGATCGTTTTTTGTTTTTGGACAGAAAAGAATCAAAGTCACTCATAAGGATTTGTGTTTTGACTATGCAAAAGAAAAGACCCACAAATGTTTGCATGAATACTAGTGATGTCTCCCAGCTTTAAACAATATGGATATTATTGTAATATAGTATTAATGTGTAAGATTTTACCAAGCAATTACAAATAGCTCAGATTTTAACTTGCACCTCCTACTGGTGACTCTACTCCGACTGCAACCTGTGACTCTGAACTTTTTTGCACGTTTTTTTTTTATTGAAAATCATTGCATCGTCCAACAGTTATGACATGCATATGAAGCCGCATGCCAAGCCCCACTAAGAGCGCATTTTGCACGGTGCATAAGCATTAACCCAGTCGTCTCCTGCTTGTCTGGACACTCCATGCCTCCTGCAGACAACCGCTGCAGGGGCCAATCAGCGGAGCCCCCGAAACATTTTAATTGCCGCATAATGGCGAGTCCAAACACGTTCGACTCAAGCAGGCATGGGCTCTCTCCGCGGGTCAAGGGTCGCATCAACACAGACCAGTCAGCATTTATGTTGTTTCATCCATTACGCTACCCCCCATCATGCATCACCAGAAGATACTTTAAAAAAAATACTTGCCTCCCTCTCCAACTGCACTGGTCCTCGGAGTAGTAGGACCTGGCCTCGTCCAAACTGCTGAGGAATACAATCCACATCGCGTAAATCCAAGCTCCACCGTACGCACGCATCTTCAGTGGCGAGAGAGGCGCAGTGAAGGAATGTGGAACGGAAAATCTCCACACACACGCACACAGAAAACTCAAACTCGGCTCAACGCGACTACGCTATGACGCTACTAAAAAGCACGCTTGTAGAATCCATCGTGTTGCGTGTGTCCTCTGTCCTTCTCCAGCCCAGGTCAGAGGTGTTTCTCTCCGCTACATGTGAGGCTGATGTGCGCCAGGCTCACGCTGCGCTCCGGAGTTATCCCCGACTCCCAAAGTTGCGCAGCCAATCAGAGCGCGCCCCTGGAAACTTTAAACCACTCTCTCTGCGCAGGAGGGGGTGATGTGGGGGTTTGTGTGGGGTATAGCAGGGGGTGGGGGTGGGCTATAGGAAGGCCAGTGTGCAGGGTCACTCCTCTAAACTATTCTACTGGCATCTTCAGGTGTAGTCCAGCCTCATAAGTGGAAACTGCAGGGTTTTTTCACGTGGCAAATAAATGACAAAATAAATCAAACCCGCGCGTTCTATGACACTAATACTAAAAAATAATAATGAATTGGTTTTTACAGCACTTTTCGTTATTCTTATACTCCAAACACGGTGGTGATAAACGACTACTGTAGCCACAGCTGCCCTGACAGAAGTGAGTCTGTGCCATCAGCCCCTCCGACCACCACACACACACACACACACACACACACACACACACACACACACACACACACACACACACACACACACACACACACACACACACACACACACCAGACTCTAGGCTAGATTCTAGGCAATGTGGGTGAAGTGTCTTGCCTAAGGACACAACCACAGTTTAGCACTTTACAGCCGCCCCACTATGGCGCCTGGTGTTTCCACAGGTCTCCCATCACAGTACTAACCAGGCCCTGCCCTGCACAGCTTCAGAGGTGTGACAGGATCTGGCCATGAGTCTCCTTTAGCTTTAGTATTTAGCGTTTTTATTAATATTATTCTGAATGAGATAAGTGCGGATATGTCGATGTTGCGAATACAGGACAGTAGTATAAGAACGCACAAGCAGCACACACAATATACAACACAAGTGGCTACACAATGCTTCTTTATGATCTATAAATATGGAAGTTTGGATCTTTCTGTGCAATGATGTGAAACTGAGCTTGGCGATACAACAGAATGCAGAAGTCGGTTATTTTTTACATCACAGAACACAACGGAGAAATTTAACTCGGAACCAGAAGGAAAAGTACACTACAAAAAATATCATGCCCCATTGTACACAGTTCCGGGTTGTGGGCCCCTGGACAAGTCTGGTGAACTAAAGTGGCCCTTGTATGTATGTGATCATAAGGGCCACTTGAACATGTGCGTACATAGTTAAAAAAAAAACACATATTTAAAGCACATGTTCAAGTTTCCATGGTGACAGTAAAAGTCCACATGGTGTCTGCAGTGTGTGACAGTAAACACCAGGAATATGATTAGATTTGCAGCGGTGCAGTGAGGGGTCGGGCTGGTACCATGGGTCAAACGTGTAGTTGTTGTGTCTGGTGATGATGATGATGATGATGAAGGTGAGAGTCCGTCCCCTCGGACTCGGACGCTCTCTCCCCTCTCCCCCGCTGAGCTCCTCTTTCATCTGCTGCTGTTTAGAAGCAAATCAAATATTCTTTTGTGCACTGGCTGTCATCCATCAGTGGCTGAGTGTGCTGCATGCGTGTGCTGGCCTGGGACATACTGGGACATACTGGGACATAATGGGACATACTGGGACATACTGGGGCTTACTGGCGCTTACTGGGACATACTGGGGCATACTGGGGCATACTGGGGCATACTGGGGCTTACTGGGACATACTGGGGCATACTGGGGCATACTGGGACATACTGGGACACACTGGGACATACTGGGGCTTACTGGGACATACTGGGACATACTGGGGCATACTAGGGCATACTAGGACATACTCGGACATACTGGGGCATACTAGGACATACTGGGGCATACTGGGACATACTGGGACATACTGGGACACACTAGGAAATACTGGGACACACTGGGACATACTGGGGCATACTGGGGCATACTGGGACATACTGGGGCATACTAGGGCATACTAGGACATACTCGGACATACTGGGACATACTGGGGCATACTGGGACATACTGGGGCATACTGGGACATACAGGGATATACTAGGACATACTAAGACATACTAGGACACACTAGGACATACTGGGACATGCTGGGACCTCTGATGCAGTTATGACAGGTCCTCACAGCGGCACAAAGGCACATGTGCAGAAATCCAACTGTTTCATTGTCTGAGTCTTCATTATGAGCACAGCCAATCAACACAGAGAGACCACAGAGGGACCACAGAGAGACCAGAAAGAGACCACAGAGGGACCAGAGAGAGACCACAGAGAGACCCACAGAGAGACCCTCAGAGAGACCCTCAGAGAGACCACAGAGAGACCCTCAGAGAGAGACCACAGAGAGACCCGCAGAGAGACCAGAGAGAGACCACAGAGAGACCACAGAGAGATCCACAGAGAGACCAGAGAGAGACCAGAGAGAGACCAGAGAGAGACCACAGAGAGACCCACAGAGAGACCAGAGAGAGACCACAGAAAGACCCCCAAAGAGACCCCAGAGAGACCACAGAGAGACCACAGAGAGACCCCATAGAGACCACAGAGAGACCAGAGAGAGACCACAGAAAGACCCCAGAGAGACCACAGAGAGACCCGCAGAGAGACCAGAGAGAGACCACAGAGAGACCACAGAGAGACCCACAGAGAGACCAGAGAGAGACCACAGAAAGACCCCAGAGAGACCCCAGAGAGACCACAGAGAGACCACAGAGAGACCCCAGAGAGACCCCAGAGAGACCACACAGAGACTGACATTTATGGACATTGGTTTCTGCCCCAATTCTTCACTGTGTTTTAGTATCACTGCATTTGAACGGTTTGATTCTCTGATCTGTGGTTGGAGAATCGACAGCTTGTAAAATCCTCAGAGATAATCACTGTTTTGATTTAGGGCGATACAAAAACAAGTCTGTCTGTGTATCTGATCTATGCATTGATGTCACATGACCATAATGTATCAGACTCAGTATTTCACGGCATTCAAATCCTCTGACCAGAATGACCCCGACAGTCCCGTAAAGTCAGACTGGGATGTTACGGTCCCATTCTCCCAGACTGTGATGTCACATCTCACTCCGCTCTGTGACTGTGTGAAACCCAGAGCTGCTGTTTCCCTTCATCAGAACAAAGACATGTCTGTTTGTACTGATACTGTACTCTCTCTCACACTGTACCCACTGAAGCAGGGTCTCTCACACACAGCCTCTCTCTCCCACAGTCTCTCTCTCTCACACAGCCTCTCTCTCTCTCTCACAGCCTCTCTCTCTCTCACAGCTCTCTCTCACACAGCCTCTCTCACACAGCCTCTCTCACACACAGCCTCTCTCTCTCTCACAGACTCTCTCTCACACAGCCTCTCTCTCTCTCTCACAGCCTCTCTCTCTCTCACAGCCTCTCGCTCTCTCTCAGCCTCTCTCACACAGCCTCTCTCACACAGCCTCTCTCTCACAGCCTCTCTCTCACAGCCTCTCTCTCTCACACAGCCTCTCCTCTCTCTCACAGCCTCTCTCTCTCACACAGCCTCTCTCACACAGCCTCTCTCACACAGCCTCTCTCTCACAGCCTCTCTCTCTCTCACAGCCTCTCTCTCTCTCACAGCCTCTCTCTCTCACACAGCCTCTCTCACACAGCCTCTCTCTCACAGCCTCTCTCTCTCTCACAGCCTCTCTCTCACACACAGCCTCTCTCTCTCTCACAGCCTCTCTCTCACACACAGCCTCTCTCACACAGCCTCTCTCTCTCTCACAGCCTCTCTCTCTCACACAGCCTCTCTCACACAGCCTCTCTCACACAGCCTCTCTCTCTCTCACAGCCTCTCTCTCACACACAGCCTCTCTCTCTCCAAGCCTCTCTCTCTCTCACAGCCTCTCTCTCTCACAGCCTCTCTCTCACACACAGCTCTCTCTCTCTCACAGCCTCTCTCTCTCTCACAGCCTCTCGCTCTCTCTCTCTCTCAGCTCTCTCACACAGCTCTCTCTCACAGCCTCTCTCTCACAGCCTCTCTCTCTCTCTCTCTCACACAGCCTCTCTCTCTCTCTCACAGCCTCTCTCTCTCACACCTCTCTCACACAGCCTCTCTCTCACAGCCCTCTCTCTCTCACAGCCTCTCTCTCTCCACAGCCTCTCTCACACACAGCCTCTCTCTCTCTCACAGACTCTCTCTCACACAGCCTCTCTCTCTCACAGCCTCTCTCTCTCACAGCCTCTCTCTCTCTCAGCCTCTCTACACAGCCTCTCTCTCACAGCCTCTCTCTCACAGCTCTCTCTCTCACAGCCTCTCTCTCTCTCACAGCCTCTCTCTCTCACACAGCCTCTCTCACACACAGCCTCTCTCTCTCTCACAGACTCTCTCTCACACAGCCTCTCTCTCACAGCCTCTCTCTCTCACAGCCTGCCTCTCTCTCTCACAGCCTCTCTCTCACAGCCTCTCTCTCTCTCACAGCCTCTCTCTCTCACACAGCCTCTCTCACACACAGCCTCTCTCTCTCTCACAGACTCTCTCTCACACAGCCTCTCTCACACACAGCCTCTCTCTCTCCCCCACAGCCTCTCTCTCCCACAGCCTCTCTCTCTCACACAGTCTCTCTCTCCCTCCCACAGCCTCTCTCTCACACAGTCTCTCTCTCCCTCCCACAGCCTCTCTCTCCCAGACTTTCTCTCTCTCCCACAGCCTCTCTCTCTCACACAGTCTCTCTCTCCCTCCCACAGCCTCTCTCTCACAGACTATCTCTCTCTCCCACAGCCTCTCTCTCTCACACAGTCACTCTCTCCCTCCCACAGCCTCTCTCACACAGACTATCTCTCTCTCCCACAGCCTCTCTCTCTCACACAGTCACTCTCTCCCTCCCACAGCCTCTCTCTCACACACAGACACTCTCTCACAGCCTCTCTCTCACATGCCTCCTCGCTCTCTCACACACAGCCTCTCTCTCTCCCCCACACCCTCTCTCTCTCACAGACTCTCTCTCTCTCTCTCTCCCACAGCCTCTCTCTCTCCCACAGTCTCTCTCTCTCCCACAGTCTCTCTCTCTCCCACAGCCTCTCTCTCACACACAGACACACTCTCTCTCACAGCCTCTCTCTCACATGCCTCCTCTCTCTCTCTCTCACAGCCTCTCTCTCACATGCCTCCTCTCTCTCTCTCACAGCCTCTCTCTCACATGCCTCCTCTCTCTCTCTCACAGCCTCTCTCACACACACTGACACACTCTCTCACAGCCGCTCTCTCCCATACACAGCCTCTCTCCCACACATCCTCTCTCCCACACACAGCCTCTCTCTCTCACAGCCTCTCTCCCACACATCCTCTCTCCCACACACAGCCTCTCTCTCTCACAGCCTCTCTCTCCCACATTCTCTCTCTCCCACATACTCTCTCTCACACACAGCCTCTCTCCCTCTCACATACTCTCTCTCCCACATACTCTCTCTCACACACAGCCTCTCTCCCTCTCACAGCCTCTCTCTCCCACATACTCTCTCTCTCTCACAGCCTCTCTCCCTCTCACATACTCTCTCTCCCACATACTCTCTCTCACACACAGCCTCTCTCCCTCTCACAGCCTCTCTCTCCCACATACTCTCTCTCTCTCACAGCCTCTCTCCCTCTCACATACTCTCTCTTCCACATACTCTCTCTCTCTCACAGCCTCTCTCCCTCTCACAGCCTCTCTCTCCCACATACTCTCTCTCACACACAGCCTCTCTCCCTCTCACAGCCTCTCTCTCCCACATACTCTCTCTCTCTCACAGCCTCTCTCCCTCTCACATACTCTCTCTCCCACATACTCTCTCTCACACACAGCCTCTCTCCCTCTCACAGCCTCTCTCTCCCACATACTCTCTCTCTCTCACAGCCTCTCTCCCTCTCACATACTCTCTCTTCCACATACTCTCTCTCTCTCACAGCCTCTCTCCCTCTCACAGCCTCTCTCTCCTCCACATACTCTCTCTCACACACAGCCTCTCTCCCTCTCACAGCCTCTCTCTCCCACATACTCTCTCTCTCTCACAGCCTCTCTCCCTCTCACATACTCTCTCTCCCACATACTCTCTCTCACACACAGCCTCTCTCCCTCTCACAGCCTCTCTCTCCCACATACTCTCTCTCTCTCACAGCCTCTCTCCCTCTCACATACTCTCTCTTCCACATACTCTCTCTCTCACACAGCCTCTCTCCCTCCCACAGCCTCTTTCCCACACACTCTCTCTCTCCCCCATGCAGGTTGACGTCGTCCTCAAACAGAGACGAGAGTTAGCGTGTGTGTGCCGTGTTTACCGTGCATCCTCTATCCTTTCTCTCTGTGTGTGCGTATCTCAGTGTGTGTGCGTATCTGTGTGTGTGTGTGTGTGTGTGTGTGCGTGTATGGTCAGTGTAGTGACAGTTGGCTGCGACTGTTTTACGGGGCCGTGACATTCTCTCACCATGGCTCTGAACATGCGCTGACACACAAAGAGCTCGTTCTCCAGCTCTTTTCATG